CTAGCACCAACTAGCAAAGAATGACAGTGGTCATTGTATTCTTTTGAAATAGCTGCCTTAAATTACGTGTTTTAATAGAACTATGTAAAAAGTCAACACCAGCAAAGTGATCATTATTCATTGCCTTAATAGTTTCTCTCTTTTTTATTCACAGAATGGGGATGATTATTTTAGAACAGGAGGAGCTGCTGCTGATGGAAATATAGTGCTCAATAAGCAACTGGATTATGATAATGATATAAGAACTTTTACTCTTATTATTTGGGCATTAGTATGTATTTCACAATTTATCATAACCTTTTTAATGAAGATTTAATCTGTAATAAAATGTTATTATTTTTATTAGCAAAGTTTTACAAGATTTTTTAACATTTGAAGGCCTTTGGGTAGTTTATTATAATATTTAAATTGTCTGATTTAATTTGGATTTAAGGGTTACATGGATGTTTTTTTTTGTTTGTTTGTTTGTTTGTTTGTTTGACAAATTCATTTCTGTCAGCTTTCAAATAGTATTAATTTCCCATATTCTAACAGGATTATGGCACCCCAACCTTATCAGCAAACACCACACTTGTTGTGAATGTGATTGATGAAGACGACTTGAACCCAGTTTTTGAAAAGGATTTTTATGAACTAAGTGCACTTGAAAATGTGAGTTGGAGATATCTACACTTCCAAGTGTGATTGTTATTCATGTTCAAAATATGATTATTATAACATAGAATAAGTGGCACATGTCTTATGTTATGAAAAATGAATTGAATGGATTTAATTAGCATTATTTGAATGCAGAAATAGAAATATTAAAAGGTGTCAATATTTAGGATCCGTTAAAGTCAATAATCAGACTTATCTCCAACAACTATACTACATGCATATAGACTTTTACTTATAGCTATTGTCATAGGATTAAATATTTCATATTTTGTATATATATATTTTTGGTGATGCATGGTGACATAAGCAAAGTAAAAACTTCTGTTGGTAGTTAAAGTACTGGATGTATCTTTATATTTAGCCTGATATGGGATGTTTCTTTTTTTAACAGAGAACTTCTGTTCCATTGTCTGTGCATCCACCAATCCATGCTTATGATGCTGATCTGGGTATCAACCAAACTGTTATGTATGAGATTTCTTCAGGTATGTGGAGATGAAAGATTTCCAAAGTGTGATGCATGTTGTGATCCTTACAGTGTATAAAATCAGAATAAAAAACTATTCTAAAAATATAAATGACAGCTGATATTGGTATATTTTTTACCAAACTTTATAAATTGAACTTTATAAAAATCATTATAATTGTTGGTATTTTAATTTTCAAGTATATCAGTATCATTGACCCTTCATTAATTGGTGAACTTGTTTAATTCAAAGTGCACTGAAATACTTTCACATAATATGGCATTCAATTGAGTTGTGAAAATTGCTTTGAAAGATAAGTTGGATTTAGATTTCTTTGATAAAACATCAAAAGTGACTTTTTTTGTTGTTGTAAAGTTTGAGTTTTTCATTTTGAGTTTTCTGTGAATCATATATGCAGTTGAAACTTTTCACTGGCTTGATAACATTGTGCAACTTTGCCTGCGGTCTTTTAAGGCTGTTATAATTTGGTCCACAAAAGGGAGACTTTTGGGGATAGCTGTATATCAGTTAAAGATGATTTTATTTTCTTGGCAAAATACCTCTCACTGTTTTTCTGAACAGACACATAATCGATACCTGCATCTGTCCTTGTTGTCACCATCGTTGCTGTGCAATGGAAAACTGATAGACCAGTTGTCTTCATACTTACAGAATTGATCAATATTACCAAAATACAGGATGAAGTCGGAAACCATTCTGATTATTGATAGGATTACTTATCTTGAAAATATGCAATTATTATTATTATTTTTATTATTATTATTATTATTATTTTATTTTATTTTCATTTATTATATGTATATATTTTTTGTGAGATATTCATTTTTCATGTATTAGCATCGTGACTTTGAACTTCCATAGGCCTGAAGACCTTTTCTAGTCACATTTTCTAAATATCTGTGACCTGTAGTGCATGATTAATTAGAAAACCCAGCTTGATTGTTTTTTTTTTTTCTTAAATTTATAGAATTTTTTGTGATATTTTGATTTTTCTCATTCTGGCACATATTAATGTGTGAATTTGAACACTAATGGGCTTTTTGCTAGTTAGATATTCCCAATATCCTTGTTTAACTTAAAGGGATAATAACTCTTCGTTTTGGCCAAAAATGAATTTTCCTGGAGTAAACAACAATTTTCCCATACTTGCCAGTGGTTAATGAATCCATTTTTACATTCAAAGTTAGTCCCTGGTTTTTTTTCTAAAAAGGTTGGTTTTTTTGTTAAAATCTCTTAAGCGATTATAACAGAGTACAGCCATCAATGGAAGTTACGTGATCTGAAGACAAGTTCAGATATCAGAATAATAGTTATAACTGCTGTTTTTGTGGTAAAACAGAACATATTATATTTCTATGAGTTGTTTTATTGTGAAATAAAGATATCATACAAAGAGTTATTATCCCTTTAACTGTTGACTGTGCATAATTAAAATTTGGTGTTGACTTTGCTGTGAAGCATAATGTATTTTTGCATCAAAATTGACAAACTAACTAATGTTTGAGTGGCACTCCATATAAATGGGATATATGTTTCAGTTTATCCGCCAAAGTATGAAAGCTACTTCCAAGTGAACAATGAATCTGGGGTACTCCGGGTGGTGCAAGCACTTGACAGAGAACAGATAGATGCAGTAACAATACAGTTGAAGGTATATGTAGTGAAGAAGAACATACTTCATGGAATATATCTTTTTTCTTTGAAAAGTAAAAAAATATATTTTGTAAAAAAGTTTAAATGTGTTTATTTTGTGATAGGATGGGAAATTTTTTATACTTTTAAATTGACAATTATTCAGCAAATGGATAACATTCGTGATAATGTTAGATTTTATGTGTAATGCTTCAGAGCAACATTTATGTTATAATAATCAACTTAGGATTACTAATTTATAATAAAACTACATATTAAGGAAGTATTTTAAGTACAGTAGGAAGTGTGTCAAAGTCTTGGTTGGGATCTTACAGCTTATACACTGTTTATGGTACCGTAGTTCAAATTTTCACACATGTTGGAATAAGCATATTGGTATGTAGCTTTGACATCTTAGTTTCCTGTTGTATTTAGGCATACCAAGTGGACAAGCCAACCACTAGGACTGCAGTAGCCACAGTGCGTGTCGTAGTGAATGACACCAATGACAATCCGCCTGTCATGAGTAAGAAGGAATATACTGCCAGTGTACCAGAGAACACGGCCAAGGGGGCGCCAGTGGTACTGGTGTCAGCCACAGATGGAGATATGTCTGTAAGTTGGTAGAGCAAGTGCTGGAGTGTGGTTTGGAACTTAAGACAATTTATTGGTAGACGTCTAAGGTGATAATGTTTGTTTAGATAATGCAAATGATTTTGGTTAAAATAATGCAAATGGTTTTTCATTGAATGCAGAATCCCAGTTTTTAAAAGAGGAATGATGGTGATGCAATGTATTTATCATTAATTTTCTTTGAAGGACATCATATGTACATTACTTTTTCTTAAAATCTTATTTTTCTTCCACAACTTTTTGGTACAAACTTCGTATATTATTCTTAAGTCTCCCCAATTATTGACATTAAACAATTTCGTTTTTTTTTAATTCAAAATTTTGTTCAGCACAAACTGCAGATAACCTGTAAATGCTGTGCTACCTGTGTGAAGCCTATAAGGAAGCTAAGTAAAAATTTTTCATTTTGTGAATATTTCATGTTTTGCAGCCTGAATTCTCAGCCTTTGAGTTTGTCTTAAATGACACAAAGAATGTCTTTGCCATAGATAACAGCACTGGACTGATATATGTGAAAAATAGCAGTGCCTTGAACAGAGAAAATGAAGGCACATTCACCATGGAGGTAAGTTTATGGTTAAATTCATTGCTGGGGATTTTTTTTTTCAGAATAAGAATTATATTATTTTAGAAGTTTAAATTTATGATCAAACTTTCAAAAAGACCCCTGAATATTGTTAGGAGTACACAAGGAAGCTAGTTCCCATGGACTTATTTTTGCAATAAGTGATGAATGATGGATTGCAGATTACAGGCTATAAGTGGGAGGGGGAGACAGGGCAGGTAGGTGGTTCAAAAGAACTGCTCTTATTATCTTAAAAGGTCCACTGTGGTTCTATGCCTTTTCTCAAGTTGGGTCAACTAAGGGGGTAAAAAGTAACACTTTTTCAAAAAAAAAAAAAAAAAAAAGGAAACAAATATCGATTTTTTTTTTTAATTGTTGACTACGGGGCTGTTCATACTTAATTTAATAAAACTGTTGTTTTGTTTGACCTTTTCATTCGAGTAACTGTAAATTAATCTGTGTAGTCTATTGATAATGATCACTGATCCCTTGGTAAATTGTGCTCAAGCTGATAATAACATACAGTGAGGAAGGGCACGGTGTGACCAAAGGCTTTATATTAGGTACTAAGCTTCAGTATTGTGTAAAATGCGAAAAGTTCAAAGTGAACTCAAATTTGCCATCTTGTTTTGCCCAGGTGTATGCTAAGGAGACACAGACTACTGAGATGTACCAGAGTAGTCCCTCTCTAGTCACAGTGACGTTGACTGATGTCAATGACAACAGCCCTGTTTTTACAAACATCAGCTACACCTTCCACATCAATGAGACAGCAACTCTGAGCACCACTGTAGGCAAGGTAGGGTTCAAGGGCTTGAATATAGATGGCAGTGCAGTCGATTGATACTTGTATGTAGAGGCAGTGTGTTGTGCTCAGACCATTGGTTCTGTTTATCTTGTGAAAGCTTTGTGCACTTACATGGTAGGAGTTGATGTATACATTTGTGTAAACTGTAACCTTTTTTTAGTACTTCCAAAGTTTTGGGCACTTTTTAAAACAGTTCTCAATTTATAAACATCTCTGTGTAAGTAGTCAGTTTTATAGAGGGCGGAAGTTAAGTTTTATGCATCATTCAGGTTGAAGCCTCTGATCCGGATGATGGTAAAAATGGGGAGGTAAAATACTCTATGCAATCGCCCTCTGGTGGTGGAAGTCTATTCAGTATAGATGAAGACAGTGGTGAGATCTCGGTTCGGGGCAGCCTGGCCACTCTGCCTCTTAAGACACAGTATGTGTTAGCAGTGGAAGCCATGGATCAGGCAGCTGTCATTTCTCAAAGAAGGTGAGTGGGCCAAACAAGTTTGTGGTTTATTCTCCATCCATCTTTACTATATTTTGCTAATGGCAAACCCATGTTTTTTTTTTTTTTTTTTTTTTTCCACGTACAAAAAATTATAATTTCTTCTTTTGATTTGCTGTGCAAGAAAAAAATGATACATTTGTATCACTTCATTGTATCTATAAAGATTTTGGAAAATAGGAACACAAGCATTTAAGAGGTTTATCAAATGTGTTGTGAGGTTGACAGTTTTTGAAATAATTTACCTGTACTTTTAAATATATTGAATATTTAATTTAGAACCAAATCCTAAAATATCACCTGCAGTTCATATATAAGACGTTTACCACCCTACAATATATTTACTATATTATGTACTACACATGTGAAATCAATCTCCCAGTAGTTTTAAATATTCTTTAATGATTAAGCTTTGATGTTCAATACTCCTACAGGTCCGCGACAACTCTGGTGTACATCTGGGTCAAAGATGTCAATAACCACCCGCCAGGGTTCCTGAATGCACCGTACACTGTGAATATATCTGAGGCAGTGCCAGTGAATACTTTGTTAATACAAGTACAGGTAGGTGCCATATCTGAGGCAGTGCCAGTGAATACTTTGTTAATACAAGTACAGGTAGGTGCCATATCTGAGGCAGTGCCAGTGAATACTTAGTTAATACAAGTACAGGTAGGTGCCACTACAAGTTTGCCATATTAGATTTTAGTGTTACCAAAACGCTGATGTGTTGCATCTAGGTAAGGAATTTATGGCTTAAGGCAGAATGCATTTTATTTTTATGATCTAACCTGAAAGGATAGTTTAGTTCTGTTCACTGTTAATGGTGACTGTATATGTATGATTTGTAACAATTACTGCTGCAGCGTTCAGTTTGATGTGATATTTTTTACTTCTTTATGGAAAATTTTGCCTTTTTCTAGGCTGCAGATGCTGATGAAAATGATGGGAAATCCCTAACGTATGGCATTCAGACTGGAAATGATGATGGCCTGTTTGGGATAGATTCAAAAAGGTATATCTGCAGTCTTGGAACAAAATTCCATCTTGTCTTGGTCACATAGTGACCTCTATTGTCTTGTTGTTTACATTCAAAGCCAGTACACACAGATAACTTAACTATCACAAATATTGATTTACTGCACCTATTTAATCTTTCAGTAAATATACACACACGGTCATCAAAATAGTTCCTTCTCAAATCTTTAAGTTAGCCCGAGGATTTTCTTCTTTAAGACTATTGATATTTTATTACTCTGTTGATAACATTAATTAGTATTGATGACTTATGCCTTTTCCAGTGGAAGAGTAATACTGAGGAAACAGTTAGATAGAGAAAACAAGGACACACATGATCTTACCTTGAATGTCACAGATGGGAAGTTTGTAAGTACACACAGCAAATGNAAATTTTGCCTTTTTCTAGGCTGCAGATGCTGATGAAAATGATGGGAAATCCCTAACGTATGGCATTCAGACTGGAAATGATGATGGCCTGTTTGGGATAGATTCAAAAAGGTATATCTGCAGTCTTGGAACAAAATTCCATCTTGTCTTGGTCACATAGTGACCTCTATTGTCTTGTTGTTCACATTCAAAGCCAGTACACACAGATAACTTAACTATCACAAATATTGATTTACTGCACCTATTTAATCTTTCAGTAAATATACACACACGGTCATCAAAATAGTTCCTTCTCAAATCCTTAAGCTAGCCCGAGGATTTTCTTCTTTAAGACTATTGATATTTTATTACTCTGTTGATAACATTAATTAGTATTGATGACTTATGCCTTTTCCAGTGGAAGAGTAATACTGAGGAAACAGTTAGATAGAGAAAACAAGGACACACATGATCTTACCTTGAATGTCACAGATGGGAAGTTTGTAAGTACACACAGCAAATGGCTGTTAGGAGATCTCGTAGATCTCATATACCTAAATTTTGTCACCAACAAACTTGAAGTTACCATTGAAGTGACTAAAGTAAATTCTTATCTTCGTCCTTTTCTTAAATTAATAAATGATTGTCATCAACATTTTCACCTGTGTGCATCTTGATGGCTGCATGTAAGTTATGAATAGATCAAAGTTAGTTTGGCAATCTTTACTGAAAGTTGGGCAGATGTATGCATAGGTTGAAGCTTATTACAACCTTGTGTAAAAAAAGGAAAGGAAAAATGATGTAGCTGACCTGTTTGTTTCAGAGCAATTCCACCACCCTGACTGTGACAGTGTTGGACTACAATGATAACATTCCCACATTTAACCAGAGCAGCTTCAACTTCAGCATTCCTGACAATGCCACAGCCGGGACTAAAGTGGGCAAAGTCTTTGTGAGTAACATTGAGGCGCTGGTTATTTTCGGCAAAACGTTTCCGTCTCTCTTCCTGTCCGAGAACTGAGGACATAAATGACAAATGGTGTATAGATTGATTGATACTTGGTCAGTCAAGCCAGATTTTATTTATGGCAATACCAAATGAAATTTTACAATTTTGAATTCACCAGTTGACAAGACAATCATAATGGTAATCTGGCTAATAATGAAAGTAATATAAATTATGTATTGACCAAATTATGGTTATCAGTTACCTATCAGTTATATGTACAATCCTGTAGATTTTGTGAATAATATTTTGGTAAAGAGAACTAAGTACATATTTATCTATTGCCCACCTTTTATTTCAGTTATTATGTTATTTTTTAATTCCAGCTGGAAGATAATGATAAAAGTCATGAGAATTCCAAAGTGAATTTCAGCATTATCTCAGGCAATGACAGGTCCATATTTAGTATGGACGTAGCCACTGGAGTCCTATCAGTCGCTAACTCAAGCAATCTGAACTATAATATACAGAAACTCTTTCTTCTCATTGTTGAAGCTAGAGATCGTAAGTCACATGTGTAATAATGTGCATAAATTTTTAGAATAAAAATATATATATGTATATATATATTAAGAAACAAGGTATTTTTTTTAAATGTCATTTTAGACAACATTTGGGCAATATGACAATATAGACCAGAGTGCTGTTTTTTTTTTTTTTTTTTTTTCTTTGCTATATCAAATACTGCACATAAGGTAATGTGTTAGTTAACATCAATTTGGAACGTGTTATTTCAGATGGCACTCCTATGTTGGCAAGTACAACTGAAGTACAGATTCATATTCTGGATGTTAACACTCTGCCACCCAAATTCCAACTAGACGTGTATCTGGCAGAAATTAAGGAAAACATGCCAAATAGAACAAATGTTATACAGGTCAGTTTTCCTGAAAGTAGTTTTTAAAATCATGAGTTATAATGGAAATATTGTGATGAATTTTTAAGGTTTTTATGAGTGGAAAGGTGAGATAATATGGATTTGTGTTTGTGTTCTTGTAATCAAGAACTGGCACTTATCTGTGAGCTGTATATTATTACATCAGAGGCTGTCAATCTTTATACCTCGTTGTGACTCTTTTCATTTCTCTTTGTTGAATTTGTTACTTTAGGTGGTAGCACAAGATGAAGATGCCAGTGACCAATCTATCACCTATGACATTGTCAGCAGTGACACAGCATACTTTGCTATAGACAGCAGCAGTGGGCAGATCACTGCTTATTCACTGGATAGAGAAACCAAGGATTTCTACCAGCTCAACATCTCTGCTTATGATGGCAGGTATTATGGCTACGCTCTAGTGAATGTCACAGTTTTAGATGTGAATGATAATAAGCCAGAATTTAACATCCATCCATCTGATACTGTGCAACTTCCAATCAACTCTAGTCCTGGGGCTCTGGTGTTTAATGCCTCAGCAAAAGATAAGGATGCAGAAAACAATAAGGAGATCATCTATTGGCTGACGGGATCAGAGCAGTTTGTCGTGAACTATTCTTCAGGCTTGGTCAGTGTGGGTGGGCCACTGAAGGAGGGGGTATACAACCTGACAGTGTATGCTGCAGATTTGGGAGTTCCCCCCCTGGTGTCCAGTTTGTCAGTCTCCGTGGCAGTCATGCCGTCCGTAAGAGCGCCACCAATGTTTCGGAACAGTACCTACTCTCTGTCTCTACTAGAAAATACAACAGTGTCGGGTATTGTGTTAACAGTGGAAGCACTCGATGGAAACACAAGCCAGCCTGGGGCGTTTGACTACACAATAGAGGGCAGCAGTGCATTCAGCATACACCCGAATGGCAGTATTGCAGTCAACCAATCACTAGATTATGAAAGTGATCAATTTTATGAGCTAACAATCAAGGCTTATTATCCCAATGACAAAAGTCTCAGTGCTACTGCCATAGTGCGTATCAATGTGACAGATGTGAATGATAACAGCCCAATATTTGAACCAGCTCCTGACATCATACCAATCATCCCTCCTGATGGTCCCTTGAACAAAACTATATATCTGTTCACTGCCACTGATAGAGATAAAGGCGAAAATAGCATAATCAGGTACAGCCTGCTCGATCCCAGTCCTCAGTTCTCCATCGACTCATCAACGGGGATGCTTTCAGGTGACAACAGCATGCTCTCTGCAGGCAGCGTCTATCCTCTGACCATACTGGCCACAGATAAAGGGTCCCCACCCCTGACTGGAAACATCAGTGTCACCATCCAGGTCATCAATACATCCTTGGCAGACATTGTTTACTTCGTCCCATCAGCCTGGTACAGTGCTTCTGTAGTGGAAAACAGCACTGGTGCTGTCATTGTTGATGTTAATGCTACTGTCACCAATGACCGTGCTGAAAGTGTGTATTATAATATTACAGGAGGCAGGGGGTGGGAGAACTATAACATTAATGAGACCACGGTTAGTATGAATTGTTTTGATGTAGAATTTGCGTTATTTCAAATGTATAAGATTAATTGTAATGTCAAAGTCACTTGATTCCATCTTCAGTAGTAAAAATAGAGTTATGAGCAGTGCCTAGTAATTATCTACTAAATACAATTAGGTTATATATACATATAAGATACATATATATGATCCAAGTGCTTGAGATCATGAACAACAACTGCTTTTCATAGCAAACAGCAGTGTGAGATATGGGCTGCTCTAACTTGGGGTTAATTTTTCCCTCCAGGGGGAGCTCCAAGTTGTACAAGCTGTAGACAGAGAGGCTGCTTCTGTGCACACAGTTTTGGTGACAGCTTACAAAGAAGATGATCCAAGCAAATTTGCCGTGGCAGGGGTATGTATTTCAACCAGTTTTTATTTTGAAGAAAAGGTACAGAAATCTTTGAATCAGGTTTTGGAAGTGCACATTATGATCTAGCTACTGTTGATTTTCTGTTCTAGTCTTAAAAGATATTCGGTGTGCTGAGACAATAAGAAATGTGTCTTCTTTTCTGATCTTTTCTCTTATGGTGGGAAACACTTTTAAATGTAATTCGTACTTTTATTCATTAAGGTCTTACCTTATTTATACATTTCTATGGTATTTATGCATTTTCCCTTATCATGTGATTAAGAGCCATTTTATTACAACATTGCAGGTTATTATCTCTATAGAAGACATAAATGACAACGAGCCATCTTTCCCATTCCAATCCTACCACAGGGTACTGGCAGAGAACACTGCAGTGAACACCACAGTGATACAGCTACAGGCACAGGACAGGGACCTAAACCCTGTGGTCAGTAAATTTGTGGAACATTATACTTTTTTCTGTATCATATTTTCCCCTTGGCTACACTTTATTATTATATATATGTGCTATCCTCTTGAAAAGAAAGAATTATAAAACGGAAGAGAAAAATACTGTCTCCTTTTTTGTTTTTAGAATTATTTTAGAAATTCAATGTCAAAGCACCTCGTATCTTTAATTGAAATATTAATAATTATATAATGCCATAATTATAGTATAACTGACTTATGCTATGCATGAGAAAGAATTGGCGTTTTAACAAGCCATAGACAATAATAGAATGGCAAGGTTTTTCTGTTGAATGACTTCATTCCATAAGTGCTGCAAGATGCAGAAAAAGGGTATACTTTTTGGTGCATATTAATATGAAATATAACAGCTCAAACATATGAAGTCCTTTTTTTGTTTCAGTTACGTTACAAAATTGTGAATGACACTTCTGATGGACTGTTTTGGATCAAGACAGAGAACAACATAGGTGTTGTTCGTGTAAATGGCTCCATAGACAGAGAAGCCATGACAGCTCCATTTTACTACTGGCTAGAGGTAAAAAGATCTTCTTAAAATGCCTCTTGCAATATGAGATATAATTAATATATCATTCAGTCCAACCATGCCAAAAACAAAAAAGGTTTAGACATTAATTTTTAAAAATGATTTTTTTTATTTAAAGGTAAATTTCAAAAACAAAAATGTTATAATATTATGACTTCAATTCTGATAGGAGAATATAAAGGCATACACTTAGTGTATTATAGGTTTAATCCAAATTCAAAGCAGTATACTTCTGTGGCATTAAATCAGTCAGCCATTTGCAGTGCAAGACTATTGATATCTTTAGTCCTCTATTACAATGCCTCATCTTTATATAGTCTACAGAATCAATTTCATTCATTTATATATATATATATATATATATATATATATATATATATATATATATATATATATATATATATATATATATATATAGTCAACTTATTTCAATGTTCCAGGTGTCTGTTAATGATGGTAATTACTCCAGCACAACAAAGTTACAGTTGTTCATCAAGGACCAAAATGACAACCCTCCTGTGTTCAACACCTCAGATTTTAATGTGGCTGTCATGGAGGCAAGTATGGCCATGTGCAAACAACAAAAAAAAAATATCTTTGCGTCTTTCATTTTTCATGTTTCATTATTTTTTTACCTTACAGATCATTTATGTGTTTGATTGTTACTGAATGTTTGCTATTCTTAGTGCAGTTATGATAATGATGATTATTGAGTAAGTTGTATGAAATCTTAAGGAGTTAGTGACATTAAAATTAACTGAAATTTGTATTTTTTACTGATGATGTATTATATTAAAATGGTTGCATTTATAAGCATATTATATATAAGAATTAAACAAAACAAAGTACTTAGAAGAATTATAAAGGAAATTAGTTCTTTCAATAATTTTTATATTTTTTTCCCAACAGAATCAACCCAATAGGACAGTTGTGGCTCAAATCACAGCAGACGACAGGGACACCATGGATGCCAACAAACTGAGATATGAAATTATTCCAGATCAGACAGGTATGATGAACTGAGCAAATGGCATCCATATCTTTTGGAAAGCTAAATAATCAGTAGATATTAAAGCATTTGATTTGTATGTATGTATGTATGTGTTTATATTTATCACACAACCTGCATATAGATTGCACTAAAGGTAATGCAGGTTATGAATCAAATGGTAGCAATAAGATTGCTATTACATAATTAATAACGATTTGATAAATAAATAATAAATTTATTTATTGTATCCATTACCTGTAATACCTTGTATACACAATATAAGTAGACCATTACTCGTACTATAGGACCGAACTTTACGCATCTTCTGTCTCAGACTCTGTGTTATTTTAAAATCTGTTAGTGCCCTTGAAGACGCATCCAGCAGAAATGGTTGTAGGGCAGCCTGAACCATGAACTAAAAAGGCTGATTAAATGTGTTTATTTTTCCTTATAAGCTGCCCAGCTACTATGAGTGGAGCACTTTCTTTTGAGTGAATTAACAATTTGACTAGTGTGTGTGTGTGTGTGTGTGTGTGTGTGTGTGTGTGTGTGTGTGAGTGTGTGTGTGTGTGTGAGAGTGAGAGAGAGAGAGAGAGAGAGAGAGGGGATTGGTATCATCATTTGCTTACTTAAAGTTATTCATGTGATAAATGACACAGTTTGTCTGGTTCTCAGTCTTCAAAGTATACTTTGGATACAGAAATATAGATAGTATTTTGTCAATTTTCAGGCAACTTTTTCATTGATGAGAGGTCTGGTACTATTTTTACTGACAGGAAACTTGACAGGGAGACTCGAAGTTCATATCAATTCAATGTATCCGTCACTGACACTAGTGGAAAGAAAGTAAGTTTAGCTGTCTGTACCTTATTATTTTTGACAAAATGCACCTTCGTTAAATGTAAAGATCTATGTTGTATAATAACTTGTATTCTTGATACATTTGTTTTGTCTTAAAAGCTTATACATTTAGCTTTAGATGTGTGAAGCCTCCAGGGCTCCGTATCTCGAAAGGTTCGCTATGTTGCGCATGTGAGCAAGTGTCTCGATTCCATGGCCCCGTATCTCGAAATAGAATCGGTTATGGAATCGAGACACTTGCGCACGTGTGCAACATAGCAAACCTTTCATAATACGGAGCCCAGAATTCAATTGCAAGAAAGTTTCCAGCAGGACAAGCTCGCTCTCTCTCTCTCTCTCTCTCACCCTCTCTCTCTCATGCTCATTATAGGACTTGAAATTATTGTTAATTTTTCCAGGATGTTGCTATAGTGACAGTGACAGTATTGGATGCCAATGATAATGACCCCATATTTGTGTATGTACCTACTGCTATCATTGACACACAGGAAGGTAGGTGACATTTCTCAGTCATTTCTTGATAGACAAACATTCAGGGGGTCTGGCAAATGTAGAGCATTTAAGTTAGACTCCACTTTATACAGCATAATTGTACACTATTATTATTATTATTATTATTATTATTATTATTATTGTTGTTGTTATTATTTAAATTTTCCATCCATGTAGCTAGTAAAATTAAGAATATCTGTAGAAAGATTTTTTTGTGCTAGGTAAACTGCTAGGATTATGAACCCCAAGGACCCAGAGATAACAGATGGGACTCAGCTTGACTAATTACTTGGAATTTTTCAGGAAAATCTAGCCTTGGTCAAGTCCTCTTCAATGTGACTGTGTCGGATGCTGATGTGGGACTGAATGGCTTGCTGAACATCAGTGTGGCAGGGAAAGATGGAGAGGATTTTGAAGTGGTGCAGTATGGAAACACAGTATGTGAATTTGATCATATCATGTGTACATGTAGTATCTTTTAGCTTAAATGTGTAAATAGTTTACTTTAATAATAAATATGGAAACTTGTTTCTTGTCCTCAAACAACGTATCATTTTGCTAAGTAATTCTATTACGTATCATAGTAACTTACATATAAAAGAATATATATATATATATATATGTGTATATACATAAAATGTTGATGAATAATGAAATACTTTGAAAATATGATGTTATTCATTTTTTAAAGGATAAAATATAAGTGATGTAGTACTAAATATTTATTTATTAATAAATATAATCATTATGTTGACTGTGTTTTAGGGCAGTGTGAAAGTAAAGGAAATGCTGGATAGGGAAAGGTCACATGTTAAGCTTGGCTATGAGATGTACAATATCACAGTGCAGGTCACTGATAATGGTGACCCACAAAGGAGAAAGGAGACCCATGTAAGTATTGTGGGAATTCTTGGTTGTGTGTATTTGAAAAAAAATTATGAATAATAGTTTTGTCTACCGGTGATTGGGGAATATTATAATTATAGTTGGGTTATATAGCTTTTTTTTTCTTTTATATTTTCTGTAATACCTATGCCAGAGCAAAAGGATTTGTTAATTGGTGATTGTTTTTTCCATTTATAAGTGGACATAAAATGATACGTGTGTGTGTGTGTGTGTGTGTGTGTGTGTGTGTGTGTGTGTGTGTGTGTGTGTGTGTGTGTGTGTGTGTGTGTGTGTTATGCTTACTCTGTTAATTGGACTTAATGCTAATATTCCAGGTGTACATCCGTGTCAATGACACCAATGACATGGCCCCAGTGTTTGATAGCAGAGCCTACAGTGCCTTTGTCTATGAGAGATCTCCCCCTGGCCTTCCCCTCATTATTGTCACAGCCACGGATGATGACTTCTACCCAGAGTTTAGAAATATTACATATAAAATTGATTCTTCATCAGGTCCAGGTGGTAGGTCTTTTTTTAAGAATTATTATAATGGATAAAATCACTATAATTTCCTTCTGATATATGTTCATCAGATGGTAGGGCAGTATTTATTATTATTATTATTATTATTATTATAGAATATTTTGAAAACATAAAGTTTAACTTGAAATTACTTGTTATACTAGAAAAAAATTTTTTTTTTAAAGGCTGATTCAAACAGGTGATAAATGTTCAAGCATTGTGAGTAACTTTGAATATGCTGTATTGCAGGAGTATTTGGAATGTACCCAAATGGAACTCTGTTCCTGAATAAGATGTTGAATGCCACACCTGCTGTTTATAATATGAAAGTTGTGGCTGATGATGGAGTGAATAATGATACGGTAAAAAATTTAATTATTGTCAACCAAGCAAGGACACCTTCTTAAAATCTTAAAGGAGAATTTATATTAAAAAATTCATTATAGAGATCAAAGGCTCTATTATCACATACTAAAAAAGATAATCATTATATTTCTGTGTGCCAAAATATCTTTTGATTTAATAATCCCTCAATTTTATTGAAATTCTAGAAGGCTCAAAATAATAAATTGTGTGATTTGAATCCTAGAACACTTAGAGAAATGTAGATTGTGTGAATGAAATAAATTCTAAAAACATCAGAGAAAGTTCAATTGCTTAAAATTCTTCGTATTGGTGATCACAATTCTTGGTCACTTTGCAGGCTGACCTACGCATAAATGTGGTCCCAGCCATGGACACTGCTCCGGTCTTCAATGCCACCATGTACACATTTGAGGTTGACGAGAGCAACAGTACAGGGGTATTTGTGGGCCGGGTGTTTGCAAGAGCTGTGCCCAGAGAATTCAATGATGGGATTGAGTTTAACATTTCCTGCTGCATGGAGTCTGCCCACATGTTCATGATAGTTAAGGTGGGTGGATGAGAATGATGACAGTAATAATAATAATAATAATTATTATTATTATTATTATATACAGACACTGTAAGTGGCTGTATATATTCTGATTGATCTGTCTGTCAGTGTTGTCGCTGTGGCCATCACTGATGACTGGATGATATTTTCACATTTATACACATATTGAACAGCACTAACTCTAAAAAATTATGTAACTTAACATGCTGCATTAGCCAGGCAGTTTATCAAAAAGATCTCTTAAAAGTCGTATCAAAATATAATTGCAGAATGTCATTTTAAATTTGTTTCTCCTTTAAATATGATATGCTGCAATGGATATACATGGGCATTAACTGATGTAGTCTTTTCGTTTAACAATTTGTACAATTACGTTTTATATCAGTGTGTTAAGTCTACCCTGATTTGTCTTCAGAATGGCAGTATTTACTCCCGGGTGCCCTTGGATAGAGAGAACATGACGGACAGTCTCACATTGACGGTCAGTGCACTGGATACCACAGCTGTGCAGGGAAGAAAGGTTAGGGAATTTTGAAAATGATATCTGATTCAGTAAATTGTCAATATTAAGTGATACTATTTGAAAAATTGAAAAGATGGTGTAATTTCACCTTTGCTGAAAAATTGAAAAGATGGTGTAATTTCACCTTAGTTGATAAGTATATTTGACTGGAATGAGTAGGGACTTTTTTAAAAAAATTATCTTAAGTAAATTGTTGACATCTCCTTAAAGCTTTTTAGCTTTTGAATAATTAAAAAGGAAAAAATCATCAGTTTTGCTATCATGTCTATTTGCTCCTTATACTGTGCTGAGTATAAGTTCAGAATATTGTATTTTAATTTGTTCTGTCCAGGCAAATGTGGAGGTAAAGATCACAGTGAAGGACATCAATGACAATCCACCCATGTTTGTGTCAACCAGTTTCACTGGCAAAGTATCTGAAGATGCTAGTATTGGCACCACTATACACATGGTAAGACACTACGTCATGATTGGAGTGTATTCTTAATCCTAACATACTTCTTCTTTGTAGTATATGAAATATTTATTGAAAGTAATAAATTATTGCTTGTTCTCCACATATTCCATACCACTGAACACTAAATGTATAAGTATTTCCTTTAATTGCAGTCTCACAGTGCCAATAAAAGCAAAACCAAGTTTGATATTTGGTGCAAATGACATGATTCCAAAGACTTCTTCATGTATGTTCTTGCCAGTAATAAATTTAAAACTATTGACCTCTCTGTTCTGTAGATCCCCCCAGTGAAGGCAGTAGACAAGGATAAAGAGGCAGAATTAACATACAGACTTTCTCCATCCAGTCCATTCGACGTGACCAGTGGAGGGGTCATCACAGTGACTGGGGCACTGGACAGAGAAAGTCAGAGAGATTATAATTTGACAGTAAGTCTATGCAGTATTTGTGAGTTTTCATGGGCAAATGGGCCTTCTGGAAGATGGTCAGAATTTTTCAGGTTTACATTGACAGGTGTCTAATTATTCTGGCAGAAGATGGTTGAAAATGGAGGATGGATCAACAAATAAGATAATTTGGAGGACTTCCAGAAAGTATCTCTGGATCTGCCCAAGAGTTTTCATATTCTAGTCTCCTTGCATTGTTTGCTATATTATTTCTTGAACCAATAATATTATCATATCTCGTTGACAAATACAATAATAAGATATTTGATTACACTATTTATGTGTGGCATTCTTTGCTGAGTTGATCCCTTCTTCAATTGTATTTAGTAACCAAAATTTGGTGTAAATGTTCAATGAAGGTAGCAAATGGCATCTGTTTGGGTCACAAACAGACAATCTTTTACCAAGATTGTAAAAAGTTCGAATATGAAAATAATTCCTTACAACAGGTAAATGGTTGTTCACAAGTGACAAACCTCATCTCTTTGATTCACAAATAAAGAATCTCGTACCAGAAACAGTTCACATATTAATAATCTCTTCCCACAGGTAACGACCAGTGATGGAGTGTTCAGCACCACAGCTAATGTGTACATAGAACTGATAGATATCAATGACCAGTTCCCAAGTTTTTCCCAGCTCAACTACTACTTCAATGTCTATGAAAACGCTACCCAGGGTGACAAAGTTGGACAGGTCAATGCCACAGACTGGGACGGAAGCGATGAACTAATGTACTTCATCGAGATTGGGGATGGTGGGAAATTCTATATCAACAGAAGGACTGGTGAGTTGATTTGAATTTGTGGTTTAGATATCAATGGGATACATGATTGCTTTCCAATAAAACATGAATATTTAGAAAGAAAAAAAAAGAAAAAGATTTCATTTGTTTCATTTCTTCTAGTAAAGCAATTAATTTTCATGAATATATCAAGATCTGTCATATAAAGATATAAGCTGTTCAAAGTTACAGTATCTCTCACATTTTAAAATGTAGGTTCTCTCCACACGTTTGGTGGACTGGACAGAGAGATGACCAGCCATTACTCCCTCAATGTCACTGCCCAGGACATGGGGCCCAAGGCCAACTCCAACTGGACTCTGGTCTCCATCACCATCCTGGACGTGAACGACAACCCTCCTCAGTTCAACCAATCAGATTTGACTGTCCACGTCTCTGAAGACGCCGCCAATGGAAGTGTGGTCGCCAGTCTGACTGCATATGACCTAGATTTGAATGGAACTGTGACCTTAAGTTTGGAGACAACATCTGGTGAGTTCTGGTACCATAATTACTCATTTTTTTTCAATGGGCAAAAATGATCAAACTTTCAGATATATTTTCTGTATAGCATTTGTGGTGCTTTTTTACTGCACAGAATAGAACAATAGAGTAGCCTGTTGTTTAATTTTAATGAAAATACTCAGTAGGAATGATTTTATTTTAAGAAATTATGACTTTAAATATATGTCTGTAAAATTCACAATTTTCTCCCATTGAAAACATTGAGTAATTACTGCATTTTTTTAAATAGCTTATTATTAGAAAATTCAATATTGTTATAGAGAACATTTTATTACAGTTCACTAGGTTTATTTTAGAGTTTATCTTAGTGCATTGTTAAATTGAAATGTATTCAAGAATTATGTTGTTAAGGAATTTATTTATTTATTTTTATTTAGTATGGGTTTTTTGTTTTGCAGCTCCTTTTATTCTGTTATCCAATGGCTCTCTCCAGACAGTCGATACTCTGGACCGTGAGGGTAACCCTAATTACACCCTTAAAGTCTCTGCTACAGATGGGCAGCTCGCCTCCACTGCTACTGTCACTGTCATTGTGGATGATGTCAATGACAATGACCCCAAGTTCAGTTCCCTGAACTATCGTGTCAGCATGCTCGATCCTTATCGAGCAAACTCTATAATATTATATGCATCTGCCTCTGATCGTGACGCAAGTAGCAATGGAGAAATAGTATACAAAATACTGGGAGAGGGCAGTGACTTATTTAGCATTGATGAGATAGGCATTGTAAAAGTTGCCCAAGACATTGCCAGGAACAGTCTGATCCAGCGCGGCCTGATCAGTAATAGTACAGAAAATTCCACCTTCTCCGTTACCATACATGCCCAAGATAAAGGATCACCCCCAAGAAATGGCACTGCTTTATTATTTGTAACCATCGTGGAGAGCAGTGATGACACACCCATCTTTGAGAATTTTACATACAATGGAGCAGTAGATGAGGGAAGTGCAATAGGTAATATAACAGCTAATTGTACCACCAGCGTAGGTGCTGGCGGTACCCATGGTTTTAGTCCCGACCCGTATGTTCCGCCGGCTCCTGCGGCTCCGCCGGCCCCGCCGGCTCCTGCGGCTCCGCCGCCAAGTCACCGTTACCGCTTCTCCTCCTAGACGGTAAGGGCCCCTGTACCCATTTCTTGGATTTAGGTCACCTATAATCTCAACTCGTTCCACGTAAAATTTGGGCTTTGTCGGTATTGGGGTCTAGGTGTGGCACTCATTGCAATGCACCCTTGTCTAAAAATGGCAAAATTAAATGCTAATTATCTACCCTACGGAAGGAGTTATGGGAAAAATTTCTACAGACAGCTTTCCAAAAGTCATATGTGTAGATTTCAAATATGCCCTTGGATTTGACCTTTGACCTTTATTTCAAGGTCAAACGGGCCAAAATTTTCAAAAAAATGAAATTTTTTACGAAAAAAAATTTTTTTGCCCTGTTATTCAGATACCACACAGACTTAACCAATAATATTATTGGAAAGTGTTACCCTTCGGGTCATCTTTCATCTCCGTGAATTTGGGGTCAATCGGTGCATTTTCACGGGAGTAGCGGCCATAAGATACCGAAACTGAAAACTGTCTCTAATTCGGGAACCGTTAATGCTAGAGACCCATTCTTTTTTGCATTTTGTAGAGCATGTAAAGCCCAACACTGGAGGTGGTCTCCGTTTTTTTGTATTCCATACGGTTTTCGAGTTACGCTGTATCAAAAAGTACATATTGGTGGTGAAAGCAAAATGTGCAGTACGGTAATGGATAATAAATTTTGAACTCTGGAAAAATAAAACATAAGGCTTGGCAAAGCAGACAACTTGTGTTCAAAAATGACATTATTTCATCAAATTTGAACTTCTGAAACTTCAGAGCACCTCCTATTTCAAGAATTTTGACCAAAATGACATTTTCTTTATTTTAATTAATTTTTTCTGTACGAAATTTAAGGCACATTATGGTAACTCCAAAATTATAACATTTAGTCCCTTATATCTCCAAAACTGGCAGAGATAGGTCCATAGTTACTATTGAAGTTGAATAGGAAGTCATATACTGGCAATCTTACTATGACCTTGAAATTGACCTTTGACCTACTTTTCACCATGAACTGAACTTTGCAAATTTTCCAGCCCTAATATCTCTTAAACTGGCAAAGATATGCCCATAGCTACTGTTGAACTTGAGTAGGAAGTCATGTACTGGCAATCTTACTGTGACCTTTAAATTGACCTCTGACCTACTTTTCTCCATGAACTGAACTTTGCATGTTTTCTGGCCTTTATATCTCCAAAATTGGCAAAGAAATGCCCATAGTTACTTTTTAACTTGAATAGGAAGTCATAAACTGTGACCTTGAAATTGACCTTTGACCTACTGTTCACCTTGAACTGAACTTTGCATATTTTCTTGCCCCTCATATCTTCAAAACTAGCACAGATATGCCCAGTGTTTCCTCTTTTGTCAGCATATATGCAACACTGATAACACATTTCAAGGAAAACCAATAGGCCTATTGTCTAGAAAATCACAGGAGTGATCATTGTTAGGAAAATACAGGTCAATTGGAAAAAACGCTTGATTGGACCATTTTTACAGTTTTTTTTTTTTTTTTGCATATTTTGAGAACTCTTGTTTATTGCATTTCTTAGATCCTGTCAGGCACAAGACTGGTGGTGGGGGTGTTCTTTTTTTTTTTGGCTTTCCATCTGAATGTGCTTACTCCAGCTGGTGGTACAATATCCAGAGGCGGTATCGCCTCTCTGATCCTCTAGTTATATCTTGGGATAGTAAAGAGTAATTTCAGAATTTTTGTTTGTGTCCAAAAAAAAAAAAAAAAACTAGGGACATTTTCATTTTTATTAATTAAATTAATGGAAGTGTCATTGTTGTCAAGGTTCATTCAAAATCTGCTCATTGCATTACCTAATTTTGTTTATTTGTATGTTGAAATTTAAATACAGTAACTTGAGCATTTCTATACTTCATGTCATTATTTCCATTGAACTAATGCTGTGAATATGCATGTATTTTTAGACACCCCTGTAGTGACAGTGAAGGCTGTGATGAACACTTCCCTGACTCTGTTATATGAAATTATGGGAACGGACGCTTTTAAACTTGCTGGAGGAAACTCTTCGGTTGTAAGTTTACTATGCTTTTAAAGGCATGCAATGTGTGTTGGACCCTAATATTGCAAATAAATCAATTTTCCTGGAAAAGTCAGCCATTTTGCCCTTTACCATCAAGATGAAAATTTTCCCAGACTGGTGATAAAATCATGATCTATAAACAAATCAAATTCTTAATTTCTTTTACTGCCAGAAGTGAAATTTATAAGTGCTTATCACGGTACAAGAGAGACTAAAATTATAATTTAGGATATGGTACGTATATAATGGCAATTGAGACAAATGTTAAAGTTTCTTGGACAGTTAAATTTTTGCTGCATAAAAATTTAAAGTGTGTATTTTTTTAACATGTAGACTTAAATAAGGCTAGAGTAGGGCAAACTTGGAGAATAATAATAATAATAATAATGTTTATTGAGCACTTAATGCAGGTTCATTCTCTCTCTCTCTCTCTCTCTGTCTCTCTCTTTCTCTCTCTCTTAAATTTACAATAACATGGGTTTTGAAAAAGCTGGACTCATGCTTTCTATTAAAAGAAAAGTGTGTACTTCATTTATGACTGCAAATTTAACAAATATTGTTCAGCTCCTTATTCAGCATATATATACATACACATGATGCTCAATTTCAGGGTACGCTAATAAGCACCAACAAAATACTAGACAGGGAAGCCCAGGCATCCTATCTATTCACAGTGGTAGCCAAAACACAGGGAAGTCCTCAAAGACAGGGATATGCTCAGGTAACACACTGGTTCTGTCATGAAAGAGGGCATTCAAAGCAAGTTGAGCTGCGGACTAACAGATCCAAGGACCAAATATGGCCGACCCACATAAAAGTAGAGCTGACTAATCTGCTGATGGTCTCCCCACCTCCACACTCGCCGTCCCTGCAGGAGTCTGGCAATTACAGCTCAGAGCCATGATTTAGGCTTCGTTCACATGGAATGTCTATTTTCTAAAAATCTATTTTCTATTCGCGCTATCTTATGATCACGGTCTGTGCCCTGAATATCCCGCCACGTAATTACTGGCAGCACGAGCCAGTTACTTATAGTAACTTATAGTAACTGGCTCGCGCTGCCAGTAATTACGCCGCGGGATATTCAGGGCACAGACCGTGATCATAAGACATACCGAAAATAGAATTTAGAAAATAGACATTGCATGTGAATGAAGCCTTAATCTCTTCAGTGGCACATGCAGAGGCGGGGAGACTATAGGCGGATTAGTTGGTTTTGCTTTAATGTGAGTGTAGTCTGTTAGTCCGCAGATCAACTTCTTCTGAATGTTCTCAAAGTGACATATTTTGTGTAAATCACTGAACTAGAGAGCCCTCCAATAGCACACACCTCTACCAAGGAAAAAGGCAATAATGAAAGTATTCTTGGTGAATATTACAAGACCTGGAAATTTCATATTTGTAAAGAACATTTTGGGATATCTTGTCCACTATCAAAGAGACATGAACAATGATGAAAAGAATATTTTTCATTGACAGAGGTAAAAAAAATACAAGCTGGTTGGTTCTCTGTCTTTCTTGATTAATGGACATTTCTTTAAGGAGGAAATGTGAAAATGAATTGTCACCAGATGTCATCACTATGAGTCCTCTTGCTTCTGAGCATTTGAATTTTGTATAAAAAAAATTGGTTCTCTATGAACTCCAAGACTGTGTACCCTGAGTGTCAGGGCCACTGTGAAGCTAGATTGTTAACTATTCAAACCTTCACAGGATAGAGTTTTGTATTGCTGATATGGGTTATATATGAAATCAAGATCGATCTGGCAACAAAATCTAGAACCTAAGGTAAGACAGTGCAAAAAATGATAATTTTATGGGAGATTATTCCTTTGTCTTTTTGTGTGTGGGTGTACTTCATTGCTTTTACTTGATTTCTCCCTAAAGGTAAAAGTGGTTGTGAATGACATCAATGACAACTCACCAGTGTTTACAAAAGGCAAGGATATTTATGAGGTACAAGAAGGAAACTTCGCAGGCCAACCAAAAGTGCTTGGGACCTTCCAGGCTGATGACAGAGATGAAAATACAGCCATGACTTACTCCATTGTGTCTGGAAACACAGGTATGTTTCATTGTAGGCATTATTGTTAAAAGACTACAGAATACATAAAAATTGATTTAGATAAAAAAAGAAAAACATGTTTGTAAATGGCAACTGTATTTTTAATATATCTTTTTTTAACTTGACCTGTCACTGCCCTTTTAAAGGTATGTAGTTCTCTGTCTTGCTCATGAGATGTAACTAGAAGTATATTCATTTCTTGGGCTTGTATTTTATTTCCAGGTGAATTTAACATTAATAGCTCATCTGGTGTACTCTCTGTGGTTGGTTTGATTGATAGAGAGAATGTTACACAATACATGTTGACCGTACAGGTGAGTTATATTACAGTTGTTGGCTACAGAAACCATAATTATCTTCTCAATTAATTTGATGATGCAGAAAAACCCTCCAAAAATATACAATTTAAAAATTGGACATTGCATGCCTCTTGGTTTATGCTTTTCATCTCTAAGTTTTTGCTACCATATACCAATATGGATGCTATAAATAATTTGAAATATTTTGCTCAGTTTTTTTTCTGATATTTTATGTTCATCTATCCTAAGGCATCAGATGGTGGATCCCCACCAAGGAACACTACCACCAATGTGACAATAACGGTCCAAGACGTGAATGACAATGCCCCTGTCTTCAACACCTCCAGCCCAGTGATATTTCATACACCAGAACTGGAGGGACCTGGCTTAGAGGTAAACTAATATAAAGTGTTCTGCAAATCTGTAATTTGGTCATACATGTACAGGGTTTTCCCCCCAGGATTTGGGGTACAGGTAGTCCTAAGTGTGAATCTGTAATTTGGTCATACATGTACAGGGTTTTCCCCCAGGATTTGGGGTACAGGGAGTCCTAAGTGTGAATCTGTAATTTGGTCATACATGTACAGGGTTTTCCCCCCAGGATTCAGGGTGCAGCGAGTCCAAAATGCAAATCTTTAATTAAGTCAACGATTTACAGGTAGTCCAACCCAAGCAAGCTAAACCAACCAACCGATCAATTTCCCCAAAATTTTGTAAGCCTTCAAGCCATCTTTGGAAATATATGCCATCTCTTGAGGCCAATATGGCCGTTCAAATCATGGCTGGACAACTCTCTCTTGAGAATGCCTTGTTGCTCTGCATTGATAATGTATTATCTTCACCACTGTCAAGTTTTCATTGGCTGATTTGTAAATGGATAAGAATGGCATCTGTTTGTTAGTGGACAAAATATCTCAAATAATTCTTCACAAATTTGATTGAATATTCACGATAGAAAGTAATTCAGAAAGGAAAGACATTGTTTCAAATGCAACTGAATTTGTGTCTCCTAACATTTGAAAAGAATTTTATTATTTCATTATTTTGCCCTAGTAGAAGTTTGCACTTTCGGAACGCTCTTCAGTTTATTGTTATTTATTTGTAACAGAATAATTGCTAGAAAACCTCTTGTTTTTCTAAATTACATTTTCCATAGAAACATCTGGATAATGGAGAAGTGTTGGTTTTTTAATTTGTTTTAGGTTGGTCGTCTGTTTGCCAGTGATCCAGACCAGGGTTTGAATGGGATAGTGCACTATAAGATCAGTGGCCCAGGGAGACCTTCCTTTTACTTGGATTTTGATGGCAGTAAGTGCATTTCATTTGAAAATGATGTCAGACTCTTTCCTTATTATTTTTGAGAAAAGATTAAAACAGCATTTTACTTGTTTATCAGTAGAGAGGTTTTAGAAAAAGCCTTTGCATTGCCTGACAGTATTTTTTAATTATATTGGTGAGGGTTTTATCTGTTTAAAGATAACTTGGTAATTTCAAGTAGCTCCACAATTGGTAGACCCTAAAGGATATTATTTGATGTTTACTATTATTGACCTAGGCCAGCTAATCTCATTATTTGATGATTTCAGTTTCAGATGCTGTCACATTGAGGACATTACATGATTTGGACTCTGCCACAAAGCTGTACAACCTCAATGTGACTGCATTGGACCTGGGCAATCCTGCTCTCAGTGTTGCTATTGAGGTGACAGTGAATGTGACGGGTGTGATAGAGACAACTACCACAATGGTTCCAACTACTGCTCCCAGCACTGATGTAAGTAAAGCCAGTCAGCCATCTAAACGCTGGCCCCATGCCAAGTGTCTGTTGAACTTGAGCTAGGCCAGTTAAGCTTTAGAAAGATGCCCAGTTACTGGTCACTTTTGTCTATTTTTGTTCAGTAGATTTTAAGACTTGAGTGGCTGGAAGGTCCACTGGGCTGGAAAATTTTCAACACAGACTGTCTAAAATCATTGCCTCCGATAATAGTATAATATGACATGAGTGTGCACTGACTAATTTTTTAATGAATTCTGTCCTTAAAGAACATGTTTTGATTCTAGCATTTCCCAATGAACTGTGACTAAACTTCTGTAATAGTTTCACTGACAACATGCTTATATATATATATATATATATATATATATATATATATATATATATATATATATATATATATATATATATATATATATATATATATATCCATTATTTTTCAGGTGACAACAGAAAGTGCCACTGTGACCACAGGCAAGTTCCCAATGTTTCCTAAGAACCAACTCAGTGTCATCCTAGAGGAGAATCAAAACCGGCTCCCACAGTTCATCATAGATGTCAACACAACAGAGGAGTACAGCAGCAGCAGGGGGGTGGTCTACACCATCATCTCAGGGAATAATCAAAGTAAAGAACTTCTGCACTATTTTCATTTATCAGTTCCCTTCCCTTCCCTTACTTTAAGCTGGTGCAATTTTCCCCTCCCCGTCTTTGATGCACTGACCAATAAACTACTTGTTCACAGAGTTGAAAATAAGGAAACTGTTCTGATCTGTATACTCAGCTTCATTGAAATATGTAAATTTACTTATATTTATGTGCACACGTTTTTAAGCCTCTGAAACTTAAACACGTGAATATGGATTTGTTATATGAAAGATAACTAAGGTTTCTAGTGAGTAAATGATAACAATTTTATGTTTTAATATGTGTCTAGGCTTGCTAAGTTGAAGGTGATGTTATGGTATTTATGGTGGTTGATTGGAATTCGATTGAAATTCTATCACTTAATTCAAATAAAATAAGATTTTTGATTTGCAGGTTATTTCTTCATCAAGAACAGCAGCGTAGGAGATGTGTATTGTAATGCCAGCTTGGACAGAGAGTTCAAGGATGTTTACACCCTAGAGATTAAAGCAGAATTTGGAACAAGACTGAGGAGAGACACAGACACAGGTTGAGTATTTTTGTCCTTTCTGTATTTTACACCAAAAGTTTAATAAATTATAGTTCTATAGTTTACCCATTGTGGGTGATTTGTATGTAGTTTTGAAGTAGTCGCTGAAAAGAGCAGTCAGAAGTTGAGTTGAAAATTGCAACAGCAAATACATTTCCCTTCAATCAGATGAAACAAAAACTCTGAACTGTATTTTTTAAAAGAAAGTTTAAGATTACTGTTTATTTTAAGAGATGCTGAAAGTATTATGGCTGTTTTGTTTCCAGACCGACCTAATGTGCTAACTCTCACCATAGAAGTTGGAGATATGAATGAGAAGCCTGTCTTCCCCATAAAACCCATTGTCATAACTGTTTCATCAAAAACGGTAGAGAATTCTGTTATTGGCAAAGTCATGGTAAGTGTGGATTTCACTTCAGAAAGGAAAGATCCTTTACAATCTTTTTCTGTCGTTTTATTTTATCTTTTATTTTGTTATCTTTCACACAAATGATAAAAGCGACATTTTGAATTTAAATGGTAAATAATGATTTTCAGATTTCTGAAAAGATTCACACATCGTTGCACACCAACTACAATGTAACTACTTTTTTAGGCAATAGATGGCGACTCTGGTTCTGGTGGTGTACTAACTTACACTGGTGACAACCAGTATATCAGTATTGACAAGTCCACAGGTGACCTGACCATGGTGAAGAGGCCTGGTGACAAGGGGACTACTATGAATGTGACAGCTACAGATGGAGGGGGTCTCAATGACACTGTGCTGGTCAGGGTAAGGAAACGGTAGAGCAAAAACACCCCTTAAAGGTATACAGAGGTAGAATCTGAAAAAAAGGAAAAACTTTCCTGAAGAGTTTAGCAATTATTTCCTATGTGATGTATTAACACTGTTTATGAGTTCAGAATTTTACTGGTGCAGCCTCAGCATATGTATAACAAACCTGTCTGATCTGCTTTCAAATTTGCCATATGTCCAGATCCATATTTTTGTGAATATGGATCTGGACATATTCACAAAAATATGGATCTGGACATATCCATATTTTTGTGAATGGTCTTGGAACTTTTATATTGATATTCACCTGTGGATATTTTATTGATTTAGATTCAGTGGATCAAGGTAGATGGGATTGAAATAGTGAAGTTGGTTGGTGAAATCAAGCCAGAAGAAGCCTGGAAACGCAGAGATACAATCCTCAGCAATCTGACAGACATCTTGGAATGGGACATCTTTCTAGAAGGAGAAATACAGACACATGTCAATAATTCCAAAGAAGATTTGGAAAAGTGGGTGGTTCTTCAGTTTGAGTTGCAAGTTTCATAAGATTTGATATAACATTGAGATTAAGATAGATAAGATCAGTATTTGAAATGACTTTTCTGTTCTCTCTGTTTTGATTAGATGTCATTTGGGACTATAAATAGTTGTTTTCATTTAATATTTCACATTATTTTAAATTATATTTAGAAGGGAGCAATGTAGAATCAGGTTCAAATTTGTTTTGAAATGCAATTCAGTTGAAATGCAGTTACTTTTTGCAAAAATTGCTATGCTCAGTTTACACAGATTAATTTTGGGAACTTTATTTCCAGAACTGATATGTTTATCTATGCAGTCAACAAGACCACAGGAGCTATTGTTCCCAAGGCAGAGCTAGAAGCGTGAGTATATAAGTGTATGATTTGGAATCTGGAGAGTTGGTTAGGTTTCCCTTTTTTAATTTTCATTGAAAATTTCATTGAGTTATTCTTTGAAATCACTTTCACTAGTCACACCACATTTAGAAAATAATATACCTTTAGGCATATGAATGCAAAAATAATATTTGTGCACGAAATCAGAAGTTTTGATGCATTTCATCTCACATTATGATATATTTGTTTATACAGAAAGATGGACTTGAAGAGGGATGAGATTAAAGGTCTGTTCAAGGCAATCAAGCTGCTCAGGGTGCAGCCAGCCGCTGTCGTGCGTGGTGAGCAACAGGACCTCTCTGCTGCTGAGATTGCTCTCATTGCTCTCGGAATCCTAGTAGTGTTTGGGACAATCCTTGGAATAGTGCTGCTGGCAATTTCTTGGAGACAGTAAGATTTCATCACAAATATATCAAAGAAAAAAATATTAGTGTTGAATTATTGTAATTGTCATTTAATTTTGATTATGATCTTTGCTGAATTCTGTTATCTGTTTTGTCATGAATGATGCATTGACCAGTTTTCTTATGACAAAAGTTCTTTTTACAAATAACAGCTTAACTGGAGAGTCATTTGCACTCCAGTATTTTAGTTTCAAAGCATTAGGCTTCTGCTGTTCTTGTTGCCTCAATCTTGTCTTAAATGTCTTGCGAGAAACTGACATATATAAGTCAAGCTGTTTGAAGAAAATGATTTTGTAATTCTGATTGCATAATAAGAGTTTTTGTGTATTAAATGATTGATGATGATTCCTGTCATGATTATTTATTCATTTACTGATTTATTTATTGCCTTTTTAACAGGAGAGAGATGGAGAGAAAGATGTCTGAGAAGATGCATGTGGGCAGTGGACGTGACAGTGAAGATGGCATTGCCATGGTGAACCCTGCTTACGAGTCTCCCGAACAACTTTCACCCAGAGAGGTGGAATCTGATATGTAAGTGGACCTAGTGTTTTTGATAATATTAATTTCAAATGCCAGTTGAGATGAGAACACTTGTGATTTATTTATTTATTTATTTTTTCAGCTTTTGAGAATATCACCATATATCAATCTAGTTTTTTAAACTAAAGATCTATATATTAGGTAGTAAATGCTAGTCACATGCTTAACCCTGAAATTATTTTGGCAAAAGCTGGAGGTTACCTGAAACATGAAGCTTATTGCTTTCAGCAAGGCACTGGTTTATGTGAAAAGCAAAACTTATTTTGTGAGATGTACGCCAATTGGTGAACTTATATATTACTTATATATTATTATTATATGATAATAAATGTGGGCCAAATAATGTGCATACCACACACAGTGTGACATGTGGTTAATTAATGGGCTGGGTACTCATACAAAGATCTTAATTTTACACATTCAACTTCATCTTGAGCATGGAATCAAAATCACCACCTCCATTCATCTGTGTAATGAAATCTTTGCATGCCTGTCTTTCAGATGTAGTAAAATTGTAGTCTTATGTATTTTTTATCTTTATAGTATTTCTATGGAGTATCTCCGAGCACAACCTAATTCTGCAAGGCAGCATGTCTGCATCTGTGAATGTATATGTTTAACTTGCATGGCAATTGTTTTCAGTGAACCTGACGCCAAGGAGGTATTTGCACTCGAGGCAGGGCACGAGGTCCAGACTATCACCCTTGACTTTTCTGCAGCACCCGAGGACACTGTCCACCCCTCCCCCTCCTCTCATCCCCTGCCTCGCTCTCACCCTCCAGACGTTATAAATAGCAATAACCAAGCCCATCACGACCATGATTATTACTTTTCGCCCCCGGAACAACAAAGTGTCCCTCCCCAGCACACAGAACAAGAAGAGGCATATGAACCAGTTGTTCTGGCACCATCACATCAACCATTTATAGAAACACATCCACAAAATGAAGGATATGCACAACAGTCACCAGGTGAAATCCATCCACAAAATGTACAGTATGAACCCTCGCCTAGAGACACCCACCCACAAAATATCAGATACGAACAAATTCCCCTCAAAGTAAGACACGAACATTCCCCTGCTGAAAACCCATCACAGAATGTCCAATATGAACTAATTCCATTGGAAAATCAGCAGCAAAGTATAAGATTTCAACAAGTTCCTGTCGTAAGTTTGCCTCAAAATGTAAGATATGAACAGATTCCTGTGGAAAACCGGACTCACAATATAAGATATGAACAGATTCCTATTGAAAATCGGACTCGAAGTGTAAGAAATGAACAGATTCCTGTCGAAAACCAGCCTCAAAATGAAAGATATGAACAGATTCCTGTTGGAAATCACCCACATAATATAAGATATGAACAATATCCGGAATATGTGGATGAAGTGAACTCAGAAACTAGTGCCTACTTTGATCCAGAGACTGTAGTGTATTTAAATCCTCATCACTCTCTTCCATCGCGGCGGTCCGGAAATGTTCGCCTAATTCACAGTTCTGTACCTCTGGTGGCTAATGAAGTGCCTCCTGAGGACCAGTATGTCAGACTGAGTCATGTAAACAGTGCCCCAAGAGTGCGTAGAAATAACTACAACAGCAGGCGGCCTACTGTGTTTGAGATGGAACCCATGTTTTACGGCCAGGAGGGCGTTCCTCTTAGGCAGTACAGTAATCCTCCGTCAGAGGTGTCATTCAGTAGTGAACCACCAATCGTCTACACAATCCCCAGAAATGAGACTTACAACCATGACAACATTTCACTCAGAAGTGCACCGCCTTCTCAGTGGGCCAGACGACAGCCAAAGATGGCGCCACAGGTAGTTTATGGCAGACGGATACCACCTCAAGAATATATACACGGAACACCTGTGCCCTCAAATTATGCAGAGCATACACCTAAACCTGCACACCCACAAAGTGTCCGTAGGCCCCTTGTTTTCACCAATACCCCTCCACCCAGGCCTCACATTAGCACGCCCAGAGAAGTCAAACAAAGATCCAATAGTAATCGCAGCACCCCTAAGTTGGGTGTTGCCGGGCGTAGGTCCATCACCCCTACCAATTCTATGCTCCGCCCCAGACCTCGAACAGTGCCACGGAGAAGTAACTCGTAAGTGCCACAGTGTGCACTGGGTAGAGCAGCACTCTATAACTGTATATTACTAACAACTGTTTCAGTCTTTCTTTGGTGTGACTGGTTGATTTCTGCAGTCTGCACCAAAAATATTTAGATGTGTTTCTGGATATTCTGTGTGTATCTGGTGTTTTTTTTTGTTTGTTTGTTGTTTGACTATTTATGATCTGTTTTTTGTCTTACTTTTTTCACAGGATATTTTGCCTTTGAACTTGACGTTTCTACCCTTACTGGTGTTTCTTTATTGTTTTGTTTCTAGAAATTATCTGTTAGCCTTTTCACTTCCCCGCTTTACATAACACATCTTGTTGACACTTTGACCTTATCACATTTCAGCTTTTTTAAATAACTTGTACTTTGTTTCTGATGTTTTTTTTTTATGAAACAAACTCTGAAGTTTATTATTTTATGCTTTCTACTTCAGGCACTGCATTCAATATATATGCATTATATATATATATATTTATTTATTTATGTGATTTCATAAGCTTTCACTACATGTATATGGATATCTTGGGATTTGGTTTGTGTTGTTTTTAAAGTAATGTTAAGCTGAAAGTATTCTAAGAATTAAGACACTCGAGGTCTGTAAGTCCCATGTAGCCCATGATCATTTGTACTTGTGCAAAGCTTTTCTTTTGTTTTCATGTGTTTTCTACACAGTCACTCTCTCTCCTACCCAAATTATTCCATCAAAATAGTTTCTGTTTTGCTTGATATTTGTTTTTGGGATATTGTGGTAACGGTCATAAATTATACATTTTTCTATCTTGCTTTTGTATTTACATCATGCCAGATGCAATGGGCACAGTAAATAACATAATATCTCCACTGTATGCTAAGATAAACAGAAATGTTTAACACCAAATACATAAAATATGTCGTTATAAGTTGAATCCCAAATGATGAGATTAAATGTCAAAATGTGTATCTTGGAGAAGGCAGCTAATATTTGATGTCCATGTTGCAGTGACCGTATGGGCAGTGGTCCAGACTTGGTAGTGGTCAATGGGTCAGCCTCGGATGACTGGGTCCAGCCCTACAATACTTTAGAGACTGAGGATGGGTAAGTGGAATAATATAACTCCTTTATTTTAATTAAGATCATTGGATTAATTTTAATTTAATCATACTTAAGTTATACTTAAGCATTGATACATTGAGTTCTTTTTTGTTTAAGTTTATTTTTGTAATTCAACGATACAAAATGTGTTTGTTTTTGACAGTTAAGATTAATTATTTTTCTATTTGTTTGACTGATGAACTGTAGTGAACATGAATGTCAAAATATAGTGTTAAAACTAGTGCATTTGTCAAATTAATTTGAAGCATGATATTGAATTTGATTTGATAAATTCATTTGGCATGCATGCAACAAAATGGCGCAGCTTCATTTCTCCAGGGTAAACTTTTGAATATAACACACATAGCGAAACATGTGAAAGATCCAAAATTTATTATGTATAGGGAGGGGAAAAGCTGTGTGAAATTGACATGCAATATCGTAGTCAGCAGTTTAGTTATAGAATTTTTCCTTTGCTTGAAATGAATTGAATTAAAATTGGGATCGGTCAATATATGTTCTGTTTTTACCTTAGCTTTCATTTTGCGGAAGGTTTGACAAGGTTCTGAGGTATGCAACCTTTCCCTGATGTGACATTAATGTTTATGTGTATTGTTTATTGTTCTAACACATGTAGTCACGTTTTTTGTTAAGAAAATGTTTTGTTTTCAGCAGTGACTAAAACTTCCATAGTTTGTGGTCTGTCACTGTCTTCACAATTAATGTCTTAATTGCTCTAACCAATCCTATGATGACACTGATTCTGAAAAGAATATTATCAAAATAATTGCTGGACCTGTGTGAAACCTGACCTTTTAAAATTGAAGCTTAGATTCGTCACTGATTAAAGGTTCCGCACACAAAATAACTTATTTTAGAGTTAAATTAACAGGATAGAGATAATAGCATTTAGATTGTCATATAGATATACACATTGATGTGATCAGCATGGATTTAGATTAAAATTTAAAATTATTTAACTTTATGTAATGTCATGATGACAGTGCCTGTAGCACAATATAGTGACAAGTTTAGAATGACAACATACGTAACACACATTTTGAAGAACGTGAACCTCTTTTGTCACCACAGATGCAGCTGGTTTTTTACAGAGCTTCGCTCCAAAATATCAAAATATTTGCCCAAACCAGTCCAGATTACATAATTTTTGGCACAGTTAGGACATTTGGCACATTAATGATATAAGTGCCTTTATTTCTTTATTTATTTCTTTATTTATTTTTATTTTAAATATAAAAATTCAATGCAGGGAGTAAAAGTTTTTTTCTTAAAAGCAACTAAAAATCTAAACAATAGAAATAAAGCATGCTTTAGCCTAATATATTCTATATGAGAAAGCATGTAATATGAGCAGATGTGTGATCTGTGTAAATATAAACCACAGGACAGGTGGCACATACTGTGTACCTGGATGGTTTATATTACATGTAACAGCATGAAAGTTAATGAGGAGGACGTCAAATATTGATGCCTTCTTTACATTTACGCAGTTATGAATGATAGAGAAGCAAAAAAGAAATTTAATCAGTGCCCATATGATGAATGAAAATATTATAAAAGACTCATGTTCTGCTAATAATTTTTTCAATGTGTTTGTGCAAGTTTGCATGCAAAAATGTGAGTAAGGGTTGTTCACTGTTTTTCTGTGCTTCATTTTTGCCTTCTACAAATGCAAAACTTATGTATGAAGGCTAATTTGAAAGAGATTTTTGTTTTGTGCATAGAAATATGGGTCGTTATTATATTGTGCCAGTGATATAATAAACATCTAACACATTTAGTTGCCATGACAACATGGCACCCTTGCATGTAGGTGTCATGAGGTCTGGGTCTCCGGGAGATAAACCCTGCATGTGTGGTTAAGAAATGCCCCTCCAAGAAAAGATAAATGTCAGCATGATACTAACATAAACTGAACTAGCCATTAAAACTGCTCTCAGTAATAAGATGTTCCCGTTGTGTTCCAAGTTATGCTAGGAAAGACAGGGTACAAGCAGAGATTACCATAGCAGGGTTACCAGGTGAGATGTGAGGGAGCACCGTTGGGGGCAATTTTTTATTGTTTGTTATATCATTGATATATCAAATCCTATTATTTATTTATTTATTTATTTATCTATTTATTTATTTATTTACTTGTAGCATCTTTTCTCAACACATCTGAAATCCTTCTGAAGAGAACTGCTTCATTTTTATTAATTATTTTTTTGCAATACACCATTGCATGGGATGTTAGTATGTACGAATTCGAAATAGAAGTTTATTATTTTATTGATTTCTTATTCTGTTAGCAACATGGGTCAGGGGGAAGATTATTTAGTAAATACTACTTTCATTATGTTACATTGATCATGATGGCAATTATGGTCATCGATGCTATCTTCCATACCTAATTTTATTCGAAACATGTGGGAAATAAGCAGGTAGGGAGAATGGACCCAATTATTTTCAACTTGAAATGAAGAAGAAAATGAGCACCTATTTTGCAGTTGCACTTATACCCCCAGCCTCATAAATGCATTTGCTTATATATTTACACAGATCAAAAGTATGAGGAGTCAGAAACTCAGCTTTGACAACATAAGGTATATATCACTCAACAGCTCCTTAGCCGACCGTCTATGATATGAACATGGAAAATGACCATTGGGAAATAATCATCATATAAAATAATAACACCTAATATGTGGAGATGGTATAACAATTACAAGAAGCATATCACAAAGATGGGATATGTTTATTTAACTTTGGTTTTTTAGGTGGTGTCATTTTTTTTGCTTATTGGTATATGCACATATGTACAGTAGAGTAGGTTAAGTGGTATCAGATGATGGCAGCTTTTGGTTTTATATATTCAAAAGTACATGCTTTTTTGAAAAACTTTAAAATTGTTACTGTATTTATTTCAGGGTGAAAATAATTAATAAAGAGCTGCAATTTACATGTATACATAGAACTATATCAGCTTAATAGAAAAAAAAAAAAAATTAATATTTACAGAGGTTTGATGAAACTTTCTGAGTTATTTGTTGGAAACAAACTGAATTGCATTAATTTACTTTTGGGCAGTTGTCAATTTTCATCTCATTATGTGATTGAAAATTATGTATAATATGACTGCATGTACTTAGTTACATTGGTATTCCTGCGGCATATAGAGAAGACAGATATTACATAATTTGTAATCTTATTTTCTCTTAATTAAAATTTTCTGCCAAACGTTTCATCATTCCAACAATTCTTACATAGCAGTTATTAAGGGTTGTGCTTTGTTCTATACAGGAGTCTAGTCTAAGACATGCCAGGAGTGGAAATAGATGGGTAAAATGGCGTGGCTATCTCAGTATTCAAATAACACTGCAGCATGATGTGTCTATATTTATATACATACTCTCACAACACAGTTGTTTACTAATACATGACTTGTATTCACTTCATAAGATTCTACTTATTAAGATTCCTAATGTGGTCTATGGGTTACCATTTTTACTTTGATTTTAGAAGTGTCCTACTACTGTTGTTTCTTTGAGCTTATATGTATTCTTCAGAGTGGTGTTTTTCTTTGCTGGTCAACTGTTTTCTTCTCAATTTCTTCTTAATTATTTAATTTTTTCAGCTTTATGTTGAGATCAAATATATATATAAATGGTTGTAGCAGTGAGCATTATAGTTTTATACAGTAAATTTTGTTAGGATGTAAATAATATTTTGCCCATGATATTGAGGTAGTAAAGCTAATTTTTCAGTAATTGTGTTGCTTATTTGATTAATTAAAGCTGTATTTTAAGAAGAATAATTTTTTATTTGAGGAAAAAGCATGAGAATTTTATTTATTATTTTTGCATCTTTTTTTTCCCAAAAAAAGGAACCCTTTTTCATTTTCTCCCCCTTTCTTTTTGTTTTCAGAAGTCGAATGCTGACAGATGAGCAGGAGGTGACACTGGATATTTTGGACGACACTTCGGACTATGACCCCAGTATCAAGAGCTTGAACAATGTCAATATGGAGGGTGACACTGAACCAGAGGGCATGGCCAGGGTGTTCTCTCTGGGTTGTCAATCCCCTGGGGCCGCCTCTTCTGATCAGCCAGAACTTCAACCAGATTATGATGATGTTGCCAATGATAATGCGGACAATGTATCAAACCACCCAGAGCCAGATTATGAAGGAGACAATGGTGCAGAGGTTCTGCCAGATTATAATGATGACTATGATGATGTCACATCTGGCTTAGGGGACAGCGATGGGACAGACAAGCAATTAAGTAGCAGTGATGAGGAACCAGGCTCAGGACAAGGTACAAGCGATCAAGATTTCCCATCTGCTGCAGAAAACCTGGGTGGTGCTTCAGGGTCTGAAGATATACCACCAGCCGTGGTTATAAATCTTGAAGATCTTCAAGAGACCATTGTTGATGGTGATGAAGAGAAAGAGGAGACCAGCAATGGAGATAAACCAACCAGCCATGAAGTTTCCCCTTCACAAAGCCTGAATCTTGGAAAAGGTTCTCCAGGGATTGTTGACTTGGATGATCTGCCAGAAACACCTCTGACTGGAGATGACAAAGCAGAAGAAAAGATCATGGACTTGCCATCGGTTCATTCTTTCCAAGAGTTTGAGGAAGCAGAAACCGCCTTTGGTGCAGATGAAAACAAAACTGGAGACAAGACAACAGAACCAGAACCCACACTCCCTTCCAAGGTAACTCCTCCAACACCTCCACCACCACCACCACCACCACCATCAGCACCAACAGCCACCACAAAAGAGGTTCTGGCAAATGACCCACCAAAATTGAATGGTATCTTGAAGACTGCCAAGCCGCTTGTCCCCCCTGTGTCTGTGAGCAGCCATGAGGTCAGTGCAGGCACTGTGCCTCATGTCACCTTCTCCGACCATCATGTGACCCCCAGCGAGACTGCGGAAGGACCTAGCAGCGAGCTGGGATATGAGGAGGACTTCACATATCTTTGAATTGATGATTGGTTTTGATACAAAGCAATGTTTTTGATTCAAGTAACTTTTTTTCAAGATTTGATACAAAGTTATAATTTTGATTTAATTTTTGTCTCTTTGATTTCTTTATTGTGACTGAGGAAAGATAGTTCTGGGTGTTTGATTGGCTATATCTGCAATTTTTTTTCTCAAGTATATTTTCAATAACTGCATAAAGATCACTTTTTGTAAGAGAATGTTAAAATCATACATATGAGGTATGATTCATCATGAAGGTATAATCCGAAGTAATTTGTTATGATGTTTGTGAAATATTTATGTCATTCTTTATATTGATCAGACGTGGAGTCTGTTTTTCTCCACATATGCAAACTGATGTTTTATCTTCTTAATTTCATAATGGCCTTTTGCCGAAATGGAATGTTATCTCTAAAAGTGAAAAGCTCATAGAGAAGACATTATGTAATCACGATCATGTTTGACTTCTGTAGTTTGTAGAAAATAAGGATTATAAAATATTATTTAGTTCTTATATGATTTATTTTATGCCATGATATTTATTTGCTTTAAATACACGCGTGTAAGCTGCAGCTTAGATCTCATGATAGCCATAAATCACAATTTCAATAACCAAGGTACATCATATTGTAGACAGTGGCACTGTAGCTAGCTGCCATTCTAGTCAAGACCTACAAGTGGCATAAGGATAAATGTAGGTGAAATAAAGCACATGCTCTTTTTTATTCAGTGCATGTATGACAGTGCACAAAGTTGACAGAAAGTCACGTCAATGGTCTGTGTGAAATAATGAAGATGATGATGATGCATAATTTTCTGGGTATCATTTTTTGAAGATTCGATCTATGCATTTTTGACTAAATGTCACATTTTTTGTCTTGATATTTTAGTAAAACATTCCAGATGTTTGTTTATGTGTGGTTTTGTGTGTTAAATCGTGCCTTTAGACAGGTGTCATGATCTAGTCATCTCTACCCAATCTTGCCTTGCAGACAAACGTAATACAATTTTGTTAGACATAAGATGTAACGGTGTCATTGTTGTATTGTACAATGTAATGATGTATTCTGTTGACCTAATTGTGTAGCATTATATTAAGTGTAATGTGCTTGACAGTAGGAATCAAAATGTGCAGCTAAGTGCACCTTTTCCTTAATATTGTAGCATATATGTATTTTTCTTTACAATTTTTTCATTGATTTATACGCTTTGAAAGGTTGCAATGCAACCCCTCAGAATGCTCCAGGTTTAAACCCATAATTATTTATTTTCATCATTCTGATGGTACTTAAAGTCTACCAGACTTAATCAGGATTTGGAAGAATTATACTGCACAATGGTTACAAATCCAGTCTTTTTGCAGTGGTTTAATTGTTGAGATCTACTCATTGATATCAGGCTACTCCACCAATCCCTATGCCAAAAGATGCACATTCATATAGGTCTTGAATAAGAGAAACACTCAGGTCTGCTTCTTTGATGGTGTAGTGCCTACTTTATCAGAAAAAAATTAGCAAACATTATTAGGAATGAGCTTCCCAAATGTAGCTGAATGCAAGTCACAATTCGCAGTTTTCACAAAAATATTTGAATAATGTGTAGGTTATGTCATTGTGCATAAGTATTGGTTATGTTACAAAGGTGCGGATATCTTTTTTTATCTATAAGTAATTTTATAGTATATGATACTATACATTTATTACATCTTAAGTTGTTTGAAAATGACAGTGCCAATGAGATAAATATTGCAGCGTCTGCTTTGATGTGAGCGGTGATAGATTTGCTTTTTTGCACCACCACGCCGATAGAGGGTCGAAGGGTTTATTTATTTTTGGGAAATAAAATGTGCCTAAATGAACGGTACGTGTCTCGGATTAATGTATTATTGATATATGCATGAGAGTTTTCGTTGTAACGGGTTTGTGTGTTGGTCTTCATCTGCGTTTCTATGGACAATACGCTGCGTTTATAACAATGTATTTTCATTTTTAAAAATCAGTAAAAAAATGAGTGCATAATGAAAACAACCGTTTATTTCTATAACTGATGCTAAATGAGTACTAACAAACGTTGCAATGGCATAACAGGAACTTATTTTGATTCTCTAGTTTGGTGTCGTGATGTTCGCAACTTTACCTATTCGTATATGTCAACTTTTCGTCTGCGCATTCGAAGAGCTGTCCACTTTCAGTATAAATAAATGGGGTGAAAAGGACAAAATGTTCAAACTTAATACTGCAAAATAATTCGCAGAAATTGAATTACAAACTTAACCAGGTACAAAGTGAAAAGGAACTACTAAAAGAACCGAATATTTCAATCCAACTCCGCTTGAGCTTAAGTATTGACACAAGTATGTAGGTGAAGAAGCTAGAGAGAAAGACCTCGAGTACCATTTGAGGAATATAAAAGTGATGACAACAAAAATATTACCTAAACTGACAAATAATTTGAAGATGGTTTATGTCTTTCTCCAGTTGACCCAAAGACAGTTTTATCTACTTTGGTATCAGCAAGCGCCCGTCCCGTCCTCTCGGTGTCCTCAAGTTTTGAGCGCGTCATATCCCCTTGTGCGCCCTGCAAACACGGGGAATACCTTTGTTTAGTTCTTCCTGCTAAACTCAATTCCTCCATTACATTTACTGCATTATTTGCAGCATTGCTACTCTCAGGTGGACGGATTTATTGTTTATATCTTGATATATAGTCTACGGAAAAATATTTATTGCTTTCTGTCCTGGCATGTTTAAAACTTATACGCATTTAATAATACATTCTGAATAACGAAAGGTCTCGTTTGCATTTCAGATGGACGTCGTTTGCTTGGCATAAAACGAGGCTCTAAAAATGTTTGTTAAAATATGCGTAAGGCCTTGCCCTGATTCACTACATGTATATGGTCTATATGCCTCACCTATTTAAACCGATAACAGTTTATATTTCGCCACACTCCCATTCCCCACTAGAATATACAGGTCTAAACTTTTTTGTTGTAATGTGGTTAAGTGCACCTTCATCGATTATATATGAGATTGATTTCATTGACACAACCGAACGTTTGTGACGCTTCTAAAGTAGGCTACCGCTGCCACCAACCACTAAATCTCTCCTCTTGTTTCTGTACATATGAGATCAATTAAATTCTTCCAGCTGTCAAGATGATGTTTTAGGGGTAACTGCATCTAAATCTTTTATATATTATTAGTTTAGCAAGACAACCTTCGTGTAGACACTGGATATGGGGTACAACGTACAGGTGGAGGTTTTTTGCAAAAATAGCCAAAGTTATGCCTTCTAATTTCTATGGATAGGCACATGATATTTACCCAAAAGTTCGTTGTGATGGCCTTTTATTTCAGTTTTAGGGTGGAAAGTTTCCTCTGCCCATATTCAGTGTTTGTCTTGCAAACTAGTCATTGTGCTGTGGTCAAAAGATTTACAACCATAAAACAAGGATAACATATTAGCACTAAAGTGCTGCCTAACGCCGTCTCAAGATATTGGTATTTTTGCAATTGGCACTCTATGATCAGTAACTTCAGAGAAGCTTAATCGTTTGTTTTTGTAATTTCCAACGTAATCTGAAACCCACAGGAAACGAAGAAACTACTCTGAAATACAGCTAATAAAATCAAATAAACTCTACTTCATTACGGTGGCCCATATTGGCCAACAATAAAGAACTGTTGACTGCCTCATATTGCCCGGTCCATTACGGCGGCGCCAAAGCATGCCATTTGGCCACAGCAGACCGCGGCTGCGCGATCATCTCCTGCCAGTGAAGGAGGTCTTCCCCATGGGCAAACATAAAAGAGCCCACCACTACTCGCCCGTACTCGATGTCCTGGCTGAACCGGCTTGGTGCCGTGCACATCACGGTAAACTGGAAGTTGGAGCTGTCCAGAGCTCTCCCAGGGACGGCGAACGAATAGCTCTCGTTGTATACGGGATCACAGGTACCTCTCTGGGCAACCGTCTTCTTGGATTTGATAAGTTTACGACCCACCATATGCTGGACTTTTACGTACACTCCTGAAATGTTATCCAGAAATGTGGTTTGAGCTGTCTTTGTATTCACTCATTTAAAAACACTAAAATCAAATTCTGATACATAAGTACATGTAAGCGAGCACGTATGGCTCTGGCTCTCTAGCATGAAAGGAAAGCTAGGGTTAAATATGATTCTTCCCATTGTGGTATATAAGTTTTTGTAGATGCACGCACGGACTTTGAGCTTCTTACCAGTTTCTGGGTCAAGGTCCAGCTTACAAAGATTTCTGGCTCTCAGTACCACGATTTTAATCCTCTCCAAATTGGGGACGTATGTCAGGGACACGTTCAAATCACCAAGAGACGCCGAGGCCTGCGAATATAATAAATGTCTTATATAGAGTTGGCAGGTATGATTAAACCGCACCGCTCACACGCATTAATAAAAAAAAGCAATCTCACAAATGCGAATAGGTGACAATTAAAGAACATGCGAAGGTAAACCTACCAGTAAACGAGAGCACAATATAAGCTAATCATAACAACTTGCAGAGGTCGACCCATGTCTGATTAATGTTTTGAGTGCACCCTTGTCATCGGTTTAATCATACCTGAGAGACCGGTTCCAGGTCTCGCCAAATCATTTCTCCGTTCTTGGTTAAGTCCATTCCCGCTAATGGCAGAAGAACGTGACCTAGCGAGTGGCGGACGCGACGCTTGTCAACATCGTACACTGAGAGGCGGAGAATGCGTTCTAGAATATTGTCTGCGGGGACCTAATTAATCGAGGAAAAAGTGTTATCCTGTTATTTTAATAATAAGTTCATAATAATTGCGTTCACTTTTTGTGGCAATAGAAACTTTTCTATCAAAGCTGGCTTAAAACTGAGGACCCTCGAAACAAGTTGTGGAGTGAATACGTATCATCAGTTGGTAGATAGGTATGTCTGATGATTGATTTTTGAAATAATAACCAGTGCAGCAAAAGTCGAAACGTAAGTGTTACAATGTCTTGTAATATAATTTGTATGTTGAACAATTTCAGATTTTCAGTACCGCTGTGATAACACACGCACGCACGCACAGACACACAAACACACACACACACACACACACACACACACAAAAAAAAGAAAAAAAATCACTGACTATCGAATATCTTACCTGGAACACAAACGACTCGTTAAACTTTGGGCTCAACGTTTTTCTGCGAACTTTGGATTGCTGGCAGGTACGTTCGTCCGGGAGAAGGTACAGCTTCACGAACGGATCCCTTGGTGCGTTCTTGGCACGGCCTGAAAATGGAGAGGGTGTGGTTAGCTCGTTTCGTAAAGTAGGATGTGCCAAGTTATTGGTGACTGATACAAAGTAATGTCACTATTTAAGGCATTTAACAAGGTGTTCAGCTTGAAGGCGAATAATGTGTTACCTGGTAAGTATTTTGCCTTGTTTAACGTAACTGTCAACTGCTCCACGGCGGCGTCATAGACCAACGCAAACCAAATCCTGCCGGCGGGGCTGGGTGGGGCATCGTAATCGTCATCTTCATCGGAACACCTATACACGAAAATGTTTCCACAGGTTTAGATTCCTATACAATCTTATCGGTCTGTTCTTACTGTATAGTTACGCGTGTTTACTTTGTAGAGCCATTAAAATTAGGTCTATATGGTATTTTTATTCGAAATAGAGACTTTTAGCACCGATGCCTTCCACCATTTATGGCTTGGAGTCTTGCTTACAGCGTATCTGAGGATGGGTTTGGGTTGAGGCAATGGCTTTGCTATTGTTTGCTCTTCTTTATCAAACTGTCGTGCATGTTTTTATGTTTGTCTATTGTTTTCAGTTTTATACCTATACCTGAATAGAGTCATTTCACCATTATCCATTCAAATGCACATAGGCAAATCATTTGTGAGTTAATGTTCCGGTGGTTACAGTATGCGGGTCTGCAGGTTTCCTATACAGTACGCCAACGCATTAAAATCATTCATGTCGAAAGCATAAAAATGACAAGGCTTTCTATAATTTATTTCTTTTCCTCTGTTTAATATCCTTGGCATCTGTCATATTTTCATGAACACCCTTCACGTGTTTATCTGAGATAAGTCTACTGTATGTGCCATTCTTCACCTCCACTTCCTACTTTATTTCTTTGTGGTGATTTAATTAAGAATGACAATGGAAGTATAGATATAGAGTCTAACCACCCAAGCCAGAATTTCCACTGCAAAGGTATTTTGAATTAAAACAATTCATCCACATCAAAGTCTTCATACCTGTATAGTTCAAGTTGAAGGCCAGATAATAATCCCTGCTGAAACTGCAGGGCTGTGGTGCTTTTCCGCTGGGTACCAGAGGAGGGGGGTTGCACCTTTTCCGGAGGAAGACAGAAATCTGGAATACTGCCAACTGTCACCGACCGAACCAGTTGATTGTTCACTGGGACGGAGCTCTTGCGAGTCGGGGGCCCGCCCGAAACTTCAGCAACAGACGCCCTGAAACAGAAATTGCCGTTAAACTGATTACGACCAACAAAATTAGTTATTTCTAGTCACACCTTGAGTTGAGTTAACCTACCATATGTTTAACAATAATACGGGGAGCTGTCTGCTTTCACTATTTGGTATCACTGATTATATGGGCCATTCAAAAATAAATGGCTAATTTTAAATAGATTATCGAAAATTTTGTGAACCTTCCTGCAATGTTAAACTATTTAGCATCCTTTCACTTCTCCTGCAGAATACTTCACAACTGTTAAATATCATCACTATATTTCAATATTTAAATGGATTTATATCACAGCTGAAATCGTAGGTAAATTGTCATGAGTGTATCACATTTTGAGCTGCAAATGGTAATATAAAATCATTTATCTCCCTTTGCATGTAAACAATAAATGTGTCACAAATTGAATGAATTAAAGAAAATGTAGGAGCATCTAGTATGGCTTGTAAAATTAGTGCACGTTGCAAATTGAAGAAATCAAATATGAGTATGGCATGTACAGGTGTCACTTTCATGACAGTTAACCTGTTGATTGCTCAACTGAATTGTTTTATCTAGCAAGTAATTACCCCAGATGTTTGCACTCATTGACGCCATCTCTCCTTCACTTCACAAGATGATTGACAAGTGACAGATAAAACACGTCAATTAACATTAATTCAATTGTACATTTCATTGCCTTTGCAAGCAAATCATTTTGTTTATAAAGACACTAGGAGTTTAAATGACAACAAGATAAAACAGTAAATAACAATGAAAGTGCACAAAAAGGTGTTTCTGTCAAATTTGATGCAATATTACATTATGTTAACAGCGTAATCATCACCAATTTTTAATTATGTACTAGAGGTAATGTGGAGAGTCAAAAAATGTAAATAGGGCTTCAGTACTATGGGGTTTAAAAGTCACACATTGAACATACCAAAAATAAAAAATAATAAAATTTCAAAAAGAAGCCGCAAAATAATAATAATAATAATAATAATAATTATAATAATAATAATAATAAAATTCCAGCCATGGAATCTTCCAATTTCAGCTGTTTTTACGTTAATTTCCACCACACCCAAATAAGAATATGTGACCCTAAATGACTAGGCAGGTTTTGAAGGATAAAAGTTTACGAAATTTTCAATAACGGGTACCGGAGAAGATCAGCATTGGTCAGAATTGTGCCGGAAGTGACGTGTAGTGGTGTTAGAAGCGAAGCTGAGTGGTAATTTTAACATGGAGGTGAACGGCAGAGAAGACGTGTAGTCGGAGGAAAAATAAGTTTTCTAAACAACATGGTGAGATAACTCTCTTTTTTTACGCATTTTGGGCAGAGAAAACTTGTAGAAATAATCGATGCATGATGTGAAAACGTGACACGGAACTTGAAGGTACCAAATCGTGCTTAAATTGCGGTCAACTTGTTTTGACATAAATGCTGCATCGACCGCCAGGGCGACAAGGAGCGTAAAGGGAAAATAATTCCCGGGAGTCTATAAATCGTTGGCATGTGGAAATTTGGCATTAATATAATCTGATATGTCCATATCTAAGTATTTTGGGGTGTTTTATGTTATGGACTGCAATTATAACGATGTTGTAGAGGTCTTGAAGGACCTTGTGAAAACCAGGAAGTAGTTCGTAACTAACAACTGAACCGTACCGATCTCCGACTGCTGTGCAAAGCTGTCTCTTTTTTTCAATATTTTAACGAATTTTTAGATCTTTATATGTCCATCTGACATGAAATTCAACACATATGAGCACGCTAATACACCTTTTACACTGGGATAGGCACAAATCAGGGACAAATGCCAAAACAAAGGTGATATTCTGACAGCCTCTTATCTGAGCTAAAAATCACAAGTACGCAAGTGGCATCTTACAGCTAATTACCTGCCAAAATGGTCTTGACTTGCACATTGATTGCTGTGCAGCAGCTTATTTGTAATTGTTCAGTATTACTCTTTTACTTTTAATTTTAACAGAGTCTCAGGAACTGTTGTGTGCCTCTTTGCCCCAGTGTAGGCCCACTTTCCCAAGATAAAATATAGCTGTCCTACCATACATTTCCAGTAGATGTAAAACTGAAAAGGCAGTGGATAGTGAACATCAAGCGTGATGTAGGGAAGTTATTTCAGGTATATATTTTTCAGGGTGGGGTGGCGAGGGGCTATACTTAGTGACAGGAAAAAAGATATTCTGTCATCTGTAATGGTTTTGCGCTCATATGTTACATGGATTTTGATCATTGTTGATTTAATATATTGTAAATGTTATATTTATATTTAACAATTAATACCTATTTTTGTGTAAAAAAATGATGAAATTGTTAAAACACTGTCATAATTAGAGTTGAGTTATTTTATATTCCAATCAAATTTTCTTATGTATCCTTAAAAGAAGGTTTTTAGTTACATAAATGCATTCACATATGAAGTATTGTAAAGCACCATCGTAAAACGATTCTCACAGGTAGATAAGATATAAAATGACCAATTTCTATAGACTAATGATGATTGCCAGCCTGAGGAATTTATTGCCAGTCTCTTTTGTCAGTGATTTTCAACTTAGATAAGAGGCTGTTAGAATGTCACCTTTGTCTTGGCATTTGTCACTGANATGTCAGATGGACAAATAAAGATCTAAAAATTCGTCATAACATTGAAAAAAGATACAGCTTTGCACAGCAGTCGGAGACCGGTACGATTCACTTGTTAGTTACGAACTACTTCCTGGTTTTCATAAGGTCCTTCAAGACCTCTATAACATCGTTATAATTGCAGCCCATACGATAAAACACCCAAAAATACTTATATATGTACATATCAGATTATATTTATGCTAAATTTTCACAATTTTCACGATTTATAGACTCCCGGGAATTATTTTCCCTTTACGTTCTTTGTCGCGCTGGCGGTCAATGCAGCATTTATGTCAAAACAAGTTGACCGCAAATTAAGCACGATTTTGCACCTTCAAGTTCCGTGTCACGTTTTCACATCATGCATCGATTATTTCTACAAGTATTCTCTGCCCAAAATGCGTAAAAAAAGAGAGTTATCTTACCGGGTTGTTTAGAAAACTTCTTTTTCCTCCGACTACACGGCTTCTCTGCCGTTCACCTCCATGTTAAAATGACCACTCAGCTTCGCTTCTAACACCACTACACGTCACTTCCGGGCACAATCACTCTTCTCCGATTCCCTTTATTCTAATGGTATTTTTTTCAAAGGATTTAAAATGTTTTAATTTAGGCCTACTTGCTTACGAAACCCATGACAGTGACACACCAAAATCCGAATGTTAAACTGGTTAAATCAAATTTTGTAGTTTCAAAATCTGCCCAATTTGTACTTTTCCGTATTGTTCACCATTACTTTCACCGAAAAATAGCAAACACTGGATATTAACTGCACTCCAGTCACGTCTGTTAGTAGAGTAAACAGTGCAGACGTCAAGTGACTCATTTTCTACTATCAGCTGAATAAATAGCTTGAAATATTTTATCATCATAACAGTACTTTACTCTCTGACCACAGGGCGCGCTAGTAGTCTGTTACTAAATTAATGATATCTTAATTTTGTATTAATATAGGCCCTACTATTTCGGAGGCCCCTGATATCAGTGGATAATAGTCCATCCGTATTAAGACATTATTTCAAAAAAAGACCAAACCTCGATTAAAGTTATAATGAAGTTAGCCCCAAAAACATTTTTTTCGGAAATTCGGTACATGATTATAATAAATGAGAAAAGTACCACATGAATATTCACTGACCTTCGTTTATAGTCTCCGATGCAGGTGTATCCGCTGATGTCATCAAGTGTCAGGTCTCCACGCATTTTGCTGGCTTTGTTGCCGCACTTGGAGCGGTACAGACATATCAACAAGATGATGAACAGAATTACCAGGGCTCCAGCACCGATGCCCAAGGCGATTGTCCATGTTCCTGAAAACATGAGACGAAAGATTATTTTACAAAAACTAGTTAAGAAAAGATTATTTTACAAACTAGTTAAGACCCTGTTAACACAGATTTAGAATGGGGATGAAAGCACCTTTACTGCAATGCTCCTTGTTTTCTTTTTTCCTTTTCTCTCAAACATCCATTTACCACCCTCTCCAACGTATGTTTTCCACCTAAATTGTTTACGTCTAAAGACTGATATAAATTGTACATGTCGACGTCACGTTATTGCCTATATTTTACCCGAGTCTAAAACATGTTTTTTAACCGTAAAGCATTTAGAGAAGAAAGAAAGCATCAACCATGCTGAGATTATCTGATGAACAGAATATTGCTTTTAATGTCTCTTTTAGTCAGCCTTTCTGATTGATCTTTATTTCTCGATAAAAAGGTGCATGAAGCCGATGTTAAGTGTTCCCGTTGACGACCTCCTAATAGACCATCAGCTTGAACGGAAGTTAAATGTCCTCAAAACATGCATGGGACGAGAAAATGTTTTATTTTCTTTTAACGTTACCGTGATTTTAATAAAAACACGTCCATATATCCATGTGCATGTATAACGAGTTAAATGTTTTTGTCTCGTGGGGAAATATATATAGCCAGCATCATCACAATATACTTTTTGACATGGCTTTCTCAGACCTACTTTATGTTTGACCACCAGTTATTTCCAATAATATTCAATTCTCCATTTGGTTATTTTATATACTAATCATTTTAATACAAGGTATACCTCTATAACATAACCATTTATTTTGATAAACTCATCGTGAAAAGAAAATAAGAGGCCTGAAACCAAGACTAAGGCTGCAATCAGCTGATTTTGACAAAAAAAAATTGAACCATATTTTCGAAAGTCACTCTATCGACAAACGTCTTCTGTGGTATTTGAAATGTACAAAGTCAAAAAGTCACTGCTTTTTAATGCTCTGCCGTCAGCACTAATCTGTTACGTGTACTGTTTACGTCTACATTCATATTAGGTGACCAAGCCCGCGCGTTAAATGCTACCTGTGTTTGTAACATCTTGAATATTAAATAAAATGTAACACGTTTTTTTTTTTCGTTGAGCGTCATCTAACTTAACTACCTGTTCATAATCTAAAACCACACTTGAGGTTTCTCACCATAATTGTCGTAAACCTAAGGATTAGTGGAGCGCGACTTCGGTAATTTTTTTTTCTGATTAGCTGTGTTCAAAGATAAGAAATGGCGATATAGCGTTATTCGCCTACGCCTCACCGGCGTACGTCAAAGGTGCTGTCCCATCATGGGTCATGCAAAACTAAATATCAGATGGCTGAGTTTTTTTTTCAAATAAGTTAAAGAGTTGTCCATGATTACAAAATGAAGCTTCATTTTGAATTAGTTCAAGGTATTGACTTTAGCATTTAATAATGAGTTTTGACTCCATATACATGTATTTTCTAATATCACTGTGGCGCTTAATTGCAATTGCATTGTCCAAACACAAAATATAGCTTTGAGTATTTGTTTCACCTACAATCACAATACAAGCTGATACATTTTATCTTTTCCCCAAGCTTGATTAGTGCTTTCATTGTCCTTTTCTTTCATAGCGCACGGCGTGACAAGAGTATAACTTCCAGAATTTTATTTGAAATAACGCTTCGAATATGGCATTCAACCTGTCAGTCATTTTAACACTATTTACCATTAAGTATTTACTTTAAGAAATATCAATTTCAAAATTCATCGAGGATCACTGGATCTTTGGAATGCGAAAACCATTTAGCTGTATTTAAAATCTTGTTGTTTGGCAGTTTTGTTATCGTGTACGAAAATCTTTAATTAATCACGCTTTCCACAAGCAGCCCACGAATTAGTGAAATAATCTCTTCTATCTTGGTAGCTGTTCAAACACTCGGATAAAACTCCATTTCAGTAGAAGTATTTTATATCTCGTTTATATCGCTAATAATTACGGTCGTTCTCCAGTTACTAAAGCAGTCCCTTTTAATCTCGGTGATAAGCATGTCTCAGTGCGTGAGTGATGTTTCCTCTTAGCTAAGAAAAGGCGGGACTGGCATATCAGAGCTACCTCATGGTCTGTAAATAGCGATAACTTTTTAAACGTCGAACTGCGTATTTTCCATGTCTGACGTTATGTTAATTTTTTAACTTCTGTTTTCCTATTTGTTATTACCTTTTTGCTTTATTTTGAAATAAAACTTACAATTTCGTCATTCATTTCTCTCCTAATATTTTTTCGACATTGTTAATTATACTGTAGTTGAGTTCATAATAGTGTCTAACGTGTATACGACTATTTCAAATCTATAAGACTTGCGTGTGAGGGTATTAAAAGTAGAATGTGTAAAACAAGAGAACTCAGTAGCTGTTTTCCATCCCAGTCGTACAGTAGCCGTGAAAATTGTCCTGCATAAAAAATTCTAGCAATATTGTGGATTAAAATAATTCCATCTCCCACATCGGTGTTGCCTACTCCTACCAAGGCCACAGATTGATTTTTTCACAGCTATTTCTCTGGCTAATTTTCAGCACTTTCCTGAACCGTATAGCGAATTTTTGCCTATAATTTATGTCGTCACTTAGCTGGCTTCTGACAGAGAGAAGGCGTTACCATGGTACCTATCTTGATAGGAATTTGTTTCTAAAATACACGAGTGCAGCACTGGTCCAGCACAAAGTAGGCCTACAGTTTCTCATGCATATTAAAACAACATGCACTCTGTAGTCTTACCTATTTCATACAAACTGAAGTTACTAAACTTAGCCATTATCTGTGTTGATGGAAGTTCTTCTATTCCTATCTAAATAGGGTGGCCTTTTTCAATCAAATTTACTCCTCACCGTAACAATTCCATGTTTGTGCACATTACGTTAATTTCTTAGGAATAGAAGTTAATTGCTAATGCGTTGTGGAGATTCAAAAAGCAGGAATTATGGTGATCGAGTAATAATAATAATTATAATTTACTATCATTATTATTATTATTATTATTATTATTATTATAAGATCTTAGATCCAAATGTTTATTATATAACGCCGCCTAAAGTTTCTATTTTTATTAATTTAATCACAGTTAATACATCACGCAATATCATCATTAATAACGTAATGGAAATAGCATATCCATATGACACACTAAAACACTTTTTACCTCTTTTCTGTATGTCGGCGTCTCTGATTTCTATGGAAAATGAAATGTTTCTTCCCGAAAGTTAAATATGGATATCAAGCAAGAGCTTATATCAAATTATTGTCGCTAAACCCGACCAAGTACCATAGTGTCATAGTGTTCAAATAATATAACAAAAATATGACAGAGTTTTATTACATTATTTCCTGAAAAATGATATTTGCACATATAATTCCTGCCTAGAGTATGTGCTTTATAGACTGGAGGGGAAATAAGTAGGTCAAATTTACGACTAGTTATTTGAAAAAAGAATTTGAAAGCCCTTTTTCTGGTTAATTTCATTTGGTTTTTGGCATCTGGATTTTATTTGTATTGTGTAAGAAACTGATACTAAAATGTACATTATATATACGTTACAGAGCATTGACTCTTGCTTCATGTGTCTTTTTAGAAAAAGACGGGACGGTTATCGATTAATCTCTAGTGGAACCTTATCTCTCAGCTCTCGCTATCCACACAGCATAGCATTCTATGATCACTCGGACAATGTATGGTGTCTTATAAATATTACAAAATATAACTATTTGTTATTACACCTGATTCTCCTGATGACAATGAGAAATACACAAGCATTGCCAAACCTGGGTCACCCTAGTAGCATATTATGCCTCGCAGTGTTTAATGATAGCGTAGACCAAAATACAACTCTCTAATTGTTAATTATTTAAATGGAGATTAACTGTCGTCAGTATACGTGCATTACATAACAGATACATTTTTTACAGAAAACTGTTACGTTTGTCTTATTTACAATGGGCATATACAGTGATTTACCTGCCAGTGGGTCAAAGGCAGCAGGCACCTGTTGCACCGTTCCTTCGGCATGCGCCGGTGGCTCTGTTCTGCCTGCTTCGTTCGACATCTCTTTAAGACTGGGCGGCCCTCCGTCCCCACTTAAATCGCGTAGCATAATATGCCCCATGGCTTAATCCAAAAGCAAGGGTTTGATAGAGTCCAGGGCCATCAGCGCCTAAACCCTCAGCAGGGACGGCCGTGGAGAGACGTTCGGTTGACAGTGAAGATGACAGCAGAGAGAAAGTCTTAACCTCGGCGTTATCTTACTTACGTGGCTGCACTGTATACGGATTGGAGACCCGTATGCTTGTGAACCAACAGGTGCGCCGGCTGATATCACAAACAAGCTTTATTAACCACGTGATTACCAGCAAGTTTACAAGTAGGCCACTTTCGCGAATCGATTTTTCTGAACATATGGACAAATCTTAGATTACGGTGTGCAGGCATCTGATCAACATAGATTCTTGGACAGATCAAATTATGTCGAATTATTTTCTTCAATCTTAGTTGTGTTTTGGCTATTCCGTTTGCCTGTGCTGATTTGTCACACGACTTTACTGATTTTTCGCTGCTTGGCTTTAAGACTAAAACAGAACAGACTTTACGCAACTAGATGAAATATCTTCTGTGTAATTTATTTTCCACCTAAAATAAGAACTCGTAGCAGATCCATTAATAACTGTCATTTAGCATAACTTTCAAAGTAATCCTTGGACCGATATTTTTCTCAAGCTTTGAGCACACAACATTCACATCAGACTAGCTTAACAACCCTAATTAATTTAGTTAATTGATCTCCTTTGTGATTTCTAACATATAAAAGGACGAGCAGGCTAAACAAAAAAAGGTTCCTCAAAGATATAAATAATTCAAATCCATCAATCTCTTCATCCACTTCTTACGTCTTTCTACCCAAGTTGGACATAACGTTCGTGCACCAGGGAAAGGAAAAAACGTTTTTGTAGTCATTGCAACTGTTCACGATGCGATAGCTGTGTCCCATCATAGTATTCTGTGCTACGTTATCCAACCTCTAACACAATCTATGACAAAAAAATATCAAGAAGTTAAAGTTAGGTCACACTATCCGACCCCAAAACCTGCGTAGCAAAAGTAGGACCCCATTTGCCTCCTAGGGACCATTCAGAGTGAGCTGGTCCACGGCCCAAATAAGGTGTACCTACATGAAAGGAAGACCGCTTAATCTTGTAATGCTCTTTCCGCCTCTTTCACGCCTCCCCACACGTCGTCCCTCGAGAGGAGATTTAATTAATGTGTCCCTGCAGGTACGACGCTTGGGGAGGCGTGAAAGAGGCGGAGAGACCATTACATGATTAAGCGGTCTTCCTGTCATGTAGGTCCGCCATATTTAGGCCGTGGACCAGCTAGAACTCGGCTCTTTTCATTCTGAATGGTCCCCTAGTGAATGGTGTAGCCTGAAGTAGAGCGCCTCACTTAAAAGTTTGAGTTGAATTGGTTTATTATATTTTGTCTGATTCAGCGCTTAGACTGCAAATGACACATTAACTAAAATGTATAGGCCTACATGATATCCTGAATACAGTTAATTGAGATTGGTTTGGTTTACGGGCAGTTCAGTACGGAGCCGCAGTGCTCGCATACTTTCTTCTCAATGCCATTTTTCTCAGGTTGGGCAGGTAGAGGGGTGACTTCATCCGATGTCGCATCTGCGCTAACTTGCTCCTTGGCAGCCTCATCCTCTAGAGTTAACTCAAATATTTCTTCGATTTTTGAATCTAGGGAATTTTTCTGGTAGGAGCGTAAGTAACGCGAAGGTCGGAACGGGATCCTAGACGAATCGACGTCCAGGCTGAGCTGTTTGGACGCCTTCTTCAACCGCTTTCGAGGTGACAGCGGCAACAGTCGCGTGAGGTCGCGGTCGCCATATTGCTGAAGAAACTCCACCTTCAGATCAGCACTATCAAACAGTGCTGCAAAGCTACCATTGATGAACTTGGGAGACATGGGGACGTTGAATAGCAACAAGCTCATCCCAAAATCTTTTCTATTCTTTGCCTCCATGTTTGGTAACATTTTCTCCGCCTCTCCGTTGACGTGAAGAAGGACCGGTGCCTCAGGCGCCTCCTGCAAGATCTCATTGGCTGTTGATCGTATAATGGTCCAGTCCCGCAGAATGTCATCCTCCGTAGTATACTGAGAGGTGACCGTGAACCGGAGCACGTACTGCCCCTTGAAGGTGGCGGGGACCATGTGGAGCTTCCCTCGTGCGTTGATCTTTTTCAGCAGGTGCTCAGTTAGCACGTTGTCGCCCTGAAAGACGTCCCATCATTAGTTATGCCTATCCAAGGGGATGCTGGCATTTAGAATTACTGCGTCATTGCAAGATTTTCACTCATAGATCTATCAAATGTTTATACATGTATAGGCCTATAGAAAAGATTAGAAAAGATGGGTTAGAAAAGATCTAGAGCGTGAATACAAGCGGCTTTAAAAAAACTGATAACTTATACTTCTTATTTGACTGCCTTTTCACAGACTTGCCTTTAATCGGAAAACCACTAGTCCAAGGATTCGTTCAGAAGGTATCTCAAACCGTGGATCTTGTCGAACCAAACGCTCAAATTTCATTCCGAGGCGGATACCCTGTTTTCGAAAAAAATTGAATAGCAAGAAACGATGGAAGCAATAAATCAAAATGAAAATTCTGATGATATGAAAAGTGCAACGAGAAGTAGTTTTGTGGCTTGATTGAATACGTGTTTGAAAAAAAACTGTGAAATACAGTTGTTGCTCTGTGCAGTTTTTAACTTTAAGTGCTCCTTACAAACATTCAATCATTTCTGTCACAATAAAACCGCTTTAGATAAGAGCATAATAAACGTCTGCTGGATGTAGTCTATGTGTTATTACCATATTAGGCATTACCATTAAACAACCACATGACGTCATACCTTCCGCACGTGTTGTTGCAATCCTTTGACCCCAAATGACCTTATCACGAACCACAACTTGAGTGCTCGAAATCGTCTGCTCAACGCTATCTGCCAGTGCTGCACAAATAAGGAATTTGCATTGTAACCTAAATCAAATTTACATGGTGATACTGCACCATAAAACGAAGTCACTGGATGTAAAGATCCAAACCTGGGTCATTGCACGTGTTGACTACAAACCGTCCTTAAAATCAATATGTAAGAACCGACTTCAAGATTCAGTGAATATCTCAAGAGACATCAGGAGCACATGTAGACAACATTGACGATATGCACCCACTTTTGAAACACAATTGCTACATTTGCACGATTCTATCGCATTGCCCAAGACAATATACTAGGACACTTCAATCTAAAAAGTGCCTTTTTCAATCACATTACGACCTTCACTTACCATGTAATCTATGGCAGCTCCTATGTTTGCAAGCAAAAATATACAAAAGATTCACGAACTGAATACTTATTCAGTGGTTATACAGAGGTTTGTCCAGATTTTAAAATATCCAAAAACGCTTCGTTACTTCTTTGATAGATTATTTCATCAAAACGTTTACTTTTACGGGGTACAAAGGATTCATCATTACCGATTTTTTACATACTCTCTGCATAATTTGCCATAATTTTACCAATTTAGCCAATTTTACCAAGAGTAACTATAATGTGATGTCATTCATAAACAAAAACAACAAATACGTTGAATTGGTAAAGAAATATAAGTTAAACGTGGTGTCAGTTTCAACACTGAAAAACAATATACCTGTGTTTTCATGCTGAAGGTATATGGGTTCTACGTTGAAAGTTCTATGGAGAGCACCGCTATTCTTCACCCTGCAATATAGGAAATAGTAGCACGCTGGTACATGAATTGACAACAAGGACTGGTGTATGATTCATATTTATAATGCGACATGAAACAGAAAATTAGAGTATTACTGAATTAAATAAGGCATCAAGATGAGAGAGAGAGAGAGAGAGAGATTACCACATGGCTGTGCAGTCGAAGTTAACCATCATCCACTTAGAGGGGTTAAAGGCAAAGGATTCAGCGTACTCTACACCTTTAAGATAATGTCTGTACTCCGGGCACAGAAACGCAGTGCCAGCATACGCTGCGTCTATGTGCATCCACATTTCTTCCTTCTCGCCTGAAATTATGTTTGAACACTTAATATCGACAAGTTGAAAGGACACAATGAGTGTTGGAATTTTACATAACAAAACTGTAATTTTCCGGAGATTTCGACAAAACCAGTTACGGAAATACAGTTCATAAAACTGTTTTAAGGCTCTCATTATGGAGTAAAATACTGGTGAATTTCAATGGTGACGAAAAAATGAGGCATTTCAAAACGGGTTAGTAGTTCGCGATATTTTGGGTAGTATACACCTTTGGTGATAAAAGGAAATTTCCTGAAATTGCCAGAATTTTTTTTCCGTTTTTCAATTTTTGCTACAACTGTATATAAGGGGGTTACGCACACTGCATGCCATTAATGAGTAAAAGGGCCACAATTTGCAAAACAACTTTTGTCCATTTCTTTTATGTGAAATACTAAATCTAACAGGAAGTGAAAATACAACTAATAATAATAATAATTATAATAATAATAATAATGTATGTTACTGTTTACTTAGCTTAAACCAAAATTAAAATAACCATTCAAAATTTTACACAGAGGTATTTAGAGCTTGAATGCTAATACATGTAGTGTTGACTAATATCGTAAATTGTTGAATACATCAACAATATCATTTGGGTTTTTATTTTCATCCCCCCCTTGACACCCCCCCCCCAAAAAAAAAAAAAATTAATAAATAAACGGCAGTTTGAAAGATGCGAGTCGTAAAATACTCAGCATGTAAGGCATACTCAAGAAAGCCTAAGATTACGTATTCTTTAAGTGTAATTAAGTTTACACCAGAACTTCCCCTCACAGTGGGACCTGAATTGAATTTACAATCAGTGCAAATTAAATTAAACAAGTTGCAAATAGTTCAATTTCGTTTACTTTGTTTAAGTTGCCCTATCCGTCAACAATCTGTAAGAGATGCAACTCGAAGATGTACAGAGACAAAACCATTATCTAGACACTGCAGCTTGTTTAAGTTTATCAGTATATCTGGCAAACGTCCTTAGAATAATGGTTGAATGCAAAAAAGCTCCTTTTTTGTGTTAGATCAATTGGACTAATGTGATTATAAAAAGACATCGTAGCTTTGATTTCTGTGACGTCGGATAAACCACGAAGATTTCTAGATAACGCATCTTTGGAAGCAAACGGTTAAGTTTGAAGAAAAATCTTGAAGTTTGAATTATAAATAACAAAGTTAAACAAGAAACTTTTGCATTGGTGATGTGATCTGTTCACAATGATTCACTTACATACAGGTCCCAGCTCTTCCAGGTTGTCAAAGTTGCATGCACCTGTTGTTCCCAATGTGGCACAAACCTAGAACAAAAAAGTTATTACATTACAATTCAGAGGACTTGGCCCAATATTGTAGAAATGACCGACAAATAAAAGCTAAGCTGTTCCAAAACTTTCAGAAATGGGTTGTAAATAAAATGTATATATTTGCTTGGACAAAAAAACCGTAAAGTTTAAATATTTTTGTATCAAATCAAAAATACCTCCGTGGTTTAGAAATATCACCTTTAAAATACCTTAACTATAGAAGCTTAATTAAGCACCAGGGTTCGAAATCAAGCACGGTGACTTAAAATAGCGACAGATGGTTTGCAACGAATTTACGTTGGAATGGCTGAAATCTAGAAACGGTCTGGAAAATGTATTTGGATGCAGTGCTTTGAATAAAGGTGAAGTTGACATTTTTAATTAAGGGATAGGATAGAAAAGGCGATCATAAGCTAATACTTTGTCATTGAAACTTGGTGTTCATAGCTTCTTTTAACGACTGAACTGCGGGATCCCCAGATAATGCGCCTTAATTTCTATAGCCTGACAATTTTGCTCCTTCAATAACGTTGCAAACTTACAAACAGATATACGAAAAAAGAGAATATGAAATTCAATAGAACTCGGCCTCTCTTCACACTGCCTGCCTTATACATAAAGACGGGGAGAAACACCGCCGGTAATTTTTTACACTCCAATTCCCGCGAGATGTAATATAACGGTACGTGGTGTTATTACGCGAGGAGAAATAGAATCATCGCCCAAGAAATTCTAGGTTTACGCGAAGGAAATCCATTAGAGAGACATCTGTGAAAATGGTAGGCTAAATTACACACAATGCCATTTGGAAATGCTTGTGACATGTACCTTGGGAATTTGACTGAAAGAGTTAATGATTGAAATGGATATAGCTATACCGAAATGTAGGTTATTGTTTAACAAAAAGAAGCCAGGTTGAAGTATATTATGGAGTATTTATTTACTCCCATGAACAGTGTTTGTTTACTTGTAATGAAAAGGGTGAAATGGTGTAGACTGACCAGCTGTTTTCAATATTCATCATAAAATATTAATCTAAACTTGTGTTTGATGCAAGATGATTTACACCAAGCAGGACAGAAGAAGTTAAAATTACGAAGTAGAACATGATGGTTTATCATAAAGAAATTTTAAGTGTCTTATATATTGCACAAATTGAAAAGTAGGATAGCACACATATACAGACTGCATATAAAGACTGTAAGTAAACGCCCTTTATATTACAAAATAAAACATCAAATTAAGGCCAACCAACCCCTTCTGTCTTAGCAACATTCTAAGTAATATTTATATCACTATGAGGGCATTCAGCAGCAAGCTGATCCACGGACTAAATATGGCTGACTCACTTAAAAGCAGCTCCGACTAATTACCTGATGGTCTCCCCGCCTCCACACGCGCCGTTGCTGCAGGGGCCGAGTAGTTAAACCTATGAATCGAGATTTAATCCCTTTAATGGCGCTGGTGGAGAGGGGGACACCTTCAGGGAATAAGTGGTATCGCTTATTAGTGGGGTCGGCCATATATAGTCGGCGGATCAACTTGTTCGGAATGCACTGTATGATTCTGTTTTATGTGTGGTTTCGAAATGAAATATATATATTTACTGGGGATCCTAGTTCAGGGCAGACTTACAAAGAAGGGGATGAGCCCCCGTGACCTGTCCTCTTCAATGGCGTCCCTGAGTGTCTGACCACACAGGCTAAGGGAGTCATTACTTGGGAGCAGACGCAATTTTACCAAACCTATCAAACTGGCTTTTTCCACAGATGAATGTGCCTTAAGATGAATAAAAAGGTTTATCATTAAAATTGCGTAAGACTCTTGGAAAAACCTGAAAATCATTATATGGTCTATTCTTTAATTATCATATGACATTATTTGTGGGTCTAATTCAGAATAATGTCACGGTTCTAAGACAAACATATTTCATAAAATTCTGTTTATCAAAATAGTTGATATAGGCAATCTAATAATCTTTTCTTTATCCCTTCATGGATTCGTCAATTACTTACCTGATCCGAGCAGTACATCACTAGCCGCGAGCGTCGATTTCTTACCTGATCCGAACAGTACATCACTAGCCGCGAGTTTATCTCCGCGTCTTCCAGATTATTGTCCATGGCGCGGTATTTCTTGATCACCATGCTGCGCGCTGCCAACAGGGCAACAAATGTGGCGTCACTTGCGGTCGTCTGCACGTGCAAATGAAAAAGTTGTGAGCTGCTCAAACAAGACGATCCCTCTTTTATTTTTGCAAAAGACAAATGAGAAATGCGTAACTCTAAACGGATTTAAAATTGTCGCTAATAGAGTTTAAAGATGTGTAGTTTTTAATCTACAGATCTGCGTCCGCTTTAACCTTAACACTTCATATTTTCACCTGTATCACTCCGCCACCTTTTGTTTGCTGGTTGCTATGGAGAAATTCTGCAGGAAGTCCTATCATCTTGCCCAACCAATCCATTACTATGGTTTCCAACTCCGTGCACGCAGGGCTGGACGCCTGCAAAAAAAAAAATGCAAAGTGTTGAAACAATGTACAATTCTGAATTAAAACAAACAATATTATTATAAGGTTCTTCAAACAGTAATCAATAAGGATAAAAAAGGAAAGAGACAAATAGATATATCAATAAAACAGGCTACATATGTCTTCAAATCGGGTTTTCTAGACACCGTAAATCGAGTTTGGCATCTTTTGAAACAACTATAAATAACTATAAAAGCTTACCCACGTGAAGCCCAAACACCCTATTGCGTCTGCTAACATGTCACCAAGTAGAGAAGGAAAAGAATTTAAAGCGGGAAAATATGCGTGCATGTGTGGACTTTGCCAGTGGGTGATCTGAAATGAATAAAATGTCGAATTTATAGAAGTGACCTAAATGTTGTCAATTGATATAAAACGCTTTTCTTGATAAGATAGAGATGTGCTTTAATGATATTCCCTGTAAATGTAAACCAACCCCTGGCATAATGAGTCTTTCTGGGTTATCAAACATCAGTGGTATATTTACATATATTTTGTAACAGTGACATAAAGCCAGCACATAAAGCCTAATCTTTTCCTTACATCATGACTCTAAACGTGACACTGGAGATTCGACTCTCTACATGTGTGTCACCAAAGAATGTATACCACCTTTACTTTGGAAATATAAACACCTTGTCGTGCATTATAAATCATTCTAAATATTATGCATGTTCCTCTAATTTAGAAGAATGTCAAGACTCCTAATATGAATACCTACCCCTGGCATTATGACCCTCTCTACGTCACCAAATATGTCCTCCCAGGCTTCTCCCTGCAATGGCGGCGACTCAGGTACCAGGTCGTGCATATAGCCCGGCTTGACGTCTGGAAACACTCGACGTTCACGGATATTCTCTAGATAATTGGCTATGTAATCCACCATCTCTTTGCCTAGTAAAAAAGAGAAACAATAAAAATTTCAACAGAATTAAAGAGAGGGAAGGAGAGACCGAAATTGTGTATACATGTTTGTACGTTGATGCCTGTACTATCCATAAACAAATTGTTGTTTATGAATATGTACTAGCCAAAATAGGAAAAAAGAAAGAAAGAAACTCAAGTTTTGTTATGTCTATGATTTTATGAGTTATCCTTCTCCATTTTTCCACCAGTGCAGCTCTTAACTCTATTACGGTGGTAGGCTGAGACTGACGCTTATGCAGTCGTCTCCCCAGTTCTTGGCAGGCATGCACAATGGAACACATTCCTGGTCTAAAGAACAAAAGTCTGGACCTGTTCCTGCAGATGCGCCTGTGCTATCATGGCATTATGGGGACGGACGTTGTCCTGCTGGAGCAAGTGTAGGATTGGGTATTGGTGCATGAATGGCACAATCACCACGAGTTCTGTCTGAGAATTGTCACTTATGCCCAAATCTTATGCCCAAACCATAACACTGTGCCATCAGCAATGGCCAATGACACGACCCCATGTCCAGATCAAACAGCGGTGGCATGATGTCAACATGGAATTTAACCTTCTTACCTTGGGTTTTCTGATTCCAGTGGCCACTAGCATTGATTGTGGACAACTGCATTATTATCGGGACAACTGAATTATACAAAACTTTTGTCCCAATTTGTGTACAGATGAGATGTCTGAAAATCTAAATCTAGCCATTGTCTGGAATCAATCAAGCGTAACAATGCTCTAATGCAGGACTGAGATGGTATTCTGTCATTGAATACAATGACCATATTTCGGCATTTGGAAGCGCTGTGGTCAAAAACAAAAAATTGCGTTTTTTTTAGACTAATATATATTTATTTAAATAGCAAAGTCTGCTCTATCTGAGGGTGCATCTCAAGCTCTTAAATAAAGATGTGATAAGTTGACTAAGATTTTTAATTACATTAAAATTACTCACCAGACCATGGATTAAAATCATGTTAATGTCCTATAAAATATGGATGAAGGAAATAAGTGATAATCTTTACATCCAAATACTTTAGCACAGGAGAGGGGGAAATTAAAAAGAAAGGACTTGGACAAAAACGACGCAATCAGATCGCGAAACAGTACAGTCTGGCTCCCCCTAAAGTGGACTCTAACGGAAACGGCCTCAAAATAATTGAATCACAGACCTTTCGTTCTTGATAAGCTACGCATTTATTGGGTTATTATTATTTCCCTTGAGAAAGAGACTGCCAAAGTTGCCGAGTTCCAGGTGCCGCCATTATTTAGGATATTAAAAAAGTGCCTAAACCCTTAACGAGACAAAGGTATCTTTGTCCAAAGATTATGCCACCAAAATGGATCTGTAACGTTTGTGATATGATAGAGTATGCAATGCACTTTAAATCCAACTATTAAAACTCTGTGCTGAAAAGATTCCAGGTCTTTCCTACAGCTGATAAATGTCACGCTTTTTAAGAAAAATAATGTACAATGGTGCCTTGGTTATGCTATCTATTTTTCTCAAGCTCAATTATAGAAAAAATGCACGCTTTGACGAATGGCAAACGTCTTAGCAAAACCCACTTAATTCCCAATCCCAAGTGCAAATGAGAAACAAATGTTTCTACTTGATTCGGATACTATACGAGATGGCAATAAAAAAAAAACATTTGAACCTTTTCCGTCCTTGAATAATTGTGGTTCCTCTTGTATTGTTTGAAAACACGTGCCACGTTAGAAAAAAGGATATTATCTATGTACAGTGTGTATTCTAATGGCGCGCGAGGTAACAATGCACTATTGCTTTGTCTAAATAACAATGCTTAAACATGCTTTCCGAGAAGAAATGGTATTAGAACTATGTACGTAACTTACAGTTATTCTCTTACGAATTATCCATTTGTTATTTGTTCAAGTTATGAATTTACATACTGACTTCTTCATCTGATTTAGCATGCTATTCTGTTCTTTAATTTGTCGCATTGTTTAGAGAAGACGCGTTGTGCGCCCCTTCGACCTCATTAGCAATGTTGTGACCAAATGGCGTTTTGGCAGAAGGTGGTTTCTGGTTTCTTGACGAATACTTCTTTTCAACTTCTTTTTGATCGGTTGTGCCGTTTAATGGACATGGGCATTTATGAGAAAGTTATCGAAATTGAATAAAAATCCCACCATCTATACAACCATTGCAATCTTTAAATGACAACCGGAACTTCCCCAAGATGTACAAGTTTATCTAAGACAGTGGGTTAAATACACTGGTAGTCACAACCAATTTATATGACATATGTCCCTGGTCGTTTAAAACTGCAACACAGTTTAGATGTCTCCAAACGATGCTAACGTATATTGACGAAAGCTTTGGAAAATATTTCTTGTAGAATTTAATATTTGTATTAACGTCAGTCTAAAGAACTGACTGTCAACTAATATCAACAATTATGTTATCGTTGGCCAAAGAGAACTTTTTGTCATTCTATGGAACAAATATGACAGCAGTGTCTTCAAGGCAAAACTGGCATCTCAATGGAATTGATGCCAAGGATACACAAAGGCTCAATCGATTACCAAAAGTCATGTACTTTTCACAGCATTTTAAGTAAATTTGTTCCTATAATCACTTTAGTTCACACTAGAAGATCACGATTGGGCTCTGTAATAAAAATGGCGTGGGAAGATTTTTGTGTGCGGTTTAAGGCAGTCGTTCATTATTATTATTATTTTTCAACACCTGACTGTATATTTAATTTTTGGCTTTTCATGAATACCCGTTCGTTTTGTGAAACCCAAAGTTAATATCCCCCAAAAAACTGATTTAAATGTTCATTTCACAAATATGCAGATGCCTCTCTTCTCTCTGATCTAGTTTTAATCGCATTTCGCCTTCGTTCTAAATAAACTTTGTCAGGCGTGCGCATTTTTTTCCAATCTCTTCCACTTTCCGTGTTTAAAGCAGGTGTCCAAAGGGATCCCAAGCTCTAGAACCTATGAACTTGAAGGTTCGCCGGTTTTAAAACACAGGGTCTGACAGACTCTATAATGATCGGACTCTTGAAAAAGGAACTGTTTTGTTGGATTAGAAAGCAAAGGAAATGATGAAAACTAACGTGTTGGTCATTACTGTGCTTTTTATATTTTCATTCAAATTAAGCAAAATCTTAATTTTTGAAATTCCATCTGTAAGTTAATGCTTAGGCCTACTGACACAGTCTCTAAATCGTTGATTTATTAATTATTGGCTTCGAGATTCATCGACCTTATTTTTAGCAAACTTCTGAATAAATATGCACATTTTCTAATAAACTGAACTATTTGATTCCATTGTCTAAGACAATATTTGTTTGCTAGTCCGCAGATTAGCTTATTCCTGCAAAATTATCATTGGCAAGTTTGAATAAAACGAAATCATACCCTGGCCATACCTATTGTGTTCAATTTAATGTAACAATTTCAATACTGTAGGCACTTGCTTCTTGAATTATATTTAAAGAAAAATTAAAAGTCACCAGGAACCTTTCGTATGAGGATTGCTTATAGGCAAATGCAATCCCGTACCTTAGAAGAGCCCTATTTGCACTTCTCGGTGCTGCCATTCAAGCAGGATTGTATAGAAAAATCAAAATCCAATATATTTTTGGCGGCCATGCTTGTTAGTGATCTAGAAAGCTGTTTTTAATGGATGAAAAATTTCAAGTTCCTACATGTATAATGATTATGTAAAAGGTACCACATAACGATAATAATAATAACAGTAATACAATCTAAACAGAAACCCCTTGCTACCTCGTATAAAGGATAAATCAAAATTTCTTTAAAGGAGCAAAAGTGTTCATCAGCCTGGTAGTATGAAAACAATAATAAAGGTAGTGAACACAAGCTTCATTATTGTATGACTTTAAATGGTTTAATTTTCATTTACTTGGCAATATAACGCTTTAAGAAAATTAAAATACCATCGTGGATTCAGCCAAGTCAAAAAGCAGCTGTCAGTATAACCCTAAAGATGCCAATGCTTCGTTGGAGTACTAACAATTTAAGGTGTTATAAAAATCTCATTTCACCTAATGGGAACCATATCTTCAATATACTTGTATCTTCCATATACATTTCAAAGCATTCTTCGGCCATTACGGTTTCTATATATCCAACAGCCATTGCGTGGAAGCATTTTGAGTGGGTAAAAGGTTTGAGTGGGTAACTGATTTGTTCCAAATTTAAAAGAAAATTCCAAATTTGAAAGAGAAATTGAAGCGCGAGTCAAGTAATACTTCTAATTTATCTGCCTATGCTCCATCTGAATGGTAATAAGGAAGTTGTACTCCTCACTGACAAGGTGGAACCCGAAGCACGAATTGTCCGGTGTCTTTTAGAAATAACTTCGTGTTATACATAGATATTTGATACCTGACTTAATTTTCGAAAAAAAAAGGTGCACCGTTTATGTTGGACAACTAGAAATTTTGAATTTCTGTTGCGTAAATACTTGAAATCAAAGAATCACATTGGTTTTAAATAATACTTCTGCCAACAATGTGCCCAGCAATCTTTCCTTGAAACGTTACAATCGGCGAATCGTTTTGTTATTTTTTATGCGTCACAAAAATAGTTTGCCTCTTACCTCGCTTTCTGTATTCGTCGAAATCCATGTCCTTAGCTCAATGTCCGAACAGAATATCGTTCACCTGAAACTTAAGACAGTGCTAATATGTGTTTTCTTTTATAACTTTTTAAACTACAACGTGTCAAAGTTGCAGCGGAGCCGCTTTAGCGCTGCTTAATTACTATCTCGATTGTGCTTCTGCGATGCTAGCTGAAAGATGAAACTGATGGGCAATTCAGTATTTCTGGACCCTCATAATACCGTGGACCTATCAATGTCATCAAATCTTCCAAAAGGGCGCTTCAGCTGATAAGAGGACAGCCAGTGGAGAGCATCAGGAGGCAGTGTCTGTTTTCTTGGTGACGTAATTTGTGAGACGCCAAAACATTTTGGTATTAAGAACACGGAGAGCAATCCTTTTAAAGAACAAAACCAAACATCGTTAAAATTGAGTCAGCCTCGAGAGATAGTGCGGGGGAACGCGATATTTAATTACATTTAAGTATGCAAAGCGCAAGCTTTGAAGTGCCTTGGATCGAAAATTGAAACGCCACGTGTGACGACAGCGAGATTGCCGTGGGGCTCCAAACAGTAAATATGTGACGAAGAACAGCTAACATAAATTTGACTAAAACCGATATATTTGTAATTTTGAGCTGACATAATGTTACACATTAAGAAAATGACACGGTCTAGTGTATCTGCGTAAAAATCTGAAAAAATAATAAATTGATGGAATTGTTCTATTTGTGTTTTTGAAATATATTTCATTGCATCTTGTGAAAACGCAGGCTTAGAATGTATGTAACATAATTTACATCCGAAGAAAAATGTCAAAATATCGATGATTGGTTAGATTTTCTATATATCGTTTTAAGGGGTGGTTGGGTGCCACAGCGTTCTCAGCCCATATCTCAGCATAGATTGGGGTTTGCTTCTTACGTTTGCACTCTTCCTCCCAACATGGGTGATTCAATATTTACACCATTCCTCATGAACGATACAGTTTTAAACAAAAGGCGAACCGTGTCAATTCTTCAAGTGGGAAATTTGATCGGTTTAAAATTGATTAGCCGTAGCAATCAACTAAATTTGTTCAATCGACATGGCTGAGACTTGTCATTGGGAAGTAGCCTATGAAAAGCTGCTTGACAACTGTGTCGGCGTAGGAAGCGTGAGGAATCGATATACGCGTATTATAGCTAGACATTAGTGGCGGTAGTTTATGTAATTACAGCACCTGCAACTTACTCATTACCTGATTAAGCTGTACCAAAGCAAGATTATAACAGAAAGATTTTAACGGATAATTTGAAGTAATTACAAAATCAATTAGTTTTTCATGTACATTTAGATAAGGTTTAATTTAATGGCCTGTGCAAGGGAAACTGGGCTCCGAATATGCTGTAAAAGGTCTGTTTTACACCGCAAACTTTACATTTTGATAAGGTCTATTTACCGTGGTTCATTTAAGAGCAAACAAGCCATATAAGTTGCAAGCCATTTAAAGCATAAAATTCTTTATCCAGATGGTCTAAGGTAAGACGGCCTATACGTGTCATCCAAGACCAAAACCTTATGTTGTCGCCATATATTAATTAGGCAAGAATCTACAGTAGCAAATATTAACTTAAGGAGCAAAGTTTAACATTTTAAGGCAAAAAAGATTTTTTAAATGATGTAAAGGATATCCACTCGAGTGAAAGCAAATTGATTTCTCGGTTTCACCTCGCAGGCTTTATAGGAAGTATTTTTTGTTCTGAGGAGTACAGGATATTGGGCAGCTTAGACTATTGTACGAAAGATGTCCATCTAATCATATTCTATGTATCCACGTTATTGACAAGGATAGCTTACCAATACGGATGCCATGACGATTTTGGAAGTAAGCCTACGCAAAGAAAACAGCGGGGAAAGGCAGAGCTGTTGGTTGAGAAAAATGTTTGGGAGGCAGCTGACGATGGCCTACGTACAATATTCATGCAAGCAGGTTATTTGTACCGCCCGTGGTCTCATTTAGACGCTGACTGAAGGAAAATTAAAAGACATCCTATATATTCTGGGACAAAATCAAATGTTATCAATTATAAAGACACATACATCTTTTTAAAACTATCTAATATATAGGACACAGAGAAGGGAAAGTTACGTGCATTATACTGTTTGGAGCAGGCAAGGGGGGTGGGGCACTACCGAAGCTAAGGGTGGAGGGGAGTCACGTGTCCACACGAGGCAGTGTCCTGGATGCGCCATTGCATATGTAAAAAATTACTGGCAATGATGGAGCATTTTGTAATAAAACGGGTTATATAATACTAACACTATTACAGGGAATGTTTCACAGTTTCAAACTAGCATAATAAAGCAACGTAGGCCTACCGTAAGCGTTTTGCAAAAATAGGAAGAACTTTTGTCACACAATTAAGTTTGAATGGTTTCGAGAATCAAAAGGTCAAAACAGCTGACTACTTGTGCAGGTGTTCTTAAGATTGATTAACCGTCGTGTTTTCCTCTGGAGTTATTTTTTAGATATAAAACTTCACAAACATAGTGGTTGTAATCATTTTACAACCCAAACATTGGATTTTCTAACCAGTTAAACTAGAAACCTATAAAAACGATGTCATTTTATCCCTAAACCGATTTCTTTTCGTTAACAAACTCTGCGTATGAAAAACTTAATTGTCAAAGGACAGAACAAAACTTGAACAAATCCTGGATACGTGGGAATGAATGCCACACAACATAATCTACGCAGTAGTTTTCTACAAGACCTAGCATGACAGGTAATTAATCTTTATAACGATAGATTTTAATAAATACATATCTCCTATTAGTCACTGTTTTTCGTTTGTCATTCTTGTGATAATGTTCAGTAACTGTTTGTGAGTGCACCGTTACATAAGCTAAAATCGGGCGTCGTTGTTTCAGTGCAAACTCATTTCAACGAGAATCTTTATTGACCAGTTCTTCGGAGTGATAATTTCTATTGCCCTTTCTCCTTTTCCACGTCTAAGTTTCCACTTTGTACTTATGGTAATCACTCCTAGTCGCTTAATAGTATTAAAATGTGACACGTCGCATCTCTAGTGAACAGACGCGTGGGAAAACCTAGGGCAATCAGTACTTCTTGTCGGTCGCTGGAGATTTTAAATGAAATCACTCTGTAAACGTATAGGAAAAATGACATGCGTTATGAAAGTTTACTTTACTGATAAATCATATATCATGACATGTTGATTCATATTTTGTATTCAAAGTATAATGTAAAATGTAAATGTAATCATGTAATCATGCCAATGCCAATTTTCAAAAATAAAAAATCTGAAAATCTTTGACGGCAATGGAAATTACCAGATATGGATTCTATGTCAATTCTAAAAATCATCTAAATCAAAATCAATTGACAAGACATGTATTAAAAATCAGATAATAATGTTAATTTGTTTTCACGACTTCTTACTGAGCTGATGTATTTAGTTAACCAGAGTTTCGGAGTTGATGCGGACCAGCTTCACAATTTTCAAACTTATATACATGTTCTCGAGTCTGAACGCGTTTGATGGAAGTTTACCTCGTCAATCACGGAACTACGTCACAAGCCAAATGCATTCTAGTGATTAGATTGGGACGGTCAACTCCAATCAATGGTGCAAGTGAAATAAGAGTCCCACATGCTAGTAAATGGAGATCCGCTATATTCCATACATACATTTCTGTATTATAAAGCAGTTTTTATAAGAAACTAAATGGAACTTTACATTCTCCCAATTTGGTTTCTCTTTACAACAAATAATGGAAAATCTAGTCTGTAGTCATATTCATTGTAACGTTGAGACAACTGGCATAGGCGTACTACACGCGTTAAAAATGTACCTAGGTACATTTTAAATACCAATGATATCCAATGCATTGATATACGTCTTTTTCAATTCAGACATTGGAAACTATAAAACAGCTCAAATAAGGGGCATCCGATGTTGAAATTTCTTAATGCAACGTCAGGAACTTTAAGCATTCTGTATGAATCAGGATACATTAAGAACCAAGTAATCTAATAAAAAGAATACACAAAGCATTGAATCTAAATGCAGGGAAAGATCGTGCAATAATTCAACAGTGGGAGAAATTTGCTTTTTTTTCTCAAAAAAAAAAAAAAAAAAAAAAAAAAGTTAGATTTGGCTTGAAAATCCTGTATAGGATAACCTCTACATAATGGCTTCCTTATGATTCCAAGCATGTAGCCAGTAACCTAAATTTAGTTTTAAAATATTCTATATTTATTGCAAAGTGTGTGAATCCTTTTTTTTTCAGGACATGGTACTATAGCGTACTAAACACCAAACCAAGATTGCAAAGTCTTTTTTCAATTTTTTCATAAATGTATGGTTTTCCCCCTAAAGTATAAGAAATGCTACAAAACCATCTCGAATGCTGGCTGTAATGTTAAACAAGACAAACCAAACAAGACTTCTAACAAAGGATAAATTTGGTGTATGCTTTTCAAAATACAAAAGTAAATGATGATGAACAAGCATAAAAATAATATATTCTTTATATCTGGTGTACAGATCTGAACCTTTCTCCTTTCTCAATATACAACTTAGACAAAAAGTTCAACTCATTCTACAATAACATATTTAATCTCTTTGACTCCATTAGTCTTGGATAACATGCAAAAAACATAGTAGTGTGAATTCATCTGAATGTCTAGAACTGGTCTAGGTTGGATTCTGAGAACCTGAACACTATCTCTGAATACAGAATGAAACAACTTATTGTGTTAACTATTAAAACTGCTTTGCAGCAGACAATGCTGATCAGAAACACGGGTATGATTAACAAAAGATGGCATATATATGACAAATATGGTTGAAACGCACACAAAAGCAGTCAACATGAGGAAACCTTACACCACAGAAATCTAGGCAAATGTAAGCTACTCGTAATTCATCATTACCACAACAGATTCAAGACATGCTGATTCAGCTAATGCCATAACCAAAATCAGATTGTCAACCACCAACTCAAAACAAAGAACAAGGCCAACGTAATATTTTCAAAAGCTACAATTCAAGATAAACATATTTCAAAGTGCATTCCCCAAATTCATTCATAAAATTTGTGCATGTATTGGTTGTGTTAATTTGAAATAAAGACAATTTTTTCTTTTCATGTGTCTTTGGTACAAAATAAGTAAATAAATAAATAAATAAATAAATAAATAAATAAATAATATCCTAATTGCAAGGAAACTTTTTAAAAATGCAAATTACTTGTACAACCAAGAATTTTGAAATGCTCCACAAAACACCTTATCACATACTTCATGTTTAAAGAAAACAAGATACAAGTGCAATTTTTGCCCAGTAGAAGGCCAAACTTTGAACAATTTGGATGCAAAAACGATTCACATTATATGATAAACTCTTACCAATAAAACATTTTGACAAGATAATTACAGCTGTTGATGCTATATTTCTATATCAAATGGATAATAAACTAACACCTAATAGCAATAATAATAAATAAATAAATAAATAAAATATTATGACATGACAATTACAGCTGTTGATGTTATATTTTTATATATAATGGTGGTGATAATTTAAAAGAATATTCAATAACACACAAAAAATCTTTACTTGGTGAATAACCTAAATATTGCAGAGGACAACAATATAAATTCTTATCCAGTGGATATTAATTATGCATCAAGTTCTATCATTGGCCTAATGGTAGTCAAGGGCCTGGTTGTGCCACGATAAAATTGTTCTCAAAAACTTAATAATTATAGAATGCTTTCTTCAGCAGTAAGCATTCCTTTACTGAAAAAAAATTGTAAGAGAAAATCACTTGGTGCTGACAAAGCAAAGGCTGAGACTCAACAATATTTCACAAAACCAGCTTTACCGATGCTAGTGTTATAGTTATTAAAAAAACCTGTCAAAAGCAACAAATATTCTCTTGGATAAATGCAACTAGAATATGACATTTTAAAGACAATGTAAAATATTATCAGCTGTGTAATTGTATGGGTGGTTTAGGTGAAGATGTCACAGTGAAAGCATTTATTGGGATTTTCTTTACCTAGTTAATAATAATGTCACCCTTTTCACTTTCTGTTTCTGGGACAGTCAATAATGAATGAAAAAAGTACAAAACTGTGAACAGCTTATGCATTACACAATGTTTCAATGACACTAAAAGGAGTTATCCACATCAGAAAACAAGCCCAAACAACACATTTCATTCTAAATATTAACTACTAACAGTTTCTAAATAAGTTGCCTCTACTATGCAGTTCTCCTCTGCTGTCTAAATTCAAGTGTTCTGGTTGTGTCAATTTCCACTGTGTGCAAACATTCCATGCTTTAACCACGTAGCCTACAGTACACACCAGTCTCCATGGAATGTGTAATGATTATATGGCATTATACCATTATACAACACAACTACAATTACATCTCTTTATCACATAATTTTATAAAAATTCATATTTGGGCCTTAGTCTTGGTTTTCAAAAAAAGTTCAATCTTATTCTAAATCTATACAGACTCAACTTATCATGTAATTTCTTACCCAATATCAAAAATAGGGTCCAACCAGACTAAAATGAAGACTTTAACCATGGGTGCTAAATCATACCTTCAAGTTTCATGGATCTTAAATGGTACATAACTTATTGGTAAATTTATCTAATAATCAAATGTGCAGCACCTCATAGAATATTTGTACAAAAATTTTTACACTTAATTAAAAAAATTCAACTGAATAACTGAAAGTGTGCTACATGCACCCATCCCCGCCTTGTCTAGAAGATAATTTTTTTCAGCAAATGCCTTAGATCACTTAAATTGGATAAAGGAAATGTCAGACATATTTGTCTCCACTATTCTGTTATTTACTTCAGGTGAAAATAATGGATATTTGCCTAAATGCTATTGTTATTTATGTAGAGTTCAAAGCCACAAGGGATCAAATATTGCCAAAAATATAAGTCACAACACTATTTTCACACATGAAGAATCCACATATCAATACAGGAAAGAAGCATATGTGAACAGCATTACAGAACAGAACTGACATCATGTGTGAGGAAAAAAATAAATCTAATACTGGAATTACCTAATGATTAAGCAAGATTGAAGAAGTTGCAGATCAGTGGTACCTTTCCCATTGTTGGATTGCTTCATTTTAAGTACTTAAGTTCAGTATTAGATTTATTTTTATTTCCCTTCTATGTGATGTCGCTGTGCTGGATGAATCAGAACATGCTCTCTCTGACATGTGTATTCAGACCCTCTACAGCACAAAATTACTATATGGCACTGTGATTTACTCACTTTTACTTCTTATTTTGCAATAAACTTGCAGAAAGGATCTTACAAATGGTCCTGCTTACCTGTCATATCATTTAAATATATTCTACCATCACTTAAAACATATTGGGCTGATTTTAAGGGGAAAATGAACTGATTTTCAATTATCAAAACTTACACATTTTTCACAAAAAAGTATCTTTAATTGAAGATATATCACGATGATCAGTCAAATGATCTTGTAAAATACTCCCCCCTCTTCCCTCCAACATTTTGCTTTTGAGCACCAAGATTATCACATCCCAGCATCATCGTCACCAGATGTCAGCAGCAGTTGCCTTCCAGCATAGGGGTTGTCTCGTCTTTTGTACCAGCAAAAGATGCCTACCCCTATCCCCACTATCAGCAGGAAAGCTAACGGACCAACTACAGCTGCTATCACAGTGGAGTCTGAAAGAACAACAAATATCCACATGTTAACTTAAATGTGTGTGTGTGCGTGTGTGTGTGTGTGCGTGTGTGTGTGTGTATGTGTGTGTGTGTGTGTGTGCGTGTGTGTGTGTGAGAGAGAGAGAGAGTCAGTAAATTTAAAGTAAAGCAAAAATAAGGTTTCCCATGTGGCAACGACACGGACAGACAGATCGATCAGAATATGTACAGATGCTTACTTACAGTGTCTGTCTATAAAAATTGAATTTGAATCATGGATATAGAGTAAAATAATAAATTGGTCTTTATCTTACTTATGCCAGGTTTTTCTGTTGCAGAGTTTGGTGCAATGTGTGGCTTTGTCACCCCACCAGGACTTGCTGTGGTAACTGTGCCTGAAAAAACATATATATTCAGTAATTTGTAATAAAATTCAATAAATGAAAAATAAATAATGAAGAGGTATTTATAATTGCGATCATCTATTTTGATTGCTTTTATTCTCATGTAGTTTTAGTGACTGACAAAAATGTAATTGACATGAAGCCAACAAGAGTTATACACAAAACACTGCTCAGGGTAAAACAATTAATACACTTTGTTCAAATTTAATGAACAATTCTCATACTTACCAGGAAACTTAGTGGGTCCAATGACTGGAGGTCCCACACATTTCTGACCATCCCAATTCCAGTCCAAAATACATTCACACACTCCGTCTCTGCATTTCTCTCCATTTCCACAGCTATGTTGATCAATCCTACACTGCTGGCCAATCTTACCTTTTCCTAGAAATACATATTCATAATGAGAGAGAAAAAAAAGGGAAAAACTACAGGGCTCATGGAAATATACAGCAATAATGTTAATACAGAGCAAAAACAATCATGGTTAAGTTATTTACTAGTCTGACTTTAGGCTAGCATGTTAGTTTTCATAATGTTTAAATTGACTCATGACAATTTTTACGTAATACAATATATAACAAAGAGTCACTAAAAAAAAACAGTGATAATTCAAAATTAAAGAGTTAGTTGTAAAGCAGTAAATAATATTTATAACTCAATGAACAAAGAAACTTGTAATTTGATTAATGTGTCATCATAACTTACAATACCTAAGTATTTTTTCACATTATATGCTCGTTTGTAGTAAGTATAGTCCAGACTTATTGATAGATACAGACCCACGAAATATGATTGACGTGTCATTTTAGTGACATATTTACTTTCGTTGGTTGTCAAAATGAGGTCTCCATTTGGATGGAAATGGCAGCATTGTAATGAGCAAGATACCAGGATATATATGGCATTGTACTAGGTAAAGTAGGGTTTTGCTGTGCATCAAGACAGGGAAATTGTTCAGAAAAGTTTTTGTTCATTGAATGATAAAGTTGTTACCCCATGTTTACTTGAGCAATAACAGTTTATATTGATCAGCAGTGAGCCTCCAAGGCTCTCTAAAAGAATAACTAGTTGGATTTTAAGATGGATTTCACATCACACCACAGAAACACTGTATAAACTGTTAGTAATATGACAGTTACACTGTAAGGAATGCTGTGAACTTGAAATATTCTAATTAGTGAATGTATATATGTGCCATCATTCATGAATGCAAATTTGCTGACGATTGATGTAAAAAAGTCTTTGAATTCATAATAAAGCTAGTTAAATTTATCTAATCTGTATTCTCTCTCTTAGTTTCAAGCATTATATATAGTTAACATGTCCTGAAGCAGACATTTTATGGCATCGCTGTTATTGGCCATTATAAACTGAAAAAGCCAGCCACCCCTGGCATGTTTTCTCAACTCTGACAAAGACGCCTCAGATGAATTGGTTATGTGGCTCACTGAAAGACAGACTGATTCCAAATGACCTATTATATGGAGGATTAGCTTCTAGTACAAGACTTGTGGCTGGACCAGCCCTTCAGTTTAAGGACGTCATCAAAAGAAACATCAAGCCGTGTAACCACAACAAACTGGGAAATTGTGGCAGATGACAGACATTCACGGAGAAGTACTGTTCTGTCTGGTAGCAAACAGAATGCCGAGAAATGTGTTATAAAAAGGGAAACCAAACACAAACATGCCATTGTCTCACGAAACAAAAAGACGACATACATAAAAACTGAGAAACATGCAGAATCAACAGAGGTTAAAGAAAAGTAAGGATACTATACTGACATATATGCAACATGTACATGGACACCCCATGCTACTATGCTATAAGAATAACAGCACAGCCTAAACAACACCAAACCTTCAGTTGTAGGAGGGATCTTTGAGTGATGAGGTCCTTTTGTCGTTTCTCTGGGATTTGGTGTGGAGGAAGAAATGGCTTTATGATCTTTATCTGTTGCAGGCGATGGCAACCGACCTGATGTTGGTGCTGGTGCTGCTGTTGTTGTTGTGCTCTTCAAATTGTTTAAAATGCTCAGACAGCGGCTGCTGGTCATATGTGTGATAGGGGCGGGTGTAGTGGTTGCTGATGGACATGGAGGCACTGGGATCTTAATCCCTGGAACTATTTTCCTGGTGAGACCTTGAGGGAAGAATTCCCTACCAAGGGCAGTCAACCTTATCCTAAACGTCACCTAAAAGAATAAGAATAAATAAATATTTATATATTTTTTTTTTTCCAAATCATTTCTCATCAGTTTTTTCCTATTTTGCTGGCTGACAAATGATAAAAAGGATTAAAATCATGTTTTAATTACTTTTAATAATCTCTTCAATGACATTGTGACATCAGTTCATTGGTTGAATTTGCCAGTGTAGCATTAAAAGCTATATTTTGGATCTATATATTTTCCAATTTATCATATGATTTTGTATTGATAAGGTTACACACCCCACAAAGGACCCTCATGTAAGTACACACACACACACACACACACACACACACACAGAGGCACAGAGAGAGAGAGAGAGAGAGAGAGAGAGAGTTGCACTGGTAGAAGTATCTATCTATCTATCTATTTATTCTTTTTTATACTGGTATCACATTATAAAATTTTTAATCATGCTTGTACATGAGGAAAAATGTAAAAAGGCATCTCAGCAGAATCCCTATTGAAAACAAAACAATAACTTCAGCAAAATACAATTTAGATTTATTGTTTGACTTTGTCTCAAAGGTTATATATCAACTACCTATATAAATACTTACTGATAAGTTGACCATATTTTCCTTTGGCACTCTCTCTATGTTGACTACGAGAATTCCTTGAATACCGCCAAGGCTGTTGTTGAAATGCAATCCTGAAAATGATCCAAAACAAATACAAATGCTTATAATTGCTATAAAATTTTAATACAAAATCAGTGATATCTCAAAGAAAGCTTAAAAAATGGATAAAAATCTTATGGATCTATTCACACAGTGACTTACACCTTGACTTATATGGGTATACAGTATCTAAATTTTGAATGCCCACATTTTTTAATGTGCCCTTGTGCAATATTCATCCTATGAAAAAAAAAAAAAATTACAAAAGCAATCCACTGATGATATTTGTGAGTATATCATATTAATGGCCTAAATGCATTTTTTTTAAAACTCAGAGGTAGAAAACACTGTATTACCAGGAACTTGCACAGTTTCATTGGTGTGTACTCTCTGATCAAAGTGTACTCCATTGTGTGGTAGAACAATGTGGAGGTCCACTGCCGGGGGGTTCTCACAGTGCTTCATTTCCACCCCAAAACACAATGGAATGTTCCTGACAGGAATAAACCTGGCAAAGAGGCCCTACAAGGCAAAAAAGTGATGTCCAGAGAGCATGATGAGTTTGATGAAAAGGTAGGTTGGGTTAAATTATCACCATTTCATATAAGTACATTTTTATGCTTATATTTCTGCTGCAACATTCATCCATCTATAAGGTTCAACCGAACTTCATTTTTGTTTAATTTAAATTCAGTATGATGCTTTGTCTGGAAAGTAAGCAAGTTGAGTTTAAAAATCAGTGCAAGATGTGATTTTTTTTTTTTTTTTTTTGACCAAAGCCTTTGCGCATTTTGCGGTATTTTATAATCCTGCTGGTTTAAAAATATCTCACTCAGTGTCTTTTCTTCCACAATCAACCCAAATTTGAGACAGTATGAATTTTCTTGGATATTTCAGCAAGTTTTAACCATTAATTTAATAACTTTCTTTGAAAAAATTAGCAGTTTTGATTGTAACAGTGCAATTAAGATGTTAAGATAACTTGAAAATTTACTTTTTTTTTTAGAAAATTATTAGACAAAGCTGCTTTATGCCAATTAGAATAACTTTATATTGGAAAGCAGATATGCCAATAAAAATAGTCAATTTGTTAAGAAAAAAATGCATCTCATAACAAGGGAAAGGAGAATTTAAGTAAAAATTTCAGCAAATTTTACTTCTGAACACCAATGTATGTATATCAGTTAAAGTGCTCTTGTCGTGCTTTTGATGGCACATCACCATAAACAAATTATGAAAGTGCCTGTTAACATTCTATGGAATATTGGGTCCATTTTCTTTTTCAGTTCAGTGTTTGTGTACTTGACAGCTTTGCTGTTCAGTTTTCATTTTAAATGACTCTAGTACACCAATATCGCCTTGTATGCTCGAATATTTTCCATATGGGGAGTTGACATCTTCTTCAATGCACATAGCAAATGTCACTTACATCGTATGTAAAGGAGCCTCCACAAACAAATCCATCACACTCTTTTTCTTTCTTATGACAGCTCACTCTGAAAGTTTCCTCAGAATAAAGTTCTTGAGAAATGTTTTCCCAAACCTGACACTGCTTTTGTGTTGATGGTGTTGTAGTGGTTTGAGTGCCTTCAGCTGGCAATAAAGCTGAAAGACATTTACAAAAAAAAAATTATATCTTAATATATTCAAGTACTGTGAGAACAAAAGACAATATATATTTTATAAAATTTTTTAATTCAGGATTTAAAAGCTGTGATTCAGGATGAATATTTTCGTTGTTGGACAGTGGCTTTAATCTTTGACATGATTTTTCAAATCACTCATTTGAGAAACTCAAGTAAATCATTAAATTATATTTATTCTCCTATTCTTGCTGGGCTGGAGCAAAATGTTTATTTAACTATTAAGATCTACATCATCAAATTGTATACAACATAGTACCGAATTAATAGTAAGTAGTGTGTCAGTTATTAAGATTTTATCGATATGTAACTCTGATATATACTTCTGAAGACTGCATAGGTTCCAAGTCATACTTGAGCACAATAGATAACATACAGGGGCATAGCTATGGTTAAATTAAGGGTACTAGTACTCTACTTTTTGTATTAATTCTTTAACAAGTGGTTAAACCAACATGCTAGTTGCCTGAGGCAGGCAGCCATGGATGGAAGGGTAGGAGGGGGGGGGGGGCTATTTTCATATCAACAAATGACTGCCTATATGCTATCATATCTGGTAATATGCCTTTTTGAGGTATGCCACATTTACATTTATACAGCAAACCACTACTGAGCAGATGTAGAGAAAGTGTAATTTCTGGTCCAAAATGGGTCCCGCGAACATATTTGTATACCATTCTTTTAATCTCTAATTGAACAAAAAATTGCATGTGTATGCTCACTACGGTTAATGACTAGGGATCTCTGACTTAAAAAAAAATAGATAAAAAATTATAATAATAAATAGATAAATAAAAAAAGTGTATAACTTCAACCTTCGGGTTGCGATGTTTCAATAAAAGATTATTATTATTATGATTATTATTATTATTAACAGGTAGCTACGCCACTGGCAGAATTGTAAAGCTACTTGGTAAAACAAATGTGAAAAGAATGAATATACATGTATTTGATCAACTTTTAGAAAAAAACTGAACAGTTCTATCTACATACCAAATATAATAATTAGTAACAAGAAACAAACGCCGATGAAATTATTCATGTTGCACAAGTTCATGCTAACTTCCCATTTGTTGAATTTTGGTCCAACTGCATCCAATTGGTGTTTTATGTTTGTTATCAATAGCTATAGACGAAGATTATTCTTCACCTGCGATGACCCTAAACCACTTCCTTGTGAAGAGATACCCCGCAGCATACTATTGCATTTACTGTAATATTATTACTTATTTTCTATTTGATATTTGTTATCCTTATGAGACACCAAAAATGACATATCTCCTGAATAAGTAGTATTTATTATATACAGGAGATATACAACTCAAACTTCACATTTCCTGTTTGGCTGCGGGATGAGAATTATGACGGACGGACTGACAAGGTAAATAAACGGAAATAAATTACTATTTGTTGCATATTTATTGTATTTATGCATATCAAGTTAAGATATACTTAACATCCCTTATATAAGAACAGCCACTAACTATGTTATACCTGAACATTTCTGGAGCATCAAACCCCCCCCCCCCCCCCCCCCCCCCAACCTCCTACCTCGTACTCAGTACATGCATCAGCATCTCTTCTCTTTCTTTGTACATTGTCTCTTCTCGTTGGTTATATTGGATTTATTTAGATGACATACTTCATTCCAGGTGCAAAATCATAACTGATTTATTGTCTAAGATAATGCAGTACTCTGTATGTGATCAATTGTTAATACTATCATGAATGAGTAATGTCGGGGTTTATTTCAAGGGAAATGGTTGTAGAGTTTCAGTTAGAACAATGTTTACGGTTGGATAAATCTACTCTATTTTTTTATTCTACAGTTCTGCTTGCCATTTCTAGTTATTTGTTAATTGATATATAGAATTCCCCAATATTTCCTTGTAAATTGCATATTTGAACAAAATAGTGTTAAAGGTAATTGATTTTTAAGTAACATGCCCTGGTAAACATCCAGCATACATTCTTGTTTTATTCTCAATGTATATTTTAATTAAAATTTGCTTTTATATTATTTAGGTCATGTAGCTTTGACTCATCCTTTGAGCAGGTAGAATTTCCACCTCGAGATCCAGTAAGCACTATAGCCAGCTCAAAACCTGAAGATGTTGTAATAGGAAGAAGTTCTAAGTGTTTGACTAGATGTAGGTTTGACTCACTGTTTGAAGAAGATGGAAGGTTGGTCAATGAACATAAGTTGAGGGAGCTAGTGTTTTCAGGTAAGAAGGTTTAGGCATATTCCAAACCATCCAGTGGTAAGATTCATAAAGAATTACTAGTAAGTACCCATTCCCATAAACACTATTGGTCTATATCATGCCATCTATTGGTCTATGTAAATGTTGCCATCTCTGCCGGAACTCTGTGTGCAATCAGCTTAATTGAACGACACATCTCCTCTTGGCATTGAGTAGAATAAATTTAAACTTAAGAAAAGTTGGTGATGATATGAGTACATTGGAGACAAGAGGAGGCTTGTCATTGAGGTAAGTTGATTGCACTCAGCAATAGTCTTCGCAGAGTTGGATTGATGGTATGTAGATCGATGGTATCTATGGGGAAATGGGGTCTACGATTGTACAGATCAGTTTTCTTTTTTTTTTCTTTCTATGGTTTGATATATCACATGTACATGTATGCATGGTAATATCTTAAATGAGACTCCTTGTAAACCATGTAGTTTAATTTTTCTAATTTTGCTTCAGATATATAGTCATGAAAATAACAAACAACAGCAAAAACAAAATCAGATTAATTTATTTTTACCTTAACTTAGTCCATTCAACGAGTAGTGTGAACAAAGGACTAACATTAACAATATCGATGGAGCAAAGCAGCATCTTATGAATTGATTGTAACTGCATTGAAAAATCACAGTGTAAAATTCCAAAAACATTATTCAGACTAGCCATCACCTTGGTTGCATGTGAAACCATCTCACTGATAACTTTATTAAATTTACCCAATCTGCGAAGTGTAACACCTACACATCAAAAATCATCAACCATCTCTAATTTGTTGCCACCATAAATATGGTTGACCTCACTCTATTTTCATTTACTGAACACACAAATTTTTATCTTATCCACATTCACTGTAAGCTGCCATTTATATATTCCTGTAAATAATGCAATAAAACTGGGAGATCCTCTTCTGATCGAGAGAAAAGAAATGTGTTGTCTACAAACAGAAGGTAGAAATTCACCATTACCGGTAATGAAATTAAGTCCACTTTTTGAATATTCTCTCTATTCTCCATATTATTTGCTAACATAAAAAATATTTAGGGAAAAGTGGTTCACCCTGTTTTACCCTATCATCAATGTTTGGAAGTAATTGTACTGAAATTAACTTTGTTTCAGGAGGAATATCTCCTGACTTAAGAAGTGATGTATGGCCATTTCTATTTGGGTTATTTCCTTGTACCTCTACACCAAGGTGAGTCTGTTTAGGCCTTTGGTGCATGAAGAAAAAACAGCTGATCATGAGTGGTTGCTCATGTTTTTTTTCACTTTTCTGGGATGATTTTTTTCCTTTTCAAGTTTCTTCAAATAAGTACTAACTAATATTGATTACCAATCCATGTTTTTAAATGACACTCAAAAGATTGCCCATGCATTTTGCAAAACTCTGAAAACTGTGTATCATATTGCTGAATTTGAGTATTTTTGTAGGGAAAGGCAAGTTTTAAAGGCAGAGTACAGAGTGAGATATATGGCATTGAAGGAAAGATGGAAAGAAGAACTGTCTCAGAGAGAAGGTGAATAACTGTTTTATTTATTTATTAATTTATTTATTTATTAATTTAAATAGACCTGGTTGGCTTATTTTTGTAATCTGTAATATTTGTAGCAATAGTCCTTGTACAGTAATTAACTGAGTACTGGTATATGCAATAAAAACAAGCTACATGTTTACAATGCAGTGTGATTTATGATTGTTGAACTGTAATTTTCTTATCTTCTAATATGCAATTCTTTTACTGAACAGATTGTCAAGGTCTGTTAAATCCGACATATATCAGGTATCCTGACAACCATGATGATAACCAAAGAAGTAATATGCCAGATGATATAAAACAGCAAGTAGAATTTATGAAAATTCAAGCCAAGGTGTGTAATTATTTTATTTAAAGTCGTGTTGTAATATTTCAAATATCTTAAATGAATGTGGAAAAGTATTGTTTAATAGCAAAAGTTTCAGTCAATAAAATGCAAGGCATTGGCTGAAAAATAAAGTTTAAATATGCAAAGTCAACACATATCGTTGTTTTAAAGGCCTTATAGTCATACAGTATTGTTTTGAATGAAAAAAGTTATGGGTCTTATATTGCTGGCATTTTTTTGTTGTTGTTGTTGTTTTGTTTACAGGTCTATGCAGGGAGACATGAGTTTCACATAGAAGACTTGAAAAAAGCAATGAGAACAATCAATAAAGATGTTCCTCGAACAGACAGAGACATTCCCTATTTCAGGTAATTGTGGAAATAGATGTGGGAGTGAAAAAATTACTACTGTATCAACTAATTACAGGCCATACAATAAATGAATAGAAATATTTGCAATAAACCAGTTAGAATAATAGGAAAATAGAAAGCAATATGCAGTGTAAAAATGATTAATGCCAGAAATGCCTCTTGTGCAGTTCATTCAGAACAAATCTGGACAAATTTGATTACTAATAAATTTCAATTTTATCTAATAAATGCATAGGTTAGCATGTACCACACTACTACCAACATACAAGCACTCCAAGCCGATAGAAAAATATAGTGAAAAAATGAACACAATTACATTAATGTTGACTGATTTCAGTGGAGACAATCCCAACCTTACAGTGCTGAGAGATATACTGGTCACGTTCTCTGCCTTCAACCCACACGTTGGCTATGCTCAGGGCATGAATGACATTGTCAGCAGGTTCCTGGTGGTGTTTGATTCTGAAGTGAGCCTTAACTTAGAATAATAACAAGAATAATAATGATTATGATGATGATGATGATGATGATTATGATGATGATGGATCAGATTTATTTTTAAAAATGTCTCACCACATGTGTCTCAGCAAAGTCATGTAGAGATTAAAAAAGTAAATAGAGATTAAAAACCTTAGAAAGAATTTGAAGGAAAGGTATGATAATTGAAATTATCCCTTCACTTTTGAATATCATACAGAAATGATAAAAAAAATGCATGATCAATTAATAATTTTTTAATGACTTGAAGTAAAAAGAAATGTGTAGGCTAGTAAAAACAAAAAGTTATTATGATAGTAGAGGTGTTATACAGAGTTATGCTATCACATAACACTTTTGATTAAGGTAAGATGGGAGTGTAAGTTTTTACTGTTCCAAGTCATAAAAGTTAAAAACAGCAGTATTACATCTTTGATTTTGGACTCTTAATCACATTTTGACAGGTTGAAGCTTACTGGTGTTTTACCAAGTACATGGAAAATGTACAAGAAGAATTCACAGAACATGGGATGTTAGATAAAATTGGTAAAAACGACTTTCTCAACATAGATACACTGTAGTAGTCCTGCCTTATTGGACATTCATTTTTTAAACCTGTAATGTAGTGTTTTCCAGAAATTATTGGTAATGGTAACATATTTTAGAGAATGAATACCTTGTTAAGATGATTCAGCTTCAGAGGTTCCCTTTTCCTACCTCTTCTCCTTTTGCCTGCCCTTAGCAGTATAAAAATCAAAACAAGATAGGGATATTATGTTAATAGATTAATAGATGCTGATATTTCAAATTCTGGTATTTTGTAGTTCTTGTACAGCAGTTGTTGACAGAGCTGGACCCTGTTCTCCACAAGTACCTGGCACACTGTGAAATGGGAGATCTCATGTTTTGCCACAGGTTAGATATTTTCCATTATTGTTATAAAACGGCACATTTGATTGTTATATTTAATATTTGTCGTTGGGACAAATGATTACTTCTCTTCAAAATATATTAATCTTTCATTTTGTTCAGTTAGAATTTATGTGATTTTCTTTAAGGTTCAAATCAGTGCAAAAACACTTATTTGATGTCTTTTCTTTTTTCAGATGGTTGTTGTTGTCGTTTAAGCGTGAGTTTGCTTTCGAGGACTCATTGAAGTGCTTTGAGATTCTCTGCAGTCATCATTTAGAACTCTCCTCAATGGAAGCAGAAAAAGCAAGAGATAGTGAAAGAAGGAGAGATTTTGAGAAGCAAGGTGGGAATGTACAAACAAAACAATGAGACATTATGAAAATACGTCAACTGTTGTACATTAAGAAATACATATATTTTATTTGTAATGTGATGTTTTAAGGTCAATGTTAGCAAGATAGTTAAGACCTGAGAGTTGAAAATAATTAATTAAGTCATTGCCCTTTTATTACTTGAGTTAAACCCATGTTTTTCTTCAAATTGTCAGGTGGCAAAGTGAGGATAGAAGAGTCCCCATACAACCCAAGCTACACATTTGAATTGTTTCTGTGTGTTGCAGTATTGGTTGAAAATAGAAAAAAAATCTTTAAGTGTACAGATGGTGTGGAGATCTTTCAGTTCATCAACAGGTGGGTTGTTGGGTTTTGAATAATTTATGCCATACATTACATAGGGTTGTAACTCAATCTTTTCAAAGGGAAAAATTATCAATATTTCAAATACTTTATGTTGGAATCATTAAACTTTATGTTTCTATATAGCACTTGTGGTGCTTTTCTTGTGTAGAAAGAAGTATAGGATGGCATGCAATTTTGTTGCTGCCACTCAACAGGAGTGTTCTAATTTTGATAAATTATGACTTTATAAAATACAGTATCTAAAATTCACAATTTTTCCCATTGAAAATAATATTAAGCCATTACTGTATCTATTCTTACATTAAAAAAAAAAATTCGTAACATTTGCACCAGGTATATCTTCCAGTTATGGTATAAAGCCTTTAATATAGGACAGTAATAGGTGACTTCAACTTATTATGTTGGATGCAGCAATCTTTTTTGTTTAAATTTTTGAAAATAGAAATATATGTATAGTAGCATGGCATTGTATAACCTTTTGTATGGATTTTGTTACAGTCTAACCATGAAATTGAATATAGATGCCATGCTGAGCAAGGCTGAGACATTATTTCTGAAGTACTGTAGAAAATCGGTGATTGACTGTTTTCAAGTGGTGGACCCGCCAACTCCAGAACCCAACAAAGGCGCTGTTCATTTCAAAGTAAAAGCAGCACATGTACACTAGCACAAGGGTTATTTTTACTTTAATGGCCTTTTCTTATTCAAAACAACCACTTATTTCAAGTCCTATCTTGGCCTCTCAAAATGGCTTAAATAAACTGGATTATTAGAAATACTAATTAAGACTCATTCTGTGAGCTATAATTCAGTATCTGCATCTTGTCATATATGACATTAACTTTTTTTGTGGGAAGGATTCCAAGTAAAGTTGAATAAACTTCTTACTCAAAGTCATGATAGTACAATTAATCTTCTTCTCAAAGATGATGATCATAAATGATTCAGATGTTATCTTGTTAAAAAATCTGACTGTACACGGTGTTTCTAAACCTTCATAGTGGTTGACTAATATTGAAATGGCTTAAGATTTAAAACATGAAATAAATTTTGACATTTGGCCACTGTTAGACAGCAACTGAAAGTGAACCAGTGCGCTATCTAAGGCTCTTTGAATTAAAGGGGGAAAAAATAATTTATTTTTTGTACAAAGTTGGAATCAAACTTAATATCCTGAAATCATTCCTAGAAATGGTGAAAAGTGATAGTAAACTCATGGCATTGATTGTCCATTCTTTACAAAACTTATTATTTCATAATATCAATAAGAATCATTGTGTATGTGTAAATTTAATGTGACTTTTCAAATGTTAAGTTAGTAAAATTGCCAGTATATATTTTATATATCAATTATCTGATTTATTCAGTTGTAAATTGTTGAACAATTGTTATATGTCAGGTTATCAGGGTTCAGTGATGTTGGTTAATTACACTGTCAATAATGTAAAGCTTTTAGTTACTTTTTCTATACTTTTTATATACACCTGGCATTTTCTTGGTTCCAAGCATGTCAGAAACTTACTTTTCTTCACAGCAGATTGTTTTCTTAATTTCCATACATTCTTAAATTTGGGATAATCTTGATAACTGTGGTATCCTATATAAATTTACTTCAGAATTTCTTTTTAAATTGCGACTTACATTTACTTGCTCACAGATGCCCATCTTTAGATGACAAAGTGCTAAAAGTTAAGTCTCAATGTTTAACTCTCAAACTTGTAGAATTGTGCAATAATGAATGCGAATATTTATTTTCATTATGCATTATCTGGTTGGAAAAGGGCAATAAACTTCCAGTTTATAAAGAAAGCCTGGAAGCATAATTTCCTTTTTAATGTTTTGTGTTAATTACTGGGGCACACTATTCTATACAGAGTGAAAAAGTTTGAAGTTCAACAATATTTCTTGTTAAAAACAATACAAGATTGAAAAATATTCTACTGCAATAAAACAAATAATGAAAAAGATATGCAAACTTTCTCTAGTGACAATTGGCTTTATTTAAATAAAATATTATCATGATCCAGTTTACTTTTCACTAATATTTGCCTTATATGTACATATCCTCAAATGGTGCAACAAGGGTTTTTGTAAAACGGGATGAGTTTTGGGTTCTTATTCTAGTGGGGAAATTAGGACATCAAGCTTGTTCTCGTTGTTTCAAAGGAACTCAGCAAGTTATTTTTTCATTATTAACTGCTGTTCAGTTCGAGTTTTATTTCTTTCCTTTCTGTCACCTAAATAAAAAATAAACATTTTAAATTGTAAGCACATATATTTACATAAACAGTAATTGTAATACACAGTGATTGGTAATACAAGATTTTTTAAACATGTTCAGGTTATATACAGACCACAGGTGAATGGTACTTTCTTACAATTTCTTACAAGCATGTTTCTGTCTCAGCAAAATGTGTAGATGAATAATTAAAAATGGTTTGGGGTTGGCTAATGAACTGCTTTTCAAAGGACCAGTGAACTTTTCTTAACATCAGTGTTAGCATAAAAATGCAGACATGTCAAAATAAAACAAATTTCAAAGACAGTTAGAGACAGATTCTTTTGCCCTAATTACAAGGATAACTGTTATGGACAGAATTTGAGATCGCTTGAAAGGAGGGTGGTGGCAGTGTGCATGCATGACATCATAAAAGATTAGAAAAGTGTGAGAATCCGAAGTGGGACTCACTTTTAGATGACGCGGGTGAAACAATGCACTGGGAATGTCTTCTTATCGCTTTGAAAGCAATACAAAAGTAACACAAAATGTGGCTAATTTATTGTGTAATACGTACACCGTAATTTAGCAGAAAACAACCAAAAAAATATCAGTGGTTGAATTCTGCCAGCTTTTATTCACTGCTGCACCAAACTAACTAGTTTGCCATTATTTCTGACCCCTTGATTTTATAAACTTGATTGAATTTACATTGACTAATATGCAAAAGTTAATTAAAATCCCAGATGATGCCCATTCTAAAGACTGCTAGCTTTTGATAGACCATGTCAGTATTTGAGTAATAAGCAGTATGCCAGCAAACACTGAAATTTGGCTTTAGCATCTAGAATGAATGAGTGTGTTCTCCAAATAAATGTCAACTATTCACATAAAAACACGTCTAACAAAGCACATAATCACATTGTCTAGAATTTGTAGAAACATTACTATGTCACCAATGACCAAAATGCTGGGTAAAACAATCCACATTTCAAGGCTAACAAAGACTCTGTACATTAATAGCAAGAGATAAATATTTTGGTGTTGTTCAAGTATACCAGTAAAATGTCAACTGCAGTAGAACATTGCCAATATGCTATCAATGCCCTACAGGTAACATTCCATCACAGCCACTGCTGTCACTAGGGTGCAGCACATCTCTGCAACCTCTGTACATTAAAATGAATTTATTTTAGTAATCCTCAGCCCAAGGGTTTGTCTCTAAATAATGATCTATTACTTCTTTCATTGCAAGATTTGGAATAAGCATGTCCTGTGTAAGATCTGTCCGTGTTACTGGATCAAAATGACCAACTCTCTGAAACAGAAAAAATAAATAATGTACCCATGTAATTATGTTTTCCCTTAAGTATGTATGATCTATGAAAAACAAAATGAAGTTATAAGGTGGACATTGCAATGAATCATCTATCAAAAAATAGTGTGAATAAGAGAAAATAGTAATGTAGTGTGAATAAGAGAAAGAATAAGAGGCTCTGAGAAAAACAAGACTTGTGAAATGATGCAATCAGAAGTTACGATAAAAATCGGAATATAACTGCAATCATTTAGAAAGCACAGCACATAAAACCAACTAAACTGAAGTAAGGTGAGGGGTAAAACCAGTTAGCACCAAAATCTTTTAAGACTACCGTGCCACAGGACACCAGAATCTACTAGCCCAAAACAGAAATATTCAATTTGGCCAGTAATTGAACAAATTTTATTAATTTACTGGTTCTACTTCAATTTTACTGGCATTTGGCAAGTAGCCAGTGTTAACATCAGACCATATTAAAATAAAAAAACTTTCTACTTTTTTCCAGAGTTTACCTGTAAGTGCTCCTCAATATCTTTTTTATCATATGTAATACCACTAGGAGTTATCACAGGATCTCGCATTAATTCAAAACTGATGCGACCACACAAGTAATCTGGAACATCTCTTTTCTGACAAAGAAGAAGGAGATGGGTTAACATGTATGTAATACCATAGGACAGTCACTAATTGACTAAACTTCCGTGTACTCTCAGCATTACAATTATTTACAGAAATAATTACTATTATAGTTATTATTATAATAATGAAAATAATCAGTCTTTAGTAAATAGCCTATATTGATGCCCTACCTTTCTTCTTTCATCTAGCTGTACAAAAAGGTCATTCAGTTCACTGCGCCTTTTTTGCTAAAATAAATATTTTTTAAAACTTTGTCATCAGAAAACTATGAAACCATAAAGCTTTTCATAACTGCACATAAAGTGTACAGATGACAAATAAATTAAAATAAAGTGTTCAAATTTTCAATTTTATATAGAGAGAATTTATTGCAGCCAAGTACACAACTGCTATGTTGATCATGCACAATACACAAAAACATAAGCTAAGACTAAACAGTAGGGGAATCACTTCTGTCCTGCAAGCACACTAAAGTACATATGTATATATAAATTTATATGGAATGAGCATTTCCATTAACTAAAAAAAAAAAAAAAAAAATACTTACATGGTCAGTTTCTATGCTTTCTTCTTCTTCTGTACAATCTAAGTCACCAGCTACTTCTCGGACTGCTTGGATTTGTCTAAAAATGAGTATCATTTGGGAAAAAAGCTGTCATATTTACAGACAATAAGCAGAAAGTAATGATGACAGTGCACAAAATATGGTTTTTGTCAACTTGTGCAATATAGCATAATGCTTAACAACATAATCACCATCAATTTTTATCATACACTACTGTTACTATAAACATCCAGAAAATGCAACTGGCAAAAGTCTTGAGGCCGATTGGAGTTGAAAGCCACAACTCGGAATTCCCAATGAGTTAAAAATAAGAAATTCAATTATTCAAAAACTACATACCCTCAAGAAAAAAAATGGTGGTATGAAAACTTAATCTAAATATGGTGCTGTGAAGCACTCAAGGAAGTTTTGGGATAATATGGTTTTCCTTTAAGTGTTAACGATGACAATGCCTCCCCCCAAAATAAATAAATAAATAAATAAATAAATAAAAAAAAGTTTTTAAAAATTTTGACATACTGTGACTTTACATGTCAATTAATAATTAGTGATTACAGCAAAAATTTACGTACAAAATATTTTCCCAGCCACAGAAATGATTCTTTGAAAAAATATCAGTTAAAAGATACAACACAATAGTTTCTGATATCGTATGCTTATTTGTTTCAGTAAATCTATGGATAATGTTAATTTTAATTCTATATTAATTTGTCTCACCTTTCCTTTTCATCAGTGATGAGTTTGTTTAAATAAGATTGCAGCTCAATTTCCTGTTGGATGCGTTTCTCCTCAATAGCATTCCATCGTCTTTTCTTTGCAGCTCTTAAAGCACTGGCAATATCATCTCCAAAATTCAACTTCTGTTCTTTGGCCAGGTCATTTGCTAGAGAACCAAGAGTATTTAAACTTAACCTCTACATCTTCATGATATTTTTCAATATGGATTTTAAAAATTAATTTATGAAGATACAGACCTTTTTTCAGACAAGCTATGGATTCTTCAAAAGCTTTGAGTTCTAACAGAGCCTGTCCTTGGAAGAAATGTCCCTTAACTAGATTGTAATCCAGTTCAAGAGCCTGTTTGCAATCTTGTATAGCTAACTCCCACTGCTTCATCTTCAAGTAACACAATGCCCTGTTTGTGTGATATGTTGGAACCTGAGGACTTTTCATCTGAAAAGTTTAAATTAATCATAGATAACATCCTTAACAAATAAAAAAACAAACAAACAAACAAATAAATAAATAAATAAATAAATAAATAAATAAATAAATAAATAAATAACAAATATGAGAACCAACATAGTTATTTTGAAGCCAAAAAGATATTCGAATAACTTATAAGAATCAGCATAAATATTTGACTCTTTTCAAACGTAACCACGAATTTATACAGTAATATTTTTTAGAACCCAGATTTCCCACGAGCTTATAAGCCACATAAACACTGGTACGTTCGTTCACAGGGTCTGAACCAGACCTTCCCGGAGAAAGATAAGGAACAAGACCACTCCTACACTCCAAAAAAGATAATTGAACACTTGAAGCAAACGAAGGGACTTACAATTGCTTTACTGTAGCAAGACACTGCATCCTTGAATTTGCGCACTGCAAACAATCGATTACCCTGCTCTTTGAGATCTGTGGCGCTCATGATTGTTTTTCAGTTCAAAGTCTGTGAGTTTTATGAAAAGAATAAACCAAAAGTCCTTGTATCACCGAGAAGGATCATGCCTTCTTACATTCCTGTCAACTTCCAGAAACTTATCTGTTTACGTATGCAAAATAGATGTCGCCCTTCTAAGAGAGACCGACCGTCTATGATATTTGAACCGTTCAGATAGGATTTTTTGTTCTCAGTAAAGTTATATTGTTAATTAAAACTGGTATCAGTGAAATTGCTAAATAGTAATGTATGCATTTTTTGTGCAGAAAATGACTATCAGTAAAGTGCCTCGTCTTGGGCATGCTCCATCTATCGATTGCATTTCTAATTAGAAGCTTACGTCGCAATGGCTGCGGAAGAAAGCGTGCCAGATGGCAGAGTGGTTGAACAAACACCCGAAGGCACTGCAGGAGAGCACGGCTTCTCCGTTGAAGGTAAAAATGACTAAATTTTAACTTTTGTACTTGATAATGTCCCATATTTTGGCTTGTTTATTCAAGAACAACACCAACTCGAATTCCACATGTGAACTTCTCAATTCAGCGTTGCAGCTACATTTATTGGCTATGCAGTATGCCCACATGTATACAAGTCTGTTTTTCTTTCATATTCAGTTTTTTGGTGACTTCAGTCAATGCCTCTGCTATTCATATAAATAAGCTTGGCTGCTTGTGTAAACTTATATTCAATTAATGCTTTTTTAGAAAGTTTTTACCAGAAACAACAAGCCCATTCAGATATATAGCAGGGCACTCATGCATTAGCACTCCTGTTTACAGTTTCTGATATGTACTGAAAGTGAATGCCTCAAAAACTGTAAAGTGATGACCATCTTACATATACCCATGGTATGGGCGGGTCCAGAGATATTTTCTGACAGTCTTTCAAATTATCTTTTTGATCTATCCTCCACTTTTGACTGTCTTCCAACATGAAAAATTAGATTCCTGTCAATGTGAACTTGAAAAATTTAGACCCTCTTCAGGAAGACCCAAAAGACGGCCTCCATCCGCCCCTGACATCTACTGTGATGTGGGAGCTTTGAAATCTTTATCTTACCTCTCATCTCAACTCGTACATTCTTGTAAAACTAACCAGTTATCCCATTGACAGAGCCATGAGTAAAGTAACAGTTGTGAGGCCTTTTCTGGCATGCACTAGCCCATGCAGTATATATCAGAAACCATTTTTATGAGTGCTAATGCATGGATTTTGTGCTATCAGATATGCTGAAGAGAACTGCATGTTTTTCAGGGGTGCACTTTATCAAATCTGTTCATCTGTGTGAGATTACACAAAGAGACACAGGCATACTAAGTTCAAAGAATGATATTGAAGATTTTGTTTGGATACTTTACACAGTGATAAAAATGAAAGATTAAAGTAAAGTTGGCAGTAGACATTACTAAAAGGAGAAAATTGTGAAATTCTTTATTTTTGTAGTATTACAAGTTGTAAAGGATGCTCAACAGCAGCATGGGTTACGACATGGAGATTACCAGCGTTACAGGGGCTACTGTAGTAGAAGGCTGAGGAGGATCAGAAAGTCTCTGCACTTTATGCAAGGAGACAAAAGGAGGGTGCAGCCTAAGAAGATTACAGAAGAAAACATGACTGATACAAAGTAATTTTCGTGTTATTTTGATGTTTAAAATGTATGCAATTTAGATAGTGAGACACAGAGCATACTTAGTGAATTATTTTTAAAAAGTAAACATGTTTACATCACAAAAATATAAATATATTGAATATGAGAACAAGTAATTTTGATCTCTGCATCATTTCTAGATCAGCATTGCTGCCCATTGTAACCCATTTGTGCATATGTTAAAGCAATAATAACTCTTCCTTTGAGATTCAAAATTCCGCAAGAAATACATTGTAAACAACGCCTGGAAATATATTCTGTTGCATTTTCCCACTAAAACGACTGTTATTGTAGTAAAACTAAAATCTGTGCTTGTCACTTGGGCTTTCGATGCTTTCTTCGCGGTCGACAAGTGCATCCGTTGCTAATGACGTGATGGTGTCACGCGGATGCTCGCGTTCATTCGCGACCAAAATAACATGGCGGGAAACCCTCAGATGTAAGTTGCGAGTTTTTTACAGTGTGTCTGATAACGAAAAGCCCAGAATTGCACACATTGTAGATATAAATGCATTTTGAGCAAAAAAGACGAATGTATCTTATGAATCTTATAATATTGTTATATAGTGTTGTTGTCTGCTTTTCCCGCGGTTTTAAGTAGGTCACTAGAAACTATCGCTCGATACGAGAGGGCTCCGTCAGTTAAAATCTCTTAAGAGATTTTAACAAAAAACCGTACGTTTAGGAAAAAAACCCTGGATTAACTTTGAATGCAGGAATGGGGTCGTTGACCATTGGTAAGTGCGGGAAAATTGCCGTTTTTTCCAGGAAAATTGTATTTTTGGCCAAAACGAAGAGTTATTATGACTTTAATCACTATCTGTTTTATTCCAGATTTTTGTATCTCCCATTAATGTCTGCAGAGCGGTGCTGGAGCTATGCTATGCAACTGAAGGCAGAGTCCAATACAGAACCAAGGAAAAAGTTCCACATGGTTTCTAAGCTGAGAAAAGGAGTGCAGTATGCTGATGAACTGGCTGGTTTATGTAACAGTGATAAATGTGATGCTAGGACAAAGTTAGAAGCTCAGGTAGTTACAGGAGATTGAAGACTGCACCTCATTGATTTTTGAATACTGTCAATAGGATAATGATATCTGAAGTGAAATTGCTTTGAATTGCTTAAAGACAGTCTCAGCGCGTTAAACCCTTAAAATAGCACAAAAATGAATTTTCCTGGAAAACTCACCAATTTCCCCATAATGACCAAGGTATATCCTATCCAAAACCGTTCAGAAAATGAAGCTACCTAATACCGTTTTTAAGTTCCATTAAATAATAAAAGACGACTCATCTTAAATACTCAGCTACCGCCTCACAGTATGGCTTCAGAACGCGCAATTTCTCGCCAAGTCTCGCGGTTTACTATGAATGAAGTACTACGGCTGAGACCCGGATGTTACTATTTGGCGCCAAAACAGCAAACATGGCTCAGACGCGCGTCAAGTCTGAAGAGGAGAGTGACAAAAGGGGGCGAAAGAAAATAGCCACTCCAGTTCGAAAGATACGAAAGAAAATTAGAGAGAGACGAAGAAGCACTCAGACTGTGTATGTTGGGAGGGAGGTGGGGCGGTGGAGGACACTTAAAGCTGAGTTAGGACTCACATACGAGGCAATGGCGAAACTACTCCTCGACACGTGAGTATGCGCTTCACAGGTCTCAAGTGTGTCTGATTATCATATTATCCTGTTCACAATAAATGACAAAATTTGTGCTCATACAAAGTTGGTTACGTGTATAAGAGCGTTTTGGGCTTTACGTTTTCTGTTTTTGATCGGTACATGTACCGAAAAGATGGACAGGCGGCACTTACATGTCTGACAAGTTTCGATGTGTAGTCGTGACGTCTATCTCATTCTGACTGAAGCCTGCTGTGATTGGTCGTAAGCGTGGGAAAATCGAGGTCGTGACCTTGAGCCGGAAGTACTTCTGGCTGTGCTCCGAAATCATGATAAATAGTTTTCGTTTTCTAATTCTTTATTCTAGTTGTCTTAACAGGACTTTTGTGACCCAGACTTATTCATATAATAATAAACAATCTCACAAAACACAAATCTGATCAAAGTTTTACATAGAACCTGCTTCTATACATTAATCTAACCCACTGAGTTGTCCTTTAATGGAAGTGGTATTTGTAACGTATATTATGATTAATTATACATAAGGCAATTAGTACTTAAATAAGCCAATCCAAGAGTTACAAATTCTATTTAGAATCATTTTTATTTGGCTGTGTGATTTCTGTATAGATTGTAAATACTTGAATTAAAATCTATTCCAGGCTTATAGTGCATGGATGAAGGCAACGCTCATGTTTGAGCTTGGAAGATGGAAAGAATCCATAGAACTATATGGAAAGGCAAAGTAAGCATCGCTATAAAAAATTTAATCTGTAATATACCAATACTTTTTGGAGACCTTATTCATACTCTTGACCTTCCATTATTTGAAATTGAGATAATAGTTGAACTGCATCTTTAAATAGTTCTTTTTCTTTTAAAAATTCTTGAAGATTAGATCCATACCTGAATCACCTGTTTATGTAAAACTATATGGCTAGATTAAAGACCGCTTTAGTCATGTGCCAGTCTTGATGAAAATACCAAAACCACTAGCAAGATTCTAAAAACAGTATGGATTTAATTTTTCAGGAATATTCTTCAATATTATTGTGCACAGTGATTTTCAAGGATAGGTTCTGTGCTTGTGTTGATACAGTAGCAACAAAGATATGCATCAGCACCATCATTTTTAGATAATGAATGAAAATGTGATGGTCTGTTTCATGATAAAGGCAACCCTGCCTTGTAGAACTATATTCTAGAGGTGCTATCTTACTGTTACAGAACCATCTACGAGAAGCTGAGTACAGCTTTCAGTGATGATGTCCAGGCTTTGTACAAGCAGAGGGTAGATGAGATAGCTCCTAACATCCGCTACTGTGCCTACAACATAGGAGATGAAACTGCTGTCAGTGACCTGGTACAGATGAGAGCCAAGACAGGAGGAGGAGCAGAGGATATGTTGACATCTAAAATAGATGTAAGAAACTTTTTACCCTTAAAGTATATTGGTCTGTTTCATTTTTTAGTTTCAATAGATATTGAGACGGGTTTGATTTTGGTTCAAACTTATCCGATTAAGTGGAGTATTATCAATTAAATGGCTTTATCTGTTTAGCAAAATTATACTGTTGATGATTTTTTTGTCCACAAGGCAATTGAACTTCTACTCCCTTAAATCTGCTTCTTTCTATTTTTATGTCTGTATGTGTGTTAGCCATGCTTCTTGAAACATACGTTTTATACACACATTTGATGTTTTCAACTTGTTAGGAGTTGATAGCACAAACCAGAGAGAAGCAGGCAGCCACTCTGTCAGAAGTGACATGGAGGGGGCGGACAATGCCAGTCAAGTTCGAGCAAGTCCGAGGTTTCCTACTTAGTCTGCAGGAGAGTGCTGCAGAACTGGCATCTGCAGAAACAACTGACAGCAAAGTGTCTGTGTATGAAAGACTTTTGAAGGACTGTGTGGAAGCTCTTCAGGTTCTACGAGATGAACTGAAGGATGACCAGGTAACAGCAATTTGAACAATAGACCCTTTTATTCCTCCCTTTTGCTGTTGTTACATTTGTTGAATGTTGTTTAATATAGCATTTGATAAAGATTTAACATTTGTTGAATGTTTTTTTATAGTATTTTTTTTAATTCATTAATTGGTGTATACATAAACTTTTATTTATTAGTAACTTATTACTAGAATGTATTGTATATCAAATATGTTTTGAATCAGACATAATTTAATGGGAATAAAATTGTAAATATTGATGGTAGGATTGAAAACTTGTAAAAAAAAAAAACTTGATTGAAAACTTACAAGAAAAATTTGTTAGTCCATATTCTATAACACTTTTTATGTATTTTGACCAAAAGAACTTTAAACTGGTACAAAGAGGACAGAAGGCTGAAGGGAAGGTATCTAACCTGCTGTTTCTGCACACATACCTGGTCTATATACGTCTCACCAAGACAGTAGAGAGAAATCTCCTGATGATTGATACTCTCAAACAAAACCTACCTGGCTCAGCCACATTTGATGAGAATAAAAAGGTCACCAAACCTCAGGACTTAGTCAGATTTTATGAAATTATTATCCAGGTAAGACTTATCTGACTTACATACAGTCTTTTTCATTTAACAATTTCATCATTGTTCACTTTAAAGTCCAACTTGATTACTGTTGGTACTGTTGGTACTGTTGGTGCAAAACTAAAAAGTGAAACAAACTGCTGGAGTGTGTCACTGATTGAAGTAGGATATGTTTAAAGGGGGGATGGGGGTAATGGTAATAAAAGCTGCCTGAGTAAAGTGAGGCAAATATAAAATGGTAGAAGAGGGTCAGTTTTCAATATAATGTGTAGGGCACAAGAATGGGAAATTGCTTGGGTTTTGTCTTAGTTTTGGGGGAGGGAAGAAGGGGTTCTGTGCCCCCACCCCTCCCCTAGGTCCACTATTGTGCATGACATTGGACATTTATGTTTTCAGAACTTGTCGGAAATTCCAAACCTGCCTGGAGTAGAAGAAGATGCAAGTCTAGGTCACGAAGTTGAAGTAGAAACATTAGCATATAAAGCTTTTAGGTATTACCCCCCCCCCCTCCCCTTACTGTTATAGTAATCATCAAAAGGTTTTCCACCCAAATGGTATCTTTTAAGATGGCATCATTTTAATAGATATTTTTTATCAAATTTCTCAGTGCTGTTTAAGCTTTTTACATTATTATTATTATTATTATTATTATTATTATTATTTTCATTTTCAATGTTTGGGAAGATGATAGGATTTAAGTAAACATTTTCACTTTGACACTAAAAGTTCCATTCAAATCTAAGGCCTTATGTTTCACATCCACATGATACTGATAGAGGGATTCTATGTTCCAGGTGTTTTTATGTAGCTCAGACTTATGCAGTAGGAAAGAAATGGCCAGAAGCACTGGCCTTGTATGAAAAAGTTGAGAAATATATCCAGGCAGCTCTTTCAGGTTACAAAGAGATGAAAGGAGATCAAGCTAAAAGATTTAAGGTTGGTTATATGTTTTTTTACCTGGCATTATTATTATGAATTTATAATTATTATTATTTAATGGTCATATATGTTTTAAAAGTCTTGGAAGAAAGTTAATGTATTTCAGTCATCAAGTCATGTAAAAATTCTAATTTGTTTACACCTGGAATAGCATATACAGTATATTGTATAGTACATAGGGGGATCATGGGAACAAATTCTACTCTTCCAGGTTGTTAAATATTGAAGTAATTTACTGTTATTTTGTAGGATGACCTTGCTAGACTTCAGTCACTTGAGCAGCAGGTGAATAGTGCTAAGTACGAGTGTCAAGCCTCTAGTATCCTCAACATGGGAGACCTCACGGACCAGATGTCTGCTGTCTCTGTCAGAGATATTGCTAAAAAGGTAAAGGCATGTCTGTTGGGATAGATTCTGACAAACAGCATCTAAATAGTACTGCCGTTTTATGACCATAATGTAACAAGACCTTTATGACAAACAGGGGCGGACATAGGCCTTCTTCTGGAAGACAGAATTTATTAGTTTAACGCATCTAATTTTTGCTTTCAACTGGAATGCTGGTTTTGTGAATGTCTTTTTAAAAGGCAATTGTAAAATGTGATAAGTGCTTGCATGAAAATAACATATCATTGAATTCTTATTTCAGCCTTTAATTGAGCGTCTAGACGAGTATGTAGATGATCCAGGATTGCGAAGTAAGAAGCCTAACCTTGTATCATTCCCACCAGACTTCCAACCAGTGCCATGTAAACCACTGTATTTTGATCTTGCTCTGAATCACGTGGAGTTCCCTGACCTGGAGCACAAGCTGGAGCAGCAGAAACAACAGAAGAAGGGAATCACAGGCATGGTCTCCGGGTGGTTCAGCTGGGGGAAGAAGTAACTTCCTCACCTCACATTCTAAGATTTCTTTTGGAAACAGAAGTGGAAAAAGTTTTTTTTTCTTTGACACCCCTGAGTACCACAAGAGACTGTCATTTATTTTTAAAGACAAATATACATTTTTTGTCCACATGATTGCTGTGGAATGTACCTTTGTGGCATGAAATGGTGGAACCCCGAAAGTATTAGAAATGGAAGGGAAAGATGACTGTGCTTCTCTGTCCTTTTCATTTTGACAAATTGATATTCTGCTATAAAAATATATGCCATCAGTTATTTATTTATGATGAAAATTTTCATCAGTTCCTTGTTCTGGTTTTAAGTTTATCAGGCATATCTTACTATGGGTGGAGGTTGATTAGTAATTAAGACAGATGTGATGAAACACTAATTCAAGGGGAAACATTTTAGGTTCAACACGTTTCTTTAGTCTGTGAATTTTACAAGTATTTTAATTGTTCACTTTTTTATGTAAAGTTCATGCTGTAACGATTCTCGTTTTTGATAAATCTGCATATTAGAAGGGTGACGACCCATTTGCTAGAAATGTATCAAGTGAATGTATTTCATAAAAAAATAAAACCATCAAAACCGTTTGAATTTTGCCCAGTTACAATTGCAACAAATTTTTTTAAAAACTTTCTTGATTTACTACTGTAACATTTATACTGAAAGAAGACACTGGTGTAAAAGAGATAGAGACTTTTTGAAGATTGTATCATAAGCCATGTTTACATTGCTCAAATTCAATGCAAGAAATGGGTAACAAATTGCAATGTGTGCCTTAAGTTGATTCAAATGAATTCATTTGCTGGAAATATCTGGCGTAAACCATACTAAGTACATACCATATTAATGTCAAAAATTCCTTTGGATTTAAAATGAACTTCATGGAGAAAAGATAGACAGAATTGGATAACTAAAAGGAAAATAAAACGAAGGAAAGATGCCAGAGAAGTAAATGGACATAAAATCAAGTATTTATTGTGATTCAATGATCCATTTACACCTGGGCAAAAGCATACCATAACAGCTCTGCTAAAAGATGTAAAAATGAAAATCAAAACTAATTTACAAAGAAGGACATACAACCAATTGAAACAAATACAAAAACGTTAAGTTGACCATGATCACAGCTAACATGATTGAAAATGATGCTCATGCAGGGCGAATTTAACATAGTATTACAAAGTTGACATGAAAACACTTATCCTGATTACCTGAATCCAATTCATGGTAAATGTACAGTAACCAAGGATGAAACGAGACGGGGGGGAAAAATCAATTTTACATTTATTTTGACAAAAGAAAGCAAATGCCCCCAGCATTACCCGACAGGGAAACATCACCCATTGCCATTAGACTACTTTCTGACCACCTATTCATCTGAATACTAAGAGCTCCTAATGTAACAATGTATTCAGTATTAGTCTAAATCCAATGGACTGATGTCAATGACCAGCACTTATCAATCAAGAACTATTTTCATGTATTTTAAAATAAATAGGTATCATTTTTGGCATCATCTAAGTGATATGAATTAAGATTACAACATTGCTGTCTAAATGGTAATAATATTTACATTCCATAACAACATTAACCAATACTGAGTAAAGCTTTTAAGGGGACTTTAATATTAACAGAATTCTCGGAATTGTGAAGCGCGCGGTTTTAATTAAGGGTGCAAGCTTTCCCTTCATATGGCAACTTTAAATAACATCATATGTGGTAAAACACAACCAGTGTATAAGAAATTTACAAGCACTTAAAGAGTGATACTATGCTCAGGATAGGGATTCTTAAGTATTCCTTTTGTGATGTCTATGTACATTTTACAGACTTAGCACTACAGTAACTGTTACTCTTCTGACTATATTTATGGATAATTACACGTCTGTTCAACTGTATAAATTCTCTAGAATATTTAAATGTGTACTTCAGGTTGTCTTAAAAACATAAAGATGGCAGATATTACATTTCACTGTAATTTGATTACTTTTCAGCAACTGCCTTACAAAACACTAGATACCACAAACAGTAAACTGTGTTTACAATTGCATGTCATTTCTGTAATCCTCGATTTTCTTATCTACTAGCTTGTCCCCTNAATCAAGGGTGACAGCCGAGCGTGGTTAGACCGTTTTATTCCTCCCTTTTGCTGTTGTTACATTTGTTGAATGTTGTTTAATATAGCATTTAATAAAGATTTAACATTTGTTGAATGTTTTTTATAGTATTTTTTTTTTAATTCATTAATTGGTGTATACATGTACATTTATTTATTAGCAACTTAAGCACCAAGTGTATTGTATATCCCTATCAAATATGTTTTGAATCAGACATAATGTAAAGGGAGTAAAATTGTAAATATTGATGGTAGGATCGAAAACTAATGAAAAAAAACTTACAAGAAAACTTTGTTAGTCCATTTTCTATAACACTTTTTATGTATTTTGACCAACAGAACTTTAAACTGGTACAAAGAGGACAGAAGGCTGAAGGGAAGGTATCTAACCTGCTGTTTCTGCACACATACCTTGTCTATATACGTCTCACCAAGACAGTAGAGAGAAATCTCCTTATGATTGATACTCTCAAACAAAACCTACCTGGCTCAGCCACATTTGATGAGAATAAAAAGGTCACCAAACCTCAGGACTTAGTCAGATTTTATGAAATTATTATCCAGGTAAGACTTATCTGACTTACATACAGTCTTTTTCATTTAACAATTTCATCATTGTTCACTTTTAAGTCCAACTTGATTACTGTTGGTACATGTGCAAAACTAAAAAGTGAAACAAACTCTGCTGGAGTGTGTCACTGATTGAAGTAGGATATGTCTGAAAGGGGGTGGGGGGTAATGGTAATAAAAGCTGCCTGAGTAAAGTGAGGCAAATATAAAATGGTAGAAGAGGGTCAGTTTTCAATATAATGTGTAGGGCACAAGAATGGGAAATTGCTTGGGTTTTATCTTGTTTTTTGGGGAGGGAAGAGGGGGTTCTGTGCCCCCACCCCTCCCCTAGGTCCACCATTGTGAATGACATTGGACATTTATGTTTTCAGAACTTGTCGGAAATTCCAAACCTGCCTGGAGTAGAAGAAGATGCAAGTCTAGGTCACGAAGTTGAAGTAGAAACATTAGCATATAAAGCTTTTAGGTATTACCCCCCCCCCCTCCCCTTACTGTTATAGTAATCATCAAAAGGTTTTCCACCCAAATGGTATCTTTTAAGATGGCATCATTTTAATAGATATTTTTTATCAAATTTCTCAGTGCTGTTTAAGCTTTTTACATTATTATTATTATTATTATTATTATTATTATTATTTTCATTTTCAATGTTTGGGAAGATGATAGGATTTAAGTAAACATTTTCACTTTGACACTAAAAGTTCCATTCAAATCTAAGGCCTTATGTTTCACATCCACATGATACTGATAGAGGGATTCTATGTTCCAGGTGTTTTTATGTAGCTCAGACTTATGCAGTAGGAAAGAAATGGCCAGAAGCACTGGCCTTGTATGAAAAAGTTGAGAAATATATCCAGGCAGCTCTTTCAGGTTACAAAGAGATGAAAGGAGATCAAGCTAAAAGATTTAAGGTTNAAATAAGGTTTTAGGTATTTCCCCCCCCCCCCCCCCCCCTCCTCTTACTGTTATAGTAAGCATCAAAAAGTTTTCCATCCAAATGGTATCTTTTAAGATGGCATCATTTTAATAGATTTTTTATCAAATTTCTCAGTGCTGTTTAAGCTTTTTACATTATTATTATTATTATTATTATTATTATTATTATTTTCATTTTCAATGTTTGGGAAAATGATAGGATTTAAGTCAACATTTTCACTTTGACACTTAAAGTTCAATTCAAATCTAAGGCCTTACAGAGATGTTTCACATCCACATGATACTGATAGAGGGATTCTATGTTCCAGGTGTTTTTATGTAGCTCAGACTTATGCAGTAGGAAAGAAATGGCCAGAAGCACTGGCCTTGTATGAAAAAGTTGAGAAATATATCCAGGCAGCTCTTTCAGGTTACAAAGAGATGAAAGGAGATCAAGCTAAAAGATTTAAGGTTGGTTATATGCTTTTTTACCTGGCATTATTATTATGAATTTATAATTATTATTTAATGGTCACATGTGTTTTAAAAGTCTTGGAAGAAAGTTCATGTATTTCAGTCATCAAGTCATGTAAAAATTCTAATTTGTTTACATCTTGAATAGCATATACAGTATATTGTATAGTACATAGGGGGATCATGGGAACAAATTCTACTCTTTCAGGTTGTTAAATATTGAAGTAATTTACTGTTATTTTGTAGGATGACCTTGCTAGACTTCAGTCACTTGAGCAGCAGGTGAATAGTGCTAAGTACGAGTGTCAAGCCTCTAGTATCCTCAACATGGGAGACCTCACGGACCAGATGTCTGCTGTCTCTGTCAGAGATATTGCTAAGAAGGTAAAGGCATGTCTGTTGGGATAGATTCTGACAAACAGCATCTAAATAGTACTGCTGTTTTATGACCATAATGTAACAAGACCTTTATCACAAACAGGGGCGGACGGAGGCCTTCTGGAAGACAGAATTTATTAGTTTAACGCATCTAATTTTTGCTTTCAACTGGAATGCTGGTTTTGTGAATGGTTTTTTAAAAGGCAATTGTAAAATGTGATAAGTGCTTGCATGAAAATAACATATCATTGAATTCTTATTTCAGCCTTTAATTGAGCGTCTAGACGAGTATGTAGATGATCCAGGATTGCGAAGTAAGAAGCCTAACCTTGTATCATTCCCACCAGACTTCCAACCAGTGCCATGTAAACCACTGTATTTTGATCTTGCTCTGAATCACGTGGAGTTCCCTGACCTGGAGCACAAGCTGGAGCAGCAGAAACAACAGAAGAAGGGAATCACAGGCATGGTCTCCGGGTGGTTCAGCTGGGGGAAGAAGTAACTTCCTCACCTCACATTCTAAGATTTCTTTTGGAAACAGAAGTGGAAAAAGTTTTTTTTCTTTGACACCCCTGAGTACCACAAGAGACTGTCATTTATTTTTAAAGACAAATATACATTTTTTGTCCACATGATTGCTGTGGAATGTACCTTTGTGGCATGAAATGGTGGAACCCCGAAAGTATCAGAGAAATGGAAGGGAAAGATGACTGTGCTTCTCTGTCCTTTTCATTTTGACAAATTGATATTCTGCTATAAAAATATATGCCATCAGTTATTTATTTATGATGAACATTTTCATCAGTTCCTTGTCCTGGTTTAAGTTTATCAGGCATATCTTACTATAGGTGGAGGTTGATTAGTAATTAAGACAGATGTGATGAAACACTAATTCAAGGGGAAACATTTTAGGTTCAACCCGTTTCTTTAGTCTGTGAATTTTACAAGTATTTTAATTGTTCACTTTTTTATGTAAAGTTCATGCTGTAACGATTCTCGTTTTTGATAAATCTGCATATTAGAAGGGTGACGACCCATTTGCTAGAAATGTATCAAGTGAATGTATTTCATAAAAAAATAAAACCATCAAAACCATTTGAATTTTGCCCAGTTACAATTGCAACAAATTTTTTTTAAAACTTTCTTGATTTACTACTGTAACATTTATACTGAAAGAAGGCACTGGTGTAAAAGAGATAGAGACTTTTTGAAGATTGTATCATAAGCCATGTTTACATTGCTCAAATTCAATGCAAGAAATGGGTAACAAATTGCAATGTGTGCCTTAAGTTGATTCAAATGAATTCATTTGCTGGAAATATCTGGTGTAAACCATACTAAGTACATACCATATTAATGTCAAAAATTCCTTTGGATTTAAAATGAACTTCAAGGAAAAAAGAGAGTTAGAATTGGATAACTAAAAGGAAAATAAAACAAAGGAAAGGTACCAGAGAAGTAAATGGACATAAAATCAAGTATTTATTGTGATTCAATGATCCATTTACACCTGGGCAAAAGCATACCATAACAGCTCTGCTAAAAGATGTAAAAATGAAAATCAAAACTAATTTACAATCAAAAGGAGGACATACAACCAACTGAAACAAATACAAAAACGTTAAGTTGACCATGATCACAGCTAACATGATTGAAAATGATGTTCATGCAGGGCGAATTTAACATAGTATTACAAAGTTGACATGAAAACACTTATCCTGATTACCTGAATCCAATTCATGGTAAATGTACAGTAACCAAGGATGAAATGAGAGGGGGAAAAATCAATTTTACATTTATTTTGACGAAAGAAAGCAAATGCCCCCAGCATTACCCGACAGGGAAACATCACCCATTGCCATTAGACTACTTTCTGACCACCTATTCATCTGAATACTAAGAGCTCCTAATGTAACAATGTATTCAGTATTAGTCTAAATCCAATGGACTGATGTCAATGACCAGCACTTATCAATCAAGAACTATTTTCATGTATTTTAAAATAAATAGGTATCATTTTTGGCATCATCTAAGTGATATGAATTAAGATTACAACATTGCTGTCTAAATGGTAATAATATTTACATTCCATAACAACATTAACCAATACTGAGTAAAGCTTTTAAGGGGACTTTAATATTAACAGAATTCTGGGAATTGTGAAACGCGCGGTTTTAATTAAGGGTGCAAGCTTTCCCTTCATATGGCAACTTTAAATAACATCATATGTGGTAAAACACAACCAGTGTATAAGAAATTTACAAGCACTTTAAGAGTGATACTATGCTCAGGATAGGGATTCTTAAGTATTCTTTTTGTGATGTCTATGTACATTTTACAGACTTAGCACTACAGTAACTGTTACTCCTCTGACTATATTTATGGATAATTACACGTCTGTTCAACATTATAAATTCTCTAGAATATTTAAATGTGTACTTCAGGTTGTCTTAAAAACATAAAGATGGCAGATATTACATTTCACTGTAATTTGATAACTTTTCAGCAACTGCCTTACAAAACACTAGATACCACAAACAGTAAACTGTGTTTACAATTGAATGTCATTTCTGTAATCCTCTATTTTCTTATCTACTAGCTTGTCCCCTTCTCTTTACAAAATGAATGTGTATGTTTGTGTGTATGTATATATACATATAAATCATATATAAATTTTAACTGGAATAATCTACAGCTTCCAACACAAGTCCATTGTAAGCTTGGATGCTGATGCAGTAATAGAAAGTAGTCTGGTTCAAAGGTTTCAAGGTTATGACCCTGTGGTGCACTGTTACAGATAGCATGGATATATTGCAATGATCTGAATATTTTGATCTATGCTGCTACATTTAAACCAAGCTTAAAAAAAATTATGGCAATGTTACAGCATCCCTTCTTCCTCTATAAGGCAAAGAGTGCATTTTCTGTTTCGTCTTTCTGCAGCTGCCGTCCTGACCTCGTTGTGCTTCCAGAGTTACTATCTGGTAATGATTCTGCAGCTCTTGCTCGCTCTGCTAAAAATCTGTCGAACTCTGTAACCGAAAAAAAGTGCACAATTACAAGTGTTATATTACCCCCTTATCAAATAATACTCTATACCCATGTGTTAGTGCTTGTTATTAATAATAAAAAATGGTGAACTTCAAAATAACCTAAAACACCAGCAAAAAAACCTGTGGGATGATTCATTTAAAAAAATGTATTTAGTGCATATACAATATAATAACTGAGGATAGGAATCAGTTGTCATATCTTATACTATTTAAACAGGCACATAAAATGCTTTTGACATGGGCATAATAAACAGCTTTTAACAAGTCTTTCACAGAATCAGAGTGCCTTAACATTGGTTTGTACAAACAAATCTTATTTTCTAATTGCAAATTTCCCTAAAATGCAAAAACCAGAGTATAACTGATTCCATCAACAAGATTTTGAATGTAAATTTAATTTTGTATACTGACCTGTACTAGTAACTGGTTCTTCCGGTTTTTGACCATCCTGAAAAAGATATGATACTGTTAAAAATGCTTAAAAATGCACATCACTGTTGCTTTGGTATATGAATAAAGAAAAAAATTAGGGCACCTGAAAAATAAATTAAAAGACAAAATAACATTGTTCAAATATAACAGTGTTACAAAATAACAGGAAATGACCATTTATCTTTATTTTAACTTCAAAATGAAGTGACAAAAATTTAATGTGACTAGTTTACTACCTCTGTTCTTAACCAGCTTTCCATTTCATCAAAATCTCCATCTTTAGCTAGTAGCTGTAAACAGACAAGAAAACATAATGAGCTTGACTTGAATTTCCACTCTCATCAACCTTGTTGCTTAATCATCCATTTTAGTTAAATGATATCAATGAATTAAATAGTCTACATTGAACTTTTTCTACACCATCCTGTTTTCTTTAATTCCACCGCGTAGAGTTAGTCCAACTAAACCCCACCACATATCTCTTTATAAAAACGTCACATGTGCTGAAAAGAAAAGCCACCATTCCAATAAAAAAAAATACTTCCTGCAAACTATTGAACAGAAGATGAAAAAGCAGAAGCTGCAGCTATGTCTACAAGCATGATATACACAGAATATATAACACAATAGGAGATAAGTCCAATCAATGTGCTCTTAAATATAAAATCTATAAAACTGTTAGAAAAGAATCAGTGAATGCTCAAACTCCAAAATGAAATCTAAAATATGAAAAGTAAATATCAAATTGTAATATGAAAGAAAAACAAAGCATAACCAAGCCAGGCTGACCTAGCTGATCTAGTTCCCAAACTAAAAAAAGAAGTTGTTAGTAGTGAGAATATTAAATTCAATTTTGGTGAGTCTACAGTTCTACTATGGTGTAACTGTAAGGCCCATTACCTCTGGTTCATCATCCTCTTCCTGGTGGTACAAAAACAAAAGCAGTCATCTAAATTTAATTTCCATTTTTCCTCAGATTCCCACCATGAATTATTATAGGAGCTCTGGCACTTGCCTCGAACTATATTTTTTCTAAATAGCAAACTGAGCCATTTCTGATGAGCTTAACACACTCAAAAATTGTTTTTTTCTCATGAAAACATTTATTGACAAGAAAGAAAGACTGCAATTAGGATATACTGCATTTATTTGTATTATTTAACTGAGAAAGTCACTGTCAAATGCTTAGTAAGGTCACCTGCCTCAAGGAAATGATGCTAGAGCTCTCATTCATCTACTCTACAAACCCTTTCAGCCCCATAACTATACTTGGAAATTCATTATATCATCACTAAATTTAATGAAAATGTAAATTCTTCTGCATCAAAATACAGCAATTTCAACCATATTTTAGGAGTTACTATAATAGGCAAGATTTGCAAACTTACATTTCCAGCATTAGGATTAGTTTTAGCTGACACGGCGGCTCCCAGTCCACCTGTAAAACTGTCTTGCTTGTTTTGAGCATCGTAGTTATACGACCTTGGAATGAGACAACACAAAGATTATCAAAAGAATTATGAAGAAACTGATTATAAAACCGTCATTTTTAAATTCATCACAACAGCTTACTTATAGTTACAAAACATTCTTACCGTGTTTCTTTCCAACAAATACAATAACTGACTAAATGACTGCACTTTTAGTATTTAAAGCTCCCAATTAACAAGAACAATTTTCAGACTAGCTCAAAGAAACTTGAAGATGTTTGATTTTGTAATTCTGAGTCAGGTATTTATGCAGACAGACGTTTCACAAACCTACCCCAGACACCAATTTTTTAAAAAAATTACTTCCTGGAATAATATATTTTTTTTCAGTTAATCAGGGTCAAGTGCTCACCTATCATTCAGTTGCTGTTTATTCTGTTCAAAAGATTGCCGCGACTGAGCAAACATGTCAAACTCCTCATCCTGGGCCGTGCTAGCACCAGTTCTATCTAGAGCATTCAGCGTAGAACTGACACTATTTCCTCCTACATCTGAATAGATATTGACTGATTAATTGAGTGTCCAACAAATAGCATAATTTGATCTCCTAGGTTTAAATGAAAACAATGTGTTGGATATTTACCAATTTTTTGACTCTGGTATAATCTGGTATTATTAAAACATGGTGTCAAAGACTTAATAGTGCATTAATAAAAAACAGAAATATTTTTTACAGTTTATATTTTTACAGTTTATATCCTTCATTAGTAATAAATAAGCAGTCATTAAAACTGAAACTAAATCAGCAGATTTTCTTATAAGAGCAGTGCCAATTAATTTTTTAAGATGAATTTCTAGCAACAGAGTTATATCATATCTAAAAACAGAGTCACTGCATGAATACACAAGTAATCAAGTACTTTACATACTCATATTGGCTAGACGAACATGGATGTCATTTGGATTTGCACCTTGTGGTTCAGAAGAGGGAGTGTCTCCAAAGTCTATCAATGAAGCTGTTGCCTACAAGAAGTCAGAACAGACATTTAAGGTTGAATTTAGATAGTGACACTTTTAGATGTCCTGGTATCTTCTAAAAGAAAAACTGAAAAAGAATTCAGTCACTGACAATATGGTGAGCCATGACCTAAACCACATTCACAATATCTTAACTTATGATACTCACTATTTAAGTCACATCACCCTGATTAGAAAAAAAAAACCCCATCAGAATTGATATTTTTCATACTATTTAGTATTGTGACATGTTGCAAGAACCCTTCCACTGCAAAGGAGTAGGAAAATTTTATTTTTGATTTTTTTTTTTTTCAAATTGGGAATAAATTCCAAGGGCTTCAAATATCGTTGTAAAGAAAAGGTGGGGACAAAAACTTACTTTTAAAAGGGAGATAACAACAAAATAAAACAACAAAAGCACTGAGGCTGTAGAATACTTACAGGTTGTGTGGGAGGTTGTGTAGCTTGTGTAGCTGGGTATGATGGGGGGAGGAAGTTTTGAGCAGGCTGCTGGGGGGGAGGTACCTGCTCTGAAGTCGGAGTCTGCTGTCCTGTTCTGTAACGCTCAAATCTCTCATATCTCAGGAAGGAGTTGTTCAGGTCATCATTCACTCTCAATAACTCCTCTGTAACATACAGGGAAACCCTCTTTTTTGAATTCTTAAAAAGCAGTACAACTGAGAAAAATACCCAAGGAACTATCGCGTCACAGACTTAAAGTGTGAAAGTTTAGTGGTAATTTAATAAAATGGATGAAAAAAGGATTTGAAGATTGTGAATGTGGACAGACACCCCACATCCCCCCCCCCCCCCCCCAAGCTTTTGGAATTACATATCAATGATACATGTTAAATTGCCCTAAAAAGACACCTGTTACCATAAATATTAATTGATTTATTTTTAAATGTCATCTTTACAACATCTATTACCTGAACCAAGGCAATATTACCTGTGACTTCCTCATTTGCTACTTTCTCTATTAACTCCACTATTCTTTGTTGCATTTGGCGACAAGTTCGATTTAGTTCCTTAAATCACAGAAAAAACAAGCATCAGGTATTCTGTGATGTAATCAGAGAAAAATAATTAAAGATGCATTTAAAGTGAGTTGAAATGTGAAATCATTGCCACTAAACCCAATCAAAGGCCATCATATAGGTTTTATTAGCATAACAAAGGGTGCAGTTTCATCTTTCCCAAAAAGATATGAACAGATATTTTCTGCTTCCTTTTGTGCTATATATAACCTTCAGTTGTTTTTACTAACTCTCATTTAAATAATTATGCTATTGCACATGCAGCAGTAATGCATCATAAATTACTACATCATTTGGTGGACTTTTACGGTCTGGAGGGATGGATAAATAGGTCAAATTTATTACCAGCAATTGGTGCAGTTTTATATATTATTTTTTTTGACTGACCAAGGAATTAATTTGGTTTATCTTTTTGGCATGTGGACTGCATATGTGGCAAAATTGGTAGTAATAATTTATGTACATTACATGTTCACTCACACCACATGTAATTTAAAAACTACTGAAAATTTAATCTTTTTTACTGATAATTACCAAACATACATTCACAACAGGATTAAAAATATAATAAGCACATTATCTACAATATTTCACTTTCTTCAACTGCCTTTTCTAATTAAAATCTCATGCATTTTTGAAGGTATATCCACCTGTAGTAGGTCTAGGTCCTCCCTGTTTTCCTGCCCTGGAGTCATTTCTGTGAGCATTTCCCCAAAGACCTTGACATTTCCCATCACAATATCCACCTCACTCCTCAACTTGGCCATCTGTTCTGGAGCCAGGTTCACTGGTCCACCCATCATTTGTGGAGGGGGTTGCTGCTGAAGAGTCTGAGGACGCCCCTGGGGTTGGGGAGCCTGCTGAGGGGGGTACTGACCCTGGGGGGCATACTGGGCCTAAAGATTAAACAGCCATAGATATCTGATTTTGAACAGTTTAATACATTTCATTTTGAGTCTTTTTTTCTTTCCC